GCACCTGGCACTTTCTATCTCTGTTTGTTGAATCCATTATTGACATTAAATCCAAATATCCGATGAGCTAAATAATGTAATACAGATCTGAAGCGCACATGATCAAATTAGGACATGGTTTGAATAATTTAATGAGGCCTTGGTTTAAAAACAGATTAGCGTCAAATCAAATCTGCTTTTTGTGAATGTCAGGAAAGACATCCAAAAGGTTTCTCTCATCACCGAACAAAGCTTCACAGTAAATGCTATACAGACTTATTTTTAGCTCTCAAATGAAGCAACATTCTTTTGAAAAGTCCCTCCAGCGGCGGCATTTCTTCCTTTTTAAACGTTTCCTGAGACGACAGTAGCCAAAACAACAGGAACTGCTCTGCCCTATGGATATGACTGTATTTTAGCCTCCAGTGTGGTCAAAGACTTTCAAAATATATCCGTAAATTTGCAGTTTTCTGTATTTTGTGATTCATTCTTTTCTTTTTTTCTCAATATTTATGCTTATGAATTGAAAAGTTGGAAAAAAGTGTTTTGTTTTTTATCAGAACACAACACACTATCAGAAATACTTAAAAAAATAGTCAATAAGGATACAGATGGATACTGAAAAAATTAGGGAGAAAAAAGGGAGAAAAAATGCAGTGTTATTTTAAAACAATATATAGTTGAAGTCAGAATTATTAGCCTCCCATCGATTTTTTTTTTTATATTTCCTAAATGATGTTTACCAGAGCAAGAAATTTTTTACAGTATGTTTGATAATATTATTTCTTCTGGAGAAAGTCTTATTTGTTTCATTTCGGCTAGAATAAAAGCAGTTTTTAATTTTTTAAACACCATTTTAGGGTCATAATTATTAGCCCCTTTAAGCTATATTTTTTTCGATAGTCTACAGAATAAACCATCGCTATACAATAATTTGCCTAATTATCCTAATCTGCCTAATTAACCAAATTAACCTAGTTAAGCCTTTAAATGTCACTTTGAGCTGTATAGCAGTGTCTTGAAAAATATCCAGTAAAATATTATTTACTGTCATGACAAAGATAAAATAAATCAGTTATTAGAAATGAGTTATTAAAACTATTATGTTTAGAAATATGTTCAAAAATCTTCTCTCCGTTAAACAGAAATTGAGGAAAAATACATTTTCTGTTATTTTACAGACTTATTTCTATATATATTACATTTCTTATAAATTTAAAACTACTAAAATGTCAATAAAAGTCACTTTGTTTCAACATCAAAAGCAGACAAAGCAAGCTCCCATAATACAATTTACAACAGTAAATAATACACTAGTATATCACAAAACACGGAAACGGCTAATTAACAGATATTTCTTACAGTGTGTCTGAAACCTGGTGTTCAACAGATGCTTGACCCACACACTTCCTCCTGCTTTAGGTTCATCATCTCATATTGAGAGTTTGTCAAACTGATAAACATGCTAATTAAGATAAGCAAGGGGTATTTAGGGAGGAAATTTGGTCTGGGAGGGGGTTGTTTTGGTCATTAAGATAAGACAGACATTCTGGAATATCATTTTAGCTGATCAAAATGCCACAACGTAGCCAAGATATGCTGGACTAGCTAGGTTGCATCAAATCACAATACATAATGAAGTTATTATGGGTCACAAAGTGCGCCTTCATGTGGAATTTGCCCTAATTCTTTTAAATAAATTATAGGATGAAGAGTTTTATTAAATTAAACAGGGCCATCCTTTACAGAAATACGGGTACTTCGGGTTACTATAGTTCAAACCTATTTTAGGTATACTTTGTCGTAGGTAGTCTAAATTTTAAGTGGATCAAAAAAGTTCATTAAAGTAATTAAGACGATGGACCCTTATGTTATTTTAGACGAGTAGAACTTTTCCTTATTTATTTTTTTACTATTTAAAAAAATATTTTCTTGTCTTTCCTTTTGTTGTCTTGTCTTCTATCCATATAAAAGTAAAATATCTTTTACTTAACATTATTTTATTTGTATTTTATTATAATATTATTTATTTATTTTTATTCAACCTAAATGTATATGTGTAAAACAAGTTTTGTTTGTTGTCTAAATGTAAAAATCTATTTGTACTGCATATTTTATATTTAATATGTTTAATAAAAGCACCTTTGAGAATTTTTTTTTTAATCAAAGTTGTTTTAAAACAAGAATGGATCATTTATTTTTAGGACAACTTTTGCAAACGGTTTTAATCCACAAAGTGTTTATCAATATAGGCTACTAATAGTACTTATAAATGTACTATTTCAGTATTACTGGGACCAAACTGACATTTAAAGATGCTAAAATTATATTTTAAATACACTTTAAGTGATGATGTAGTAAACTTTGAGTGCAACATGTTTTTTTTTGTTTGTACTCCAACTATACTCCAAGTGAGCTCCACAGCATAGTATACCAGTTATAGGATACTTAGCATAGTATACCAACTTATCCAGCATATGTTTTTACACAGTGAATGCCATTTCAGCTGCAACCCAGTACTGGGAAACTCCCATACACACTCATACAGTACAGCCAATTTTGTTTATTTAACACCTATAGTGCATGTCTTTGGACTGTGGGGGAAACTGGAGCACCCGGAGGAAACCCATGCCAACACAACATGCAAACTCCACACAGAAATGCCAACTGGCCCAGCCGGGACTCGAACCAGCGACCTTCTTGCCGTGAGGCGACAGTGCTAACAACTGAGCCACCGTGTCGCCGTTAATTAATTTACCAAAGTAAATTATATTTTTAGTACTGTATTTTATATCCTGTAAGTTTTCTTTAAGTGAACTTAAATTTTGTTTGCCATATACTCTTTTTTTGCAGTTACATCTAATACTATAGTAATACTACTATGTTCAAAGTTACGTTCTCTTTGTTATATTCAACTTAAAAAATACATTTAGCTAACTTAGCAGATTTTAAGTAAATTCCTATCAAAGAGGATTTGGCTTCTGTTTTAAGCCTCTAAACTCACTTGTTAAATGAACTTGTAGCTTACATGTAAGCTAATTAAACATAAGTCAAACGATATGAATAAAGTATTGGCTCAGTGGTTAGCACTGTCAGCTCACAGCAAGAAGGTGGCTGGTTCGAGTCTCGGCCGGGTCAGTTGACATTTCTGTGTGGAGTGTGCATGTTCTCCCCGTGTTGGCGTGGCTTTCCACTGGGTGCACCAGTTTCCCTCACTGTCCAAAGGCACTCTGTATAGGTGAATTAAATAAACTAAATTGGCCGTAGTGACTGAGTGTGTATGCATGCTTTCCAGTACTTGGTTGCAGCTGAAAGGGCATCTGCTATGTAAAACATGCTGGATAAGTTGGTGGTTCATTCTGCTGTGGCGACCTCTGATGAATAAAGTGACCAAGGTGAAGAAAAACAGTTCAGCAGTTTAATTACATTTTTTTACTTTTATTAGTAGTCTGAAACAATATTCTGCATTAAAAATGTTAATGATAAAACGTTGAATAAAGTATTTCATTTTCTGTATTCAATCAAAAGAGTTAACAACTTAAAACGTAGGCTATTAATTTAACATTAAGTAGGTCTTTCTCAGCTATAACATAGAGTTCTGCAGTTTAATAATGTGACATTTATTGACTTTTTAGTAGTTTGAAACAATATTCTGCATAAGAAATAATATATTAAACGGTAGAATGTTGAAAAAAGATTTTAATTTTCTACATTTAATCGAAAGAGTAAACACAACTTCAAAACGTAGGCTATTTTAAGCAGCCTATCTCAACTAAAACCTGTAAGTTGGATTTTTTATCAGTGTATGTTAAGCCAACTATATAATTTTAATTATGATACATACTTAAATTCTTTTCTCTTTTTTACAAGGTAATTGGGTTTAAATTACACAAACAACGCGTCATGGGATAGAAATATGCACAATGTGTGGAATTTGAACAATAATTACTTTTATAAGTATGACATGATGAGTTTTAGCGACTTAAAAACTGACACACTTACCTTCACTGACGAACAGGGAATATGGCACACGTAACTGTTAACAGTAGGCTATCTCAAATAAACCTAGTTGGACTTTTTATCAGTGTAACATTATGTTAAGCTAACTATGCGTAAGTTCTTTCTGAGACCAGCGTTATACATTTTTATTAGATTTTTTACATACTTGAAATCTTTTCTCTCTTTTTTTTGGCTTGGCAATTGGGTTTAATTACACAAACAACGTGTCATGGGACATAAATATGCACAATTTGACCAATAATTCCTTTAAATAAATATAGGATGATGAGTAAATTAGCGTCTCAAAAACTGTTAACGTTAACTTACCTTCACCGTCGACGAACAAAGAATGGCACACATAAGTTAACGTTAAGTAACTGTAAACGTTAACGTTAGCTATAACAGACCCACCTCTGTTGTATACGTTAGCTCAGCATTATTTATTTTTCTTTCCAATGAATTTCACCATAAGCGTTTTATGTAGTTGTCGACGTTTATGGATTATTAATGACAAGGCAGCGCCGTAAAATTGTCTGTTGTTGAAGAATTGAATATGTCTCATTGGTGAACCGACTAGCAGAGTGGCGCAGCGGAAGCGTGCTGGGCCCATAACCCAGAGGTCGATGGATCGAAACCATCCTCTGCTAATTTTTTTCATGAGTTTTATTAATAACAATAATGACCGTAATAGAAAAATTGTAATGTTATGCACATTGTTTTCAACTCAGTATATTTTTATTTTAAATTAACCTAAATGTATTCGCTGCTTTATATGGAATTTTATAATATCCCCATGCACTATATATAGTTATACGTCTAATAAAAAGTTATGTTTTAATTTTAATGCGCTATTTCATTGTAAGTTATGATAAGAAAAAAAGGGTAAATAAATAATTCCTAAATTTATTGTAGAATACACAAACAATGTATTACGTTTGCATGTATCACAATTTTTGTCAAGTTTTATGCTTTTCTGTGTTTTTTTTAAAAATGAGCAAATAAACAGTAAACAGTCATCATACCAGTTTGTAGACGAGCGTGGATTCAGGATATCTTCTTTTGCCGTAAGTAAAGACAAACTGTATGTATCCAGATTAACTTCCCTCATTGATGTCATAATGTCGGTTATTAAAAGGCTATTTTATCCAATTCTTAACTCCAGTTAGAATTCTTTTAGAAAAAAGTGGCTAAAATAGCATGTACCATACAGAAGATCTCACAATATGTCCCGCTGAAAGATTAAAATAGCCAGCATTTGTCAATTGTATGCAAACTCTTTGGAAGCTTAGAGAAAAAACAAAAACCTTAAGCCACTCCTGCAGGGAATAAATATAGCGGATGGCATTGTTTCAAAGGTTAACCAAATCCCACCCATTCAACTGAAATTAAAAAAAGAATATTGAATTGATTATTATTCAGTTTTGAATGAATGATACGTTTTAAAAATAAACCATAGAATTCGCTTCCTGATGCGGTCAGCGTTTATTATAAACATGTATGGTCTTTATATTAGTGTAATCTATGTGGTTTTCAAACCTCAGGGACTTCAAGGTGCCACAAGGAGGTGCTATGGAGTCGGGGAAAATATTTGGAGAATAATGTCAAAGGAAATATAAATTCATTAATTTTCCTCCGGCTTTAAATTGTAATAATTAATTTATTCTTTTATTTTTTTTGGCATAGTCCCTTTATTCATCTGGGGTCCCCACAGTGGAATGAACCGCTAACTTATCTAGCTTATGTTTTACTCAGCAGATGCCCTTCTAGCTGCAACCCGAATTACCCGATACTGGAAAACAATTAAAATTGATTCATTCAATTACTTTTTGGCTTAGTCCTTTTATTTTTCAGGAGGTGCCACACCAGAATGAACCGCCAACTTATTATACAGCATATGTTTAACACAACAGAGGCCCTTCCAGCTGCAAGCCAGTACTGGGAAACAATTAAAATGTATTAATTCATTTACTTTTCGGCTTAGTACCTTTATGGGTCGCCTCAACAGAATGAACCACCAACTTATCCAGCATATGTTTTACACAGCAGATGCCCTTCTAGTCACAACCCATTACTGGGAAGCATCCATACACTCTCACATTATCACCTATTTTGCTGCAACTCAGTATTGGGAAACAATTAAAATATAAAAAAATAAAAAATATATATATAATTAATAAAATCTTTAAATAAGTTGAAAAATAAATAATAAATAATACAAAAAAAAACACATACGAATTAAACAATTTAAATTAAAATTAAAAACAAAAATTGATTACTGTAATATAAAACAAATTAGATAAAGTGAATTAGTACATAAACATTCTATAATTATATTATAATTTATATAATATTTAAATAAAAAAATAGGATGATCATCTGTGGGTCCATTATAATGAATCCATACACTCTAAAAAAATAAAGGTACATGAGCTGTTACTGGGGTGATGCCTTTTCAGAAGGTACATGTTTTACTTAAGGGTATATATATATCCTTGTCCTTGAGGTATTAACATGGACCTTTAAGGTACAAATGTACCATCTCGGTGACAGCGTGTGTACCTTTATTTCTGAGAGTGTATTGCACGCAAGTAGAGCAGCTCGAAGATCTGCATTCTTGAATGTTTATCTGTAAAAGAACGTGTCCCCCTAGCATTTAAATGTAAATTTAATATATTGAATATATTGAATTAAATATGTTGTTTGTTATAATTTTTTATTGAATGTGTTGTCAAAGTTCAATAAAAATAAATAGATTACTTAAAATATTTGTGGTCCATGGCGTTTAAAATAAACTATTATATACACATTTATAAGCTAGAAATATACACATTTAAATATTTTGTTACTTGTTAAAACTACTCATTTAACAAGGGTTAAAAAACACAATTCTTGAGATTTTTTTGGATAACTTAATTATTTTATGTGTAATCCACTTAAAAAAACAGAATTTTTTCAGTACAGAAGTGCTGGGTTCCACAAAAATTCCTTCATGTTGTCCCAACACAAATCAATGAAGTTGACTTAATCGTTTTTTAAGTCAACTTATATATATATATATATATATATATATATATATATATATATATATATATATATATATGTATGTATATATAATATTTTTAAAAGCCTCAAATAAACAAAAAACATATTACATATTTCCAAACACCAACTTCCAGCCAATAGCAGCGAGCCTCTTGTGTGACGTCTTTTCCATGCGCCTCTAATTCACACACGACACCGGCTTCGTGCTGTTCATCTGTAGACACGAAATATGTAAACCGTTTAAGAAATACACGAAAAAGCGCGGTCAACGGCTTCTTTATCGTTTTATTTGTAGTGTATAGAAGTAATTATTTGGTTAGCGTTGTTATAGTTTTAGTTTTGTGATCCACGTGGGCTTATTGATGTCATTTCGCATGTGCTTCAGTTATTGACAACGGTTGGCAACACGTCGCCTTTATAGTTTGTTCAGGGTCTTCTTCAAGTCCAGACCAGCATGAAGTGTCACTATGAAGTGCTGGGCGTTAAAAGAGACGCATCCGACGACGACCTAAAAAAGGCGTATAGGAAATTAGCCTTGAAATGGCATCCAGGTATTTCATTGCACCTTATCTGCTTGGTAATCATTAGACGTTGTAACTTAGTTGATGTTTCTCAGAGATGATGTGTCAAGAACTGCGTAATCATTAAAATGTGTACTGTTATATTTACTCTGATGTTAGATAAGAATCTGGATAACGCAGAGGACGCTGCAGAACAGTTTAAGCTGATCCAGGCTGCATATGATGTTCTGAGTGACCCACAGGAGAGAGCCTGGTAAGACCTCTAACAATAACTGGATAAAACAAAATGTTTTTCCATCTATTGATTGGGACATGTTGCATTTGTGATATTTGGAGTACATTGGGGTAAAGTTGGTTTTACATTAGCACATTCAGGCTTTCTACGTTATAGTGTAATTTCAGAAAAGTATTCTGAATAGGTTAATCATATTTGCAACCAATGATTATCAAAGTACAACATTGTTTACATCCAAATAAATAGTGCCAATATTGTTTAAATGTAATACTTGCGTGTGATTTCAGCCCAATATTCAAATATAACTAAAAATAAAACAAAACATTTCTATGTTTCCATCTATTTTGGGGGGTACATAGAAATTTGGAGTACATTTGGACAACTAGAATGAAGATTTAATCTCATTGTTAATTTAATTTATTTAAAGTCTTTATTCATAAATGCAAAGTTTTGAAAATAGCACCACAAATGAAGAGAGTTTTATTATTATTAGGAGTTTGCCACCTATACAAAGGTTTTCGAAATTCTGAAAGGTGAAAAGGCTGAAGAATTGTTTGATTTGCTTAACAAATATAATTTTATTTACCTTCACAGTTCTTGGTTTATTTTTGTTTTTATTTTATACTGTATTTTATGATTGTTTTTGAAAAAACTATTGGCTTAGTATTTGATTCATTGTATGTTTGGCATTTCTCGGTCTGTGAAGATTATAGTGAAATTAAATGGTTTGGCCTTAATTGTTGTGTTTTGGAAATGAAAAAAAAAATGTTGTATGCAAGTATGACTATAAAACAATATTGGCATTATTTAATTGACAGTAAACAATGTTGTACTTTGATAATCATTAGCTATTAATATGATTTTCCTTTTTACAATTGGAAAACAAGACTTTTCTGAAATTATGTTATTTAGGAGAAGGTCTGAATGTGTGAATGTAAAACCTTACCTTAATGATGTGTATATACACACAGCCATAGACACATTTAAGAGACCACTTGAGTATTTACGGTTGGTGTATTTACTAGGCATGTGGTATGAACTTCAAATAAAAATATTGGCATTTAAGTGGTTTTTGGCGGTTGATCACAATAACAAATATTTTCATTTGTTGAGCTTAAAAATGAAGGTTATTTTATCAGTATTAAGTTTTTAACACCTCAGAAGTGAAAACTGTTTAAAAAAACATCTAAAAACCTGAAACCTTTCTTGTTTTTCTGATCATTTTATGTTCTAAATTACAAAAAAAAATTTTTTCATGGAAAAAATATTGTCAGTAGTTTGCATAGCAAAACCAAAAATATGTTTTACACAACTATAAATCATACTTGCTGAGAAATATAGATTTTTATTTATTTATTATTATTATTATTATTATTATTATTATTACTATTTAGAATGTGTTTTTTCATACATTTTTCAATAAGTCTATTTTCACCCAAAATACCAAAATTCCAGTCACTCTTTCTTTTACTGCTAAAGTTAGATGCTTAGCAACCAACTACTCATCCCTTGCGTCAATCACTTTGGACATGTTTTCCCTCTTTTTTCCACAAGGTCTTGTCTACATTTGGTGTTAAAGGGGTAGTTTACCCAAATATGTACATTTCCTTACCATTTACCTTTACTCAGGTGGTTCTAAACGTTTATGCATTTTCCTTCTGTGGAACACAAAACAAGATATCCTGAAAAATGAGGAAAAAACAGTCATTGACATCTATAGTAGAAGCAGAAAGTACAATAGATGTCAATGGCTGGCTGCTGCTTCCAACATTTTACAAAATATCTTCCTTTGTGTTCAACAGAAGATAGATACTTAAACATGTTTGGAAATTGAAACAAGAGCAGCATTGGTAAAATAATGACAATTTTAGTTTTTGGGTGAGCTGTCCTTTTTAAATGATTTCAGGTTTAAACGGGGTATGAAATGAAAACTCATTTGATTCAATTTTAGGTGTTTTTAAAGTGAGCTTGCCGGAGAGGATTTTAACTTTACTGACTGACATAGTGTGTTTTTTGATTTGAAAGTAAAAAAGAAAATGTAAAAGTGCTCAATCCTGCTTTTAACACAAACATTTGTAGTTTTGTAGCTGTCAGAGCAGAAAAGATCTCCGTATCATTTTAAGTGTGTGTGTGCGCAGGCGTGCGTGTTTGTGTGTGTGTGTTTATGTCATTCTATTCTATGCTTTTGCAAATTTCTGCGTTAATTTTATTACACAAGCTTTTTTTTTTTTACAATGTTGATTTGAAAGAATAGAAAAAGTAAATGTATCAGGCCATACTCTTTCCACTCAATGACATCTGGAAAGGGGACAAAAAATACCAAAACTTCTTAGGTAAACAGGAAAGCTTCTTCATTTATTTTTGACCCAACTGAACAAAACACATCTTTAATACTAGGTGTAAACTGGGCCTGAGAGTTCACTTAGGGTTAAGAAACTATTAACGCTTAATTAAGAAATGTTCAGTTTTCAGTGAATTATTCATTCCATTGTGTTTAACTTTTCTATTTTGTGATTGTCTTTTTTCATCATTAACCTGTATGCAATACTTGTTTTTCTCCAATTTTCTTGTAACATTTTATGCTTTCCATACAAATGTCAACCTTGCCATGAAAAAAAAAGTTTTCTCCAAAATAGCGAAACCGTTTTACATTTTTTGTGTGAGCAAGTATTTTACAGTATATTTGCTTAAAATGTCTCTGTCAATGTTTTCAAACTATTATATTAAGTTTAACAAAAAGTCTCACAAGTGTCAATTTCACATCAGTCACATGCATAACAAAGAACTGTTTTGTTCAATAGAGAGCCAACTCTTATGCATTTGATTAGCATTATTTATTTTGGGTTGTGCAGTTTAATTCACAGAAATTCTACGTTGTTGTGTTGCATGATGGAAACTCGCTAACTTTTTTCGCAACATCAATAATGCATGTTTGTTTTCTTCATTTAAAATCTAAAACATGTGTACAGATTGATATTTTTCTCATCCCATAACTCTGTGGTTAATAGTTTTGGCAAATATAATGTTAACATTTACTTTCTCTGTGAATTTGTTTTAAATTTTTACTGCAAATGTCACATCTATAATGCTTGAATTGCTCATATGGATTACATTTGAAAATTCTATTGAGATTTTAGAATTAAGCTTTGAATGTCTGTGATCATATTTTATGTAGTCTTTAGCTGAAATATAGATTTTTTTGTAATCTAGCTGTAATTTTTTTCGCTTGGTTGAGAGAAAATTTTTTTTTCACACACAGTGAAAATGTTGTTTTGAAAGACATGTCTAAAGTGAAGTAATATTTTTTGCTCTCAGTAAGTTATATTTTTATAGATTTATTTTACCTAGCAGAAGGTTGCTAGGTAACAGAGGTATGCTTCTCCAAAGAGACATGAACAGTAGAGGATGTTGAAATGCCTGCGGTCAATTTGACCGGTCATTAAAGGTAGAAATACCCAGAACTCTTGTTTTTTTTTCTTCCAATTTTTATAAAATAACAGCAATAGAATAGGAAAAGTAAGGGAACTATAGATATGTAGGTTTTATCTTAAGATAATACACTGCAATATTAAAAATACGATCAAAAGGACTGCCTCTATTATTTATTGAAATATTGAAGTATTATTTACTAGACTTTTCTGGTGTTTTGGTGTGCATAGTTCTTTTTAGAGTTTAAAACCATCCTTTTTGAAAATATTTACTAAAAACCTTGCAGAATATATAGTTCTGTGAGAATAATCATTGAAACAGAATATTTGTTTATTTATATTTAAAAATATATATTTTTTTTATTTCATATATTTTTTATGGGTCACACTTTACAATACGGTTTCATTAGTTAATATTTACTAACATGAACTAATTATGAACAATATTTGTACTGCATTTTTAATAGTAGTTTAACAATTACTAATGCATTATTAACATCCAAAATAATTAATGCACCCTAAGGTTACATGAACGAAACTAGGAGCAAGTAACACTAGTTAATTTTCATTAACTAGTGTTAACTAACATGAACAAATACTGTAATAAATGTACTGTTTATTGTTTGTTCATGTTAATGTTAATAAGTGCATTTAATAATGCAATTGTATTGTAAAGTGTTACCTTTTTAGTATAGATATTTTATGTACTTTGTAAGTAGCAAAAGACTTCTTAGTATTTGAGTTTCTCTTAAACTGATCCTGTGAAATGGGCAGAATTATGGGTGTAATTTTGGTGCTGATTCCAAGGAGCAGTTCTAGCCTTTTCTCAGCTTCATACTATTCCAAACCACTGTGCTGTTATTGTTTCTGTTAAACAGAGGAAAAGGTACATCTTGCCATTTTTCCTATGGTGTATTTTTGTGGTGATTTTTAGAGCATGACCGATATAAACAAAAGAACTTCTTCAGAATTCCCCCTTTGTATTTAGTGGAAAAAATAACAGTATGTTGTCATAAATGACAAAGAAACATGTTGAATGTTATTGTTGAAAGTTCTGCTTATCTACACAGTCCAGCTTTTTTTTGTATTTGTTTGTTAGCATTTCATGCATAATGAATGACTTGAAAATTGTAAACACATCAGAGATCTAATAGTATGTTTTTATAAAGGTATATTTTTGAAAAAGACATTACTGTGAAGCATATGTGATTGCTTTCAAGTTAACATAGTAAATGATCATATTTTAATTCCAGTCATTATAATACATCAATTATTATAGAATTGTTTGTTATGCCTTAAGTTAAATTATATTAATACATATATTACATTATAAATTATACTATAGTTACATACCAATATATTTTAATTTCAAGCTATATTTTTATAGACATAACAATATTTTTGAAAACGTTACTGTGAAGCATATGCGATTGCTTTTATTTTAACATAGTTTAACATAATTTCTATAAAAAATTCCAATCATTATTGCAAAATAGTTATTGTATAATAATTGTTTATGCAATATTAAGTAAAATTTATTTATTAAATATATTACATTATTAAATGTATTATAGTTTTATGCTAATATTTTAACACGCATGGAGTTGTTTTTGTTTTTTTGTTTAAATTACAAAAAAATGTATTGTTGATGAATTTTTCCAGAGAATTAAAATATACACTCAAGTCAGTTCAGAGAAGATGTCAGAATTATGAGATCTACAGTAAATATTGCAGTGGGAAAATTAATAATTGTAAGAGGTCAATGAAAAATTGTCGGTGAAGGAGTTATAGAATTATAAGATTATTCTCACTGTGACAAAACCATGATTAATCCATGTGTGACATGACATCTGAAATGCATATGCACTTGGTCTATCTATATTAAAATGGCTTGTGCAAATATATGTATTACATTAAGTATACCATCATTGATATTTAATTGGGTTAATATGTCTGTTATGTTCGTTTTAAGGTATGATAACCACCGAGAGGCGCTGCTGAAAGGGGGCGTCAGTGGAGAGTACCAGGATGACAGCATTGATCTTGTGCAGTTCTTCACGGTCACCTGTTACTTCGGTTATGGAGATGATGAAAAGGTGAATTCATCCATTAAACCACCTAATTGTTCCCTACATTAAGAGGATGTTTTCTTGTTTCCTCATCGGTGCTGTTCTCTAAATATGTGCTTTTATAAATTCATGTCAATCATTTAGTTTTATACACAATTTCTATTATGTGTTCTTGTCAATCATTTTAAAGTTAAATGAAATCTTAATCATTTATTTTGCCAAGTGGACACCATCTTGTACCACTGGAGGGCAGTAGAAGTTCATGCTAAATATGCACTTGGACTGCAACACAAGTCTTGCTTTGAAGGGATAGTTCATCCAAAGAAGTTTTTACTCTCCCTCAAGTGCATCCAGACCTTTACGGGTTTCTTTCTTCTGTTGAACACAAAAAAAGATTTTAGAAAAACGCTGAAACCTGTAACCATTGACTTCCCTAGAAGAAAAAACAGATAATATGGAAGTCAATGGTTACAGGTTTCCAGCGTTCTTCAGAATATCTTCTTTTGTAAAAGATGAAAATACTCATAAACAAGGGTGAGTAAATGATGACAACTTTTTTCGGTCAACTATCAGTTTAAAGCCTTGAACACGGTTATTTACAGATATTTGACTTTCTTAGTGCTGTTGAACACAAAAGAAGTTATTTTGAAGAATGCTGGAACTTTGAAAGCGGTCGTCATTGACACTCAAAAATATAATAATAATTTAATGCAATATTAAATGAAATTATATTAATAAATATATTACATTATAAAATGTATTATAATTTTATGCTATGCCATAAGGTTTTTGGCACACATGTAATTTATTTTTTGCTTAATTAAAAAAAAAAGGAAATTGGATTGAATGGATTTTTATTTATTTTTTTCAGAAAAAAGAATTAATTGAATAAAAAAAAACTCTAACCTTTAACCTCCCTAGAAGGAAACTATGGGACTCAATGGTTACTGGATTCTACTGTACTTAACACAAACGAAGATATTTTGAAGAATGTTTAAAACCAGTAGTCATTGACACCCTTAGTAGGAATAAAAAATACTATGGAAGTCAATGACTACATTTTTCCAACAATCTTCATAAATTTGTGTTCAACAGAAAACAAATACAGGTTTGGTTTGGAATAAATGGAGGGTGAGTAAATGATGGCAGAGGTAAATCTTTTGGATGAACTATCCCTTTAAGTTTAAACTTAAAGTTTGAACTGATTCAGAATATTTTTCACTGAAGCTGACGTGTTTAATAGAGCAACTCTTTGTGTTTTGTATGTGTGTGTGTGTGTCTGTGTGCGTGTTTGTGTGTATGTGTAGGGCTTTTATGCGGTCTACAGGAATGTGTTTGAGTCAATCGTGATGGAAGAGAAGGAGCACAGTAAAGATGAGGAAGACGAGGAGGATGAGTTTCCCTCGTTTGGAGAATCCGAGAGTGACTACGACACTGTATGTACAAACTAACACTTCTTTTACTTAGGGGTGTAACTGATCACAGCCATCAAAAATGTGTCACAGAATAGTGCTCCAAAAAAGTCTAATAAAACATGAAGTTTTTATGAGTGAGTTGAGTAAAAAATTGAAAATGAGGAAAAAAAAAAATGTGTCGTTCAAGATTCTATAAACATTCTGAGATTATAAGAATACTAAATGTGCACATTTTTGTATTATCAGCAAGAAAAAAAATATTCTGCTAATTTATTTCCTTATTTGAAATATTTTAATTAAAGGTTTAATTAAACATTTCAGGTTCTGTTATTTTTGTTAAAACCAAAAGTTTCTCGCAGTAAGCTACTGTTTTATGTAATAAATGGAAAGCAAATTATATTGGTCTCCTCCTCTTTTGCTGATCCAATAATGGTCCAATTCGTGACTCACAAACTGTGGCATCAACCGATCTGTAAGATTTGTCATTCATTGCACCACTAATTTTACTTATTCCTCGATCATAAAAGACAGATCACACTCGCAAAACACCTTTTTTCATTTTTATTGTGTAAGAAATTGAAGATGCATTGTGATGACAAATTTTGGGATCATTGCATGAAATGAGTGATAAAGAGTGTTGCAAATTCTGCAGAGCTTTGGCTGATGAAGCTGGTTTGCTTTTATGAAAATCTTTATGGAGTTATGAAAGTAAGGAATTTCCTATTCTCCTATATCGTGATGTGCATCCAATTAAAGTTATTCTCAAATGAGAAAAATTTTTTAGGGTGGTGCATGATTTGGCCCTTTGGGATCCAATTGGTTTATTGAAAAATGAGCATTGCTGACACAATAAAGGAAGATTGAAGAATGGACAAATTCATAATATGAATAGTTTGAATGGACATAAAACTATAATATAGCCCCACCAAAAACATTCAAGGGCGTATTATTTTGCCCTCAAATAATATATTAAAACAATAATTATCTTTCTAAAAAAAATATGCATCTAGATGTTTATGCATCTATAACAGGGGTCACCAATCTCAGTCCTGGAGGTCTGGTGCCCTGCAGGGTTTAGCTCCAACTTGCCTCAACACAGCTGCCTGGGTGTTTCAAGTATACCTAAGACCTTGATTACCTTTTCAGGTGCGTTTGGTTAGGGTTAAAATCTGCAGGACACCGGACCTCCAGGAATAAGTTTGGTGATCCCTGATCTATAACCTAATGATACAGTAGTTTTTTACTCCAGAAGCGCTTGCATAGCTGCATTCATAGCTTGTTTGACATTTCGTTATCCATTTTGTTCCAAGAACAAGAATCAGAACAAGAAATCTGGAGATGAGTTATATACATGCTTGCCAGATGGGAGTCATTTGTTATGAGTCATTTACAGAAGTCAGTAGGAGAGTACATGTATAGATTGTACCATTAAGATCCTGAAATTCTTGAGTGTTTTAATCATACCCGAGTTCTCCAGAAGGTCTAGTGCGTTTTAGACCTTGCAGCCAAATGAGACCGTGGATTATTAAGTTGGATAAATGCATCACAAAAGCATTCCCATCTATAAACACTTGTCGTAATAAGCAAGTGCTGGAGGATTCTCTTTCATATCTGAAAATGGTTCAAACCATTAGTTAAAAGAAAAGGGGAAAATCTTGCCCAATCGGTTCAGATTTGGTTCAAGGAGTTCAGCATCTGTTTTAGACGCAGAGACCATTTTCTTCAGGGCCTGAACAATGAGTGTCATCCCACTTGAATCACCTCTCGAGGCTCTTAACCGTTTCCCTTTCCGAGTTGTTTTGTACCTGCTTTTTCCTAATGGATGTTTTGGAGTGTTTGTCATCGGTGGAGGCTTGCAAGTAGCAGATGAACTCAGCACAAGTGTACAATCCTCCTAAAAACTCTGTCTTTTTGTTAAATGAGTGAAGCCTGAGAAGTCTGTGCTGAAAGTTTGGTTTTACGTGCTTTTATCAATCTCTGGTTTTATTTCTTTAATGTATGATCTTTTTTTTGTCCTTCAGGTGGTGCATTTATTTTATGGCTACTGGCAGAGCTTCTGTACACGGAAGAACTTTGCGTGGAAGGAGGAATACGACACGCGACAGGCCTCCAACCGCTGGGAGAAGAGAGCCATGGAGAAGGAGAACAAGAAAACCAGAGACAAGGCCAGGAAGGAGCACAGCGAGCTGGTGCGGCAACTAGTGGCCTTCGTCCGCAAGCGAGACAAGCGTGTGCAGGCTCATAAGAAGCTGGTGGAGGAGCAGAACGCAGAGAAGGCCAAGAAAGTGGAAGAACTGAGGAGAAAACAGAAGCTCAGCCAGGCCAAGTATGTGAGATTACATTGGTTTGAACTATTTAGTGCATACCATTGCTAAATACTGCAAAAAGTGTTTGTGTTTATTGCTTGTATATTTAAAACTATCCTGATTTATTGGTTATTTATATATTTATATAAGTTAGACCAGCTTAAAATAATTCTCATAAGTACCTATAACCATTTTAATAACTACTTAATCTGAAATGTGTACATCAGGGTTCCCACGCTTTTTGAAAGTACTTAAAAACAAATAGAGGTCCTTGAAAGTGCTTGAATTGAATTTAAAATTAAATTTGTTTATAGTTTTATTTTAACAATTGTACTCAATTGTCAAAATGGATAAATTAAACATCTAAAATTTAAATCATGATGATGATGATGACGATGAGCCTTTATTTGTCACAACACTGTTACATGCAGTGATATTGGAGTCCTTTGGCCATACACAAACATCATACATTTCAAGGGAACACTGGTCATTTGAGAGGTAGCAAAGAAAAACTATATGTAAACTATATACATAAATATATTTTCACTGGTTGAAAAAAAAGTAAATTTAACATATAAATAATTTTTTTTCCAGTTACAATATAAACATTTTCAGGATAATGCAAGTTATTAAATTATTTATATAATGCATAAGTCCTTAAAAAATGTAAAGTTGAAAAAGTGAACAAATTATGTAAATTCTATCAGATTAAACCTTTATATATTTAAATGTTCCAGTTTATCTGGAAACGTTTCTGCATTTTATTCATCCATCCATCGTTAATTGTTATTATATAGTAGAATAGTTAGTAGATGGATAAAATGCAGAAGTTAATTCAGATAAACTGAAACGTTTACATGTGTAAAAGTTTATTCGGAAACAATTTCTCTAATTTGTTCACTTTTTCAACATCCATCCATCCATCCAACTGCATTTCCATGATTTATATCTACAGTTAACTATAGATATATGAATAGATAGGTTAAATGCAGAAATTAAATCAGATAAACTGAAACTTTTACATGTATAAAAGTTTAATATCTAAATTGTATGTATGCTGTATATTTATTGATCATTATGTTAGGCTTGCTGAAGACTATCAGGAGCAGAGCTGGACTGCAATGTCTGAGCTGGAGAAGGAGCTGCAGCAGATGGAGGCTGAATATGGACAGGAGTTTGGAGACGCCTCCGACAGTGAGGAGAACGAGGAGGAGCTGGAGAGTCGGGACATAGCAAATGTGGATGGCGTTGGTGAGCTCTGATTTCATCAATACACATACAGCAGTGCATTCTGCTTCAAGTCTGCATAAACCGGAAGTTGCTGCGACTTTTTTCAGTATGTTGATGGGCTTCCAACTTAAATTTAATGTTGAGTAGGGGGCGGGGCTTTCCTTTGTTCATCATTCCCTCTAGAAAACCAACGGTAAGAGGGGCGTGGTTAAGAATATTGATTTGCAGTTGCTATGGAAGCCCTAAAGTTGACGTTAACAAAAGGGCTACCACACCATCTTCTTTTTTTCAGATAAAATATTAAAATTTTTACGATAATGCAAGTTATTGAATAATTTTTATCACATATAGACCTTTTTCATGGCTGCTGCATGGAGACCAGCGTCTTCCGGTAGAATGCTAAAAACTTCTGTTCACAGCTTGTACAACTGGTAATTTGCGCTCCGAAAAAGGATTTCAATAAAGTTTTTAATGGATAACATTTTTGTGACACACAACTTAGAAATGTGTCTGTTAAAGCCTTTATAATCTGTCACATGTGGTTCAAGCGCGTCAGAAATATGAGAAAAACGTTCTCCTAGTTCACGTGTCTGCCGTCAGAAATACAGTGTATGTTCCCGGCCTGTCAGCTGTTAGCTCAGCGGCTCTTTAACACACACACACACACACACACACACACACACACACACACAGAGAGAGAGAGAGCAAACCAGAGTACTGGCATGAAACTTAACAGGTATGAAAGTCGTGGAATTTACAAAAATGACCAATAAAAGTCTGTTATTGATACTCTGCGGGCTGATTTGCTGTTCATTCTAATCGGGAGCCGTTTGTGTTGTATTTCGTGTGTTGTATTCACCACGGTTTGTGTTTTTCTGTCACTTCGAAATGACACTAGCCTATATTTTCACTTTCTCACACTTATTACATCAGTGTGTCAGTGGCACAGTACACGCTACGTATGTGTCTGTCAAACATTTTAGTGAATTGCATTTGTTTGGGCTGGTTATATATTTGAAATAAAGAGAAAATGTTGACTGTAGCGATGACAAGGCTTCATTTAAACTTCAGAAGATGCTGTCTGACAATGAGGGGAAAACGCCTCACAGCAGCTGTTTTCCATCCTATTAGATCGCATTTCTTTAAATGATCAGTCCAGGAGATGGTGCTGATGGACTACAGTATTAGTTCAAAGAGGATAAAAGCAGGTAAAATAGATTAAAACTATCGTTTCAAAGCTGTCCAAATGTGACTGTTTACACGCATCAGCTGCCGACTGGAAGTTCTTCACATTCTCCTTGCGCATACACGCAAAGCATAATGGGTAATTTTGCGGTCCAAGAAAAAGGTCTATACGTTCTTTAAAAAGATAATTGTATTTATAGTATGTCTATGTGCTTCCAACTGAAACAGAATATTAAGTAGTTGGCGGGGCTTTCTTTTGCGTATCATTCCCTTATAGCAAACTAATGGTAAAAGGGCGTGGTTAAGAATATTAATATGCAGTTGCTATGGAAGCAAAAAAAAGAAAAAAAAATTAAGAATAACAACTTTAACTTTAAGATTAACAACTTTTAACCAAAGAGCTTAGAATGACCAAGAGGGTCATTCCATTGCAACAGCAGCGCCCAGCAACCGCCCCGGATTCCGCCATTTTGGAGTAAAAGCAGTCGGCTGTCCATTGGATCTAATTTCTGTCGCGATGGCAAGCAACTGCTTTGTTTTTATTTATTTATTTAAAAAAGCGCATTAAAGCTGAGATACAACCTGAAAGACGACAAAACAACACTTACTATCACAATCATCTGCACTTTTAATAGTTTATTTTACAGTCTTATAATATGCTGTTGTTCTATTGGAATTTTCAAAATGGCGGAATCCGGGGCTGTTGCTGGGCGCTGCTGTTGCAATGGAACGCTCTATTGAGTGTCGCCTCTTGGTCATTCTAAGCTCTTTGGCGCTATCTCGTAGCTGTTTCCCAACACGCACCAGCGTGTCACCTCTTGGTGATTCTATGTTCTTTGTTTTATCTTTAACAACTTTAAGAATAACAATGTGAGCTAGCAAAATAAACATTGGAAATTTTGATTTCAGTGTACTTTAACTAAACAAGAAACTCTGGGACAGTCATATGCCTACTGGAAAACAAAGTTTAGGATTAAAAACAGCCCTGTAACACCTAAAACTCAAATACTGTTTATATAGTAAGACATATCACAAAAAAGTCTCTCACTATTTTAAGTAAAATTTTAACATAATGTTAAGTCAAACACTTGTTGACTTGAGTTTATAAATAACTTGGGTCCGACAGCGCATTCATCTGGGCTTTACACATTCATCACAGTGATGAAAAATCCCTTCACTCATACTGTAAAACATTGAGAAATGAATGGTGTGTTCTGTATGTTAACTAGTGCTTGACATTTGTCAGATGCTGTGATGGCAGATGGTGCTGCAGAAATGGACGACTATTATGATGACCTCTACTGTCCGGCCTGTGACAAATCTTTCAAATCCGATAAAGCGTGAGTGAAACCAATCACCAACACACACAACACTGTCCACTGCTTACACACTGGAGGAAGATTATATTTCAGTTTTTAGATTGTCACTTCAGTTGTTTTTACATTTAGCTGGTAAAGGAATATATAATGGCAGACTTCAGATTCATGATTGGTGTACATGTATAGTTGAAATGGTCACACTTTGCAATACAGAATATGTAGTTGATGTTAGTTAGTTTATTTACTAACATGAATGATACTTGTGTAGCTTTGATAAATGTAGTTTAATGTTTACTAATGCATTATTAAAGTCCAATGCTGTTCTTGTTAACATTAGTTATTGCACTGTGATTTAATATGGACTAACAGTGAAAGACATTTTTTATGATCTAATGTTAGCTTACACTATGTCCGGTATTGTAGTGTTACTATCTCTAAAGCGTTTTGTTTTGTGCTAAAATTTCTATTTATTAAAATATGAATTCAATCTAAAGTTGATTTCTATTTGAATATGTTTAAATAGTTGTTTTTTCTTTAGATTTTTTTGGATTGTTAAACATATATTGACATTTTTATTATTAAATTAAACATTTATTTAGATATAATATTTTTTTATTATTATTCTATATTACTTCATTATCATGCTGATGATCTTTTGGGAAGCTGTGACTACAAACACATATTTGTTTAAAAAAACATTATTAAATCAAAATCTTTTGTCACTTTTTACTTTGTTGAATAAAAGTATTTGCAAAAAAAGCTAAACAAATATTTTAATATTTAAAATTAATATATATTACTAAAATTAGTTGAATATTACAGCTGTTATATATACAGTTAAAGTCAAAATTATTACCCCCCTGAATTATTAGCCATCCTGTTTATTTTTTTTCCCAATTTCTTAGCACATTTCTAAACATAATAGTTTTAATAACTCATTTATAATAACTGATTTATTTGATCTTTGCTATAATGACAGTAAATAATGTTTTACTGGATATTTTTCAAGACACTTCTATACAGCTTAAAGTGACATTTAAAAGCTTAACTAGGTTAATTAAGTTAACTAGCCAGGTTAGGGTAATTAGGCAAGTTATTGTATACTGATGGTTTGTTCTGTAGACTATTGAAAAAATACATAGTTTAAAGGGGCTAATAATCAAATCAAAAACTGCTTTTAATTTAGCCAAAAATAAACAAATCTAGCCGAAATTAAATAAATAAGACTTTCTCCAGAAGAAAAAAATATTATCAGACATACTGTGAAAATGTCCTTGCTCTGTTAAACATCATATGGGAAATATTTAAAAAAGAAAAAAAAATCAAAAGGGGGGCTAATAATTCTGACCTTAACTGTATATCACAAACAAGCAGCATGTTTATGCTTCTGTATCATTTTTCCCCTCTCACCTTAAGTTGCCAAGACGGCACTTACAGGAAGATTTAAGCAGTGCAAAATCTCACCTTTAGACTTAAAGCCACAATTAAAAAGCTATATTCTAAACAAATGTTTAGCAGAATGATTTATTTTGCTCAAAAAAAAAAAAAACTTCAAATTCTAGTTCTTACTAGGAAGGTAATCTAGCTATTCTTTTACACAAGATGCCATATTAGACACACAAGACTCACTCATGAACATCAGCTCAAAGGAGAAGTTCCTCCAAAATGAAAATATTACAGTAGTAAACTGTTTAACAGATACTTTTGGAATGCCCTTTTATCAGACATCTTTATCTGGAGAGACGTTAAAGGAAATATTTGTCTTTTAAAAATAGGAAAACTGTAATTAAATGTAAATCTTTAAAAAAAACCACTTATGTCATGTTTATTTACCTTTGATGCCTTTTTATTGTTATAAACCTTTACATTTAACTGTAAATTGTATAGTTTTTTGACATTTACATGACATAGAGTTGCTGATATGGCAATAATCTCAAAACTCTCTCTTCTCATATGAAAATTCAAAGAGCATTTATAAAGTTAACATTAAAAAAAGAACAAACATATAAAAACATTGTGCAAACAGTAAATAGTAGTACTAAAAATAATAAAAATCTCTCTCATATATCAGCATGAAAAACCACTCAAAATCAAAGAAGCACAGAGAGATGGTGGCACTGCTGAGACAACAGCTGGAGGAGGAAGATGAGTCTCTGAGTCAAAACTGTGCTGAGAGAGAAGAGGACGATGAAGAAGAAGATGATGATGATGATGATGAACAAAATGACACATCCAAACAAAAGTAATCCATATCTATAAATGAGCTCTTTTCATGTTATTTATGTTTTGCTGCTTTTATCAGTTCTTCACAACATATGCCTGATTTCTAAACCTCCGCTGATTAAATATTAAAGGGCCTGTTTACCCAAAAATTTTAATTCTGTCATTAATTATACGCTCTTGTGTTGTTTCAATCCTCTTTTCTTCATCTTTAGAACACAAATGAAGAAATTTTTGGTGAAATTCGAGAGCTCTGTCTCTGTCCTCCATAAACTTCCAAAGATGTTCAAACTCCAGAATATGTTTTGAAAAGAAGTTTATAAAAATGTTGGAAAGGGTTAGTTTAAGAAGTTTTGAAGAATATTGTAAACCAGTTGCTTTTGAATTTCCAAAGTAAAAGTCAATGGCTTCCGGTTTACAACATTTTTCAAAATATCTTCTTTTTTTGTTCATTATTGGAAAGAAATTGAACTATGTATGAATGAGTGGAGAGTAACTAATTAATGACAGAATGAACATTTTTTGGGTGAACTGTCCCTTCAACAAGTAGTTAAAAAAAAAAAAAGTGTACTTAATAAAGCGGCCATAAGCATTCTGTATTTAATGCATCCACTGATGTGTGTTTGTTTTGTCTTCTGACTGGTTTGTTTGATTTCTAGGCTCTCTAAAAGGCAGAAGAAAAAGAAGCGTCAGCAAAAACCTGTAAATGTAAGTACATAACATCTAACTATTTAAAGGGACAGTTCACAACAATTGAAAATTGTCATCATTTACTCACCATTTACGTAGCCAAAAGTCTATATCAAATTTACAAACAGATTTTGAATCTCTTTTTAAACTAGATTTGATCAAGTGTATTTTTTACTAGATGTCATATACTGTAGGTCATAAGACTACTGTAAGGGATAGTTCACCCAAAAATAAAAATTCTTTCTGCATTTAATCACCTTTCACTTGTTCAAAACCACTTTGAGTGTCTGTCTTCCTTTGTACACAAAAGAGGGTGCTTTGAAGAATGCTGGAAACCGGTAACTATTGACTTGCTTGGAGGAAAAACAAATACTATTGTAGCCAATGGTTACCGGTTTCCAACATTTTTCAAAATAACTTATTTTGTGCTCAACTGTAGAACGAAGTATACACGGGTACAAATGTCCCCATGAGTCTGTGTGCATTCAATTTTAATTTCCCACTGGGATATAAAATTGTGCACACACACACACACACACACAATGATAAAACCATGATAAAGGATTTCAATAGCTACCACTTACTAACATTCTTCAAAATATCTTTCATTTTCAGTAGAGCTAAGAAATTTGTAATCACTTGAGGGTGAGTAAATGAGTACATTTTTGTTTTGAGGGTGAACTGTCCCTTTAAGTATTTAAATATACTAGATTTAGGTTTTTTTCTCTAGTCAAGTGCCATTTATTTATGATGCAGTTGTTCTGTAGAATCTTCCAGAAGCACCGGAGACAGTCAGTCCAGTCCCACAGTCCACAGAAGAGCATCTTTCCCCTGCACCTGATTCGGGCAACACTGAGGACACCCCTGTTCCGTCTGAGGACCCAGATGACAGTGTAAAGCCAGACGGACAGGAAAACACAAACCAAAAAAGGTGTCTCTCATAGGCTTTCTGTAAAGTTTTTTTTTTGTTTGTTTGTTATGAACTGGGATTAACTTAAATGACACTTTTTTTTAATAGCACTGCAAAGACGAAAGGGAAGAAAGGCGGAAAAGACTCTAAAAAGGGCAGCAAAGCACATGGAGGTGTGGAAGCTGCACCAGAGGTTTGTACTGTACTTTAGTGTGTGTGTGTGTGTGCGTGCGTGTGTGCGTGCGTGCGTGCGTGCGTGCGTGCGTGCGTGCGTGCGTGCGTGCGTCTGTCTGTCTGTCTGTCTGTCTGTCTGTCTGTCTGTCTGAGAGTGAGTGTGTGTCAGAGTGTGTGAGAGTGTATGCATTGTTATATCATTGTCATGTTATAATATATTTTATCATCACAATTGTCATCAACTTTATTGTATAACTTTATTTATAATATCAATAATAATAACAATAATAGTAATGATTTCCTATAGCAAATGTAATTTTTTAATATGTGCCTAATTTCATAAGCATTATATTGTAATTTTACTTCACTTGTTCAAAACCACTTTGAGTATTGTTCTTCTGTTGAACAGATGAACACATAATAAAATATATTGAAGAATGTTGGAAACCGGTAACCATTAACTTGCATTGAGGAAAAGCAAATACTATGGAACTTTACTACGTTATTACAAATCATGTAATTTAATAATTCTTGGTAAATTTCATAAATATTATATTGTTATTTTACATTTCTAAATTACTTGGATTGTTTTGGAAAATTGTTTTGGATTGTTCATTTCATAATTTATTTCCGTAATATTTTAACTAGATATTTACTTTATTACATTTTTAACTGATTATATGTCTCAGATCATATTTTATAGCTGTTTTAAACATAATTGCTCATTCTAATATGTATTATTATATTTACCATATTTTTATTTATATATTTTAGTTTATTATATTTTTTTATTTACTATAATTTACTTTTTATTATAAACTTATTAGTCTTTGAACTAGCAATAGTATTAATAATATGTATTTTGTTTTAGCTTTAATGATTAATAAATAAAGTAATACATATATTATTATTACTATTGTTAGTTTGAAGACTAGTTAATTTATTATAAATATAATTATACATTTTAAAATGAACAATTATGTTCAAAATGGCTATTAAAGGGATATATAAATATTGATTGTATTAGAGACATACTGTATTGATTTTATAGTTATTAATATATTTACAATACTTTTATTCAGTGATTTACATATTGTCTCTAAATTAATCATTATAATTATTTATTATTAATAATTATTTATTTAGTATTTGATACTTTAACTTTTATTGAACATACTATTACTACTACTAATAATATTAATGCATATATTACTATTTTATAGCCAAATATAGTGTGTGTATATATAATCACAAAATGTTTGCCAAATTGCCCTTCCCTAAAGGCAAACACAGCACTGCAAGCCTGTATTGTTATTTTTTATCATGTTTAAATCACATTTCCATTTTAATGGAAAGTAAATACTGTCTGTCATCATTTAAGTTAGATAAACTTGCAATTCAAATGTATTTGTTGATGCTTTTGTCTGCTCCTTACAGAAGGAAGTGAACCTGCGCTGTGTGACCTGCCAGTATGAATTCACCACCAGAAACAAGCTTTTCGATCATCTAAAAAGCACAGGTCACGCCACCGCGCTCTCCTCCAGTAACACCAGCCAAACCAGCAAGAAAAAGAAGGACTCCAGGAAAAACAGATAACCAGAAACACAATTAAAGACTCCGCATTTCCCCAAACAAACTGCTTTTAAACCACTTGTTTGATGAAATGCAACAATCAGAAAACACTTTTAAGGACCCCTCTGTGCTTTTCTGCCCATAAGAGAATAAAACGTCTCTTTTGTAACATGGTATATGTTAAATAATTTCCCTAAACGCCCATTTATACCTATCGTAATTGACGTGTAATCTTGTGCAAATGAGACTTTTGGAGTAAACCCTGTCGTTTTTGTGCTTTTAAGTAGTCGAGTAAAGCTAAAGATGGCATGCGTTGTCACATTTACACAGTCACCATTTCAACCTGTCAAATTCAAAGTGAGGATTAAAACTCTACTGGATGTTTTGAAGCTGCTTCTGATAATATTTCGAAGAACGTTTTCTTGGTTGTAAATGTTTTGAGACTGATTTTTCAAGAAGTGCGCTATAATCGGCATGATTTTACTGCAGCGATATTATTAGTGATAACATCTTTTGGTTTATGATCGTTTAAACTAAACATACAAATATGTTTGTGTGTAACAAGTCAACTGTGGTATATATATTCTAAAAAGAAAAGGCTTAGTGTTACGCAAAACAAACCCAAGGGATTTCCTGGAAAGGATCTCAGAAGGAGTTTAAAATACAATAGGCGCTTATTTAATATACAGTCGCGTTCGCTGAAGGGCAAAAATAACCTGACAGATTCACATGATGTTTTAGGAGACAACAGATTTATGACTTTGCTTGTTTTAATCCTATAGGCCGCGATTGTCACTTTAAGTGGGTCAGTGATGCATTTAATCTCAGCAAAGCACTTTTATAGGATGCATTTAGATGCAGCCCTGCTGTTAGTGTACAGTATATTTAAAAAGATGGATGTTTTAGTGCGTGTTGAGAAATCATCACTAATTTCAGATCTAAAAAGAGTAGAATTCAATAGTGCACTGTCAATAGTGCATGCACACTTACTTTCATATTTATGGTATTTGAAGTATTTTCCTGTAGAGATTTAAACATAAATAAATCATAATCTTGTTAAGTGTGATGTCATGCCAAGCGGCTTCCGGGTCCAAGCACTTTATCAAACTGTAGAGGAGGACTCAACAAATGGGGAAAATAAATGTTTAGCAAGCGCTGTAATACTTTCGAAAATCATGATCGTAATATATATACAGTTGAAGTCAGCCCTCCTTTGATTTTTTTTCTTTTCTAAATATTTCCCAAACGATGTTTACCAGAGCAAGGACATTTTCACAGAAAGTCTGATAATATTTTTTCTTCTAGAGAAAGTCTTATTTGTTTTATTTCGGCTAGAATAAAACAGTGTTTAATTTTTTAAGGACCGAATTATTAGCCCCTTTAAGGTTTTTTTTTTTCGATATGCTACAGAACAAACCATCATTATACAATAAATTGCCTAATTACTATAACCTGCCTAGTTAACCTAATTAACCTAGTTAAGCCTTTAAATGTCACTTTAAGCTGTATCGAAGTGTCTTGAAAAATATCCAGTCAAATATTATTTACTGTCATCATAGCAAAGATAAAATAAAAGTTATAATAAATGAGTTATTAAAACTATTATGTTTAGAAATGTTTTTTACAGTTAAACAGAAATTGGGGGAAATTTTAACTGGGTTGCTAATAATTCAGGGGGGCTAATAATTCTGACTTTAACTGTATTTATCCATGCTTACTATCCGATAGCCAGAAAGTGATAATTAAAAAAAAAAAAGTTTGATCTTCTGTGATGCAGCAAGTCTGTTGTGTACACCATGATTATATATAAAATTCACGTTACTGTGTGATCTGATTAAAAAGTGGTCATAAATGAATATTTCCTCAATTCAAATGAGTACTGGCTTGGACCTGCAAACAGTATTTCCTGTGCCAAAACTTAAGAAGTGTTCTATCTACCAACCAAACTTCGTTTTTTGAAGATGGATAATTATGTCGAAAATAAGGCAAACTTTTTTATTAATGAATAAAAGAACTACAATCCCATGAAGCATTGCGAATGACACGATCTGATTCAATGCATCAAATGTAAAACTGTCAATTTGAAGTTGTTGGTTGTATCTTTTAAAAACAGCCCTTGTGGGGTTTTTTATATTTCCCAAACGATGTTTAACAGAGCAAGACATTTTTAACAGTATTTCCTATATTATTTTTTCTTCTGGAGAAAGTCTTACTTGTTTTATTTCGGCTAGAATAAAAGCGGTTTGTAATAAAAAAAAAAAAAAAACATTTTAAGGTCAGAATTATTAGCCCTCTTAAGCAATATTGTTTATTTTAATTGTGTATAGAACAAACTACTGTTATATGATAGCTTGCCTAATTACCCTGACTTGCCAAGTTAATTTAATTACAGTGCATCCGGAAAGTATTCATAAGAGGAAGATGTTTGGAACCCACAGGACTCTTCCTAGAGCTGGCCGGCCATCTAAGCTGAGTGATCGGGGGAAAAGGGCCTTAGTCAGGGAGGGGATCAATAACCCGATGGTCACTCTGTCTGAGCTACAGCGTTCTTCTGTCGAGAGAGGAGAACCTTACAGAAGGACAACCATCTGTGTAGCACTCTCAGACTATAAGAAACTAAATTCTCTGGTCTGATAAGACAAAAATTAAACTCTTTAGACTGAATGCCAGGCATTACATTTGGAGAAAACCAGGCACCGCTCAACACCAGGCCTAAAGTGAAGCGTGATGGTGGCAGCATCATGCAGTGGGGATGTTTTTCATCAGCAGGAACTGAAAGACTAGTCAGGATAGAGACAAAGATAAATGCAGCAATGTACAGAGACATCCAAAATGAACGACCCCTTAGCTGTATATCTTCTAGACTATCGATGGCTGCTACTTTTCTGCATAGCATCATAGTTAATATAGCTTATTTTGCACAAATTCTGCATTTAAACATGATTGTTTTAATAATACATTGAATTAATATGAACAGATTTGTTTAACAAAACTCGCAACAGTTCTGTCCTTAAAGATTTATCAGTTATTTCAATTTGCCTGTGTGGAGAAAATGCGCAAATGCCCATAGACGTTATTTAGAACCAGAAAACATATTATTTATTAATCATTTCTTTGCATTAGGGAATCTATCAAGTTTTATTTTGAAGGTATACAATTAATTGGATATTCGACAGATGAAAATATCAATAAAACAACAAACAAGCATATCATAATGTAACATTAGAAGATAACCTTCGAGTCATTTCTGTTATTTACTGTATTAAGTCCACATACTGTAAAGGTAAGTGGTAATTCAAGTCTTTCTACATGTTTTAATTGAAGTAGTCAGTGTGCTAAAGGATTTGAGCATATACTGATTTTCTGAAGAATCCGAAATGTAGCTGAAATGATGCACTTATACACTGTGCCTTAACAGTAGAGTATGCAACTATGCATGCCGCCATCTAGAACATGAACTATATACGATCCCCTCCAAGTGACAGCCGAGTAAATGAAGTGCCCAACATTCCACACCTTTCCCCCCATTAAAAGAAGAGCTTCATACAGGTATTTAAAATGCTCTTTTTCACACTACCAGCTTTATTTCTGCTGAAATCATCTCTTTTTGTCAGAAAGTACTGCATACAGCCATAAAAATATCATTTTCACTTTTTTTGTAAGATAAAATGTTTACATTCAGGCAAATCATGTTTGAACAAACCCCTTTGTAAAAAAAAAAAGTTCAGAATAGAGATAAACTGAAGAAAAATAGCTTTTCTTAGACTTTTTGTTTGTTTGTTTGTTTCTAGTCCAAATATTAAAAACATACTTTAATCAAGGAGCATTTTCTAGACAAGCAAAACTATTGTTTTGTTTAAAAAAATAAAATGTCAAAATGACCCCATAGGCAGATTATTTTGCTTGATTTAAATAGAAATGTACATAATTTTGCCGTATTATTTCTTTTAAAAATGTTCTTGTCTAGAAAATGATTCTGGATTTTAGAATTTTTAAAAATATTTTAATTAGAAACAAGACGAAAGCTCTATTTTTTTTCCCGGTGTATGAATAAAATAAAGTTGTTTGATGGATGTAAGTGGAGATTTATTACTCTTTGCAGGAGGAAAAATATATATTTTGAGAAATTGGCCTCAAATAATGTGTTGTAAATAGAAGAATTTTATAAAGTATGATCAAAGAAACGTACTAAATGTATTTTATATATTATTTTTTTCATTACGTTAAAGATGGTAAAAAACAGCTGATATTTATTAATATACAGCCCGATTATCAATATAAGTTTTCTAAAATGTTGTGTTAATATGTAGATGATGCAGTTTTGTTAAATATGTGCTGCTTTGCATTCATTTCTAGCACAAAAATATGAACACAAGATGAAGTGAAGTTAAAAATTATTGTTTTTATTTTTTTACATGATTCAAATGTTTGCTTTACAGAAGCCATTTTGGTCATCTCTTGTCACACTCTCAGAAATAAAGGTACACGATCTGTTTCTGAAGCGGCACCTTTTCAAAAGGTACACATATTTGTACTTCTAGGCTCCATATTGGTACCTCAAAAATATATATTAGTACCTAAAATTTTTAAGAGGAACACTTTTGTACTTTTTAGGTTCTAATATGTAACCCTGAGGAATTAATATGGATCTTTAAGTTACAAATTTGTAACTTTTGAAAAGGTACAACCCCAGTGACAGCTCGCGTACCTCTATTTCTGAGAGTTCAGAAAGTACTGCATACAGCCATAAAAAAATCATTGTCACTTTTTTTGTAAGATAAAATGTTGTTTACATTCAGGCAAATCACGTATGAACTAAAGCAATTTCAGAATATAGAGAAACTGCAAAAATAATGCTTTTCTTGGTTTTTTTGTTTAGTCCAAATATAAAAAATAAACCTAAATCAAGGAGCATTTTCTAGACAAGCAAAACATATTGTCTTGTTTTAAGAAATAAAATGTCAAAATTACCCCATAGGCAGATTATTTTGCTTGATTTAAGTAGAAACATACATAATTTTGGCGTATTATTTCTTACAAATATATTTTTCCTTGTGTACAAAATGCTTCTTGAATTAAGATTTTTAGCTATTTGGAGTAGAAACAAGACAAAAGCTCTAAGTAAGAAAAGCATTTTTTAGTGTATGAATAAAATTAAAGTTGCTTGATGGATGTAAATGTTGGTTTATTACTCTGCACATGAGAACATTTTGAGAAATTGGCCTTCAAGAATGTATTGTAAATGAAATTGATAATGTACAATCAAAGAAATGTTTTTTTTTTTTTTTTTAATTAACAGATGCATTAAAACAGTTTGTGTCTCACTTTATAAAAGTCATAGAATAGTGTTCATATGTGAATGTGTGACACACATCTGGTCTTAGATTGTCAGTCAGGCCACAGACAGAAAGCTGAAGTGCTCTTAATTATGTTGTAGTTTCTACAGTGTAGTGAACTCAAACCAATTACTTAGATGTTCTTCACACATCGCTCCCATACTAAGAAATGCAAGTGTGAAAATGAGGTTAGTCGCATTTGCTGGTCTTTAGATCATCTGCTGTGACCCGTTATGTAATGTATAATTCTGCAGATGAAATATGACCTTGTCAGTGTGTGGTTTTTTTATGTTCTCGATGTTTTTATCTTCTCTCCGTGTAGTTGAGCACTGCCTGGTTGAACACGGAGAGGAAGAAGTCGGCGTCAGCTTTAGTGATGCACATAGGAGGCTTGATCCTGAACGTCTGGAAAACAACAGGTGAGGGAGAAAAAGAACACAGATGACATAATAAAATAGGAGGATAAAGAAATCCAGATTAAATGTGAGATACAGATTTAAACAAAACAGTTACATTTCCTAAAAATGAAAACATTTACAGTGAGTTATCGCTGTAAATGTTAACAATGGTGTTTTTGTTCTTAGTAATTGTTTTATTATGCATTTACACTAAATATAGCTCATCTCATAGCCTGAGAGACGATGTTGTTCTGTTGGCTTCATCGAAGATGGAACTTAAGCATGCGCTGTGTGACGCAGCTGGGATGACAATCAGCACGTCCAAGTCCGAGGCCATGGTGTTTCACCAGAAAAAGATGGTTTGCCATCTCCAGGTTGGAGGAAAGTCCTTACCCCAGGTGGAGGAGATTAAGTATCTCAGGGTTTTGTTCACGAGTGAGGGAAGGATAGAGCGTGAGATTGACAGGCGGATTGGTGGCAAAGCTTTCAATTTATCAGTCAATCTACGTACCTACTCTCACCTATGGTCATGAACTTTGGGTCATGACCTAAAGGACAAGATCTTGGATACAAGCGGACGAATTGAGTTTGCTTCGAAGTGTGGCAGGCCACACTTTTATGAACAGGAGGAGGAGCTCGGAGTAGAGCCGCTTCTCCTCCACATCGAGTGAAGTCAGCTGTGGTGACTTTGGCATCAGTTTCGGATGCCTCCTGGACGCCTACCTAGAGAGTAGTTCCAGGCATGTCCCACCGGGAGGAGGCTTCGGGGAATACCCGGGACACGGTGGGGGGACAATGTTTCTTGGCTGGCCTGGGAACGCCTCGGGATCCCCCCGCAGGAGCTGGAGAAAGTTCTCTCCTAAGGCTGCTGCCCCTGCAACCAGGTCCCGGAAAAGTGCCAGAAAGTGAATGAATGAATAGCTTATACATTTTTTTAATTTAGCGATTATCAATAAGACTAGATAATTATTTTTTATATGGTAATAAAAAAAATCATAAGTTAACGAACTAACAACAATGAAACATTTTTTTAATTAAATACTAAATAACAAAGAATAATAAATAGTGTATTGTTTATATATAAGTTTGGAGCCAGTTAAAAATAATAAAAATGTAGCCAATATTTATTTAGTGTTGGGTAAAGTTACATTGGAAAGTAATCCATTACGATATTGAGTTACTCTCCAAAAGGTAACTAGTTGTGTTACTTAGTTACTTTTTATGGTAAGTAATGTGTTGCATTACTTTTGAGTTTCATTTGTGTTACTTATTCCGTTTAATTCCGTTTATTTTATTTTTTTTTAATATTTCTCAAATGATGTTTAACAGAGCAAAGAAATATTTACAGAATGTCTGATATTATTTTTTCCTCTAGAGAAAGTCTTATTAGTTTTATTTCGGCTGGAATAAAAGCAGTTTGAAATTTTTTAAAACACTATTTTAAGGACAAAATCATTAGCCCCTTTAAGCCTTACATTTTTTCGATAGTCTACAGAACAAACCATTGTTATACAATAACTTGCCTAATTACTCTAACCTGCCTAGTCAACCTAATTAACCAAGTTAAGCCTTTAATTGTCACTTTCAGCTAAATACTAGTATTTCGAAAATATCAAGTAAAATATTATGTACTGTCGTCATGGCAAAAATACAAAAATCAGTTAGTAGAAATGAGTTATTAAAACTATTATATTTAGAAAAGTGCTGAAAAAATCTTCTCTCCGTTAAACAGAAATTGGGGGAAAAAAAACAAAAAGGGCGGCTAATAATTCTGACTTCAACTGTACATATACAGATCCCAAAATTTTAATGTTAAGAAATCTTTAAAAAAATTCTCCTCATTTAGTGTAATGTTTCTGTAGTGTTCGTTTAGAGCGTCCTGGGACTGCTTCCATGAGTTCAGACACGCAGATGATTCCTAAGGCTGTGTGCAGATTTGTCACTACACGACTCCATTCAATCTCTAAAAATACCTTCTTCATTGCACAACATCCCGCCACACACCTTCAGCATTCATCATCATCCTCTGAAAAAAAAAAACTCTTCACGCTGCCTTTAAGATAATCTTACCTGTCCATACAGCCCTCCTTTCCCGATAAGCACACCCATGTCTTTAGTGTCCTCGAAAATCTCATTCATGGCCTCCTGAGGAAGTGGCGTCCTGCTGGCCTGCGATAGGGTGAAGAGAGAGGTTGGGTTTAGAGTAAATATGTCATGCTAGCAAATTGAAATATACAAAGTAGAGCAGGAATCCAGAAATTAATTTATGATATAACTGATATAAGTAAAAAGCATAAAGGTTTGGAGAAAAAAAGAGATTAAAAGTATTGTTCTGTTTTTACTGTGACTTTTCACTGTAACAACGTTGAAATGTCACTGAAGTGTACTTTGACATTCTACCCACATGTTCAAATACATTCCCAGTCTAAATATTCTTAGATACGTGAGGTAAAATGGATGTTTTTAGCTTCTGACTGACTGAGTGAAGTATTTCTGAGAACATTAGAACACGTTGTCTCAGTGCTGTCTGCTCTAGTTAATGGCTAACAAGTTTTCTAGTTCATTTCCTGTGAGGGAAAATGACACACGTTCACGACAAACACTCTGAATCATTAACTATACCATCTGGAGCTCAAGTAACTCCCACTTGCGACTCTTCTCATATCTTAGGGTCAAGAAAGCATGTTTTCTCTGCAAATAAGTTTAATGAAGTGGATGCACACACACTGAAGATTTTCACACTGATTTCTGAACCGTGCAAAAGCTTGAGGCTTCACTGGGTTTAGCACTAAAACACGGAGGGTTTTAAGGGTTTTCTTGTTTAATAACTCGTTTTATGCCGCATTTAACTTTATACTGTTTATTTTTTCATTTTTGCAGTTTAATTATTTATCTCTCTTACTAAATGGTGGTCACTATTATTATCCTTTACTATCTATCCCTCATAACAATACTATTTTATTTTGTTAATCGTTCTGTTTTACTCTGTTATATTTTTATACTAGCTCATTATTATGTGATTCAAAGCTGCATTTTATGTATTCTATTGCTAATTTATTTTGTTTATTGTACTGCTTTATGCCATTATTTTTCTTTTTTTAATTTGATTCATATATTGTTTTAATTTATCATCTCTTTTCATGTTATCTACTTTCACCGGCCACTTTATTAGGTACACCTTACTAGTACCGGGTTGGACCCTCTTTTGCCTTTAGAACTGCCTTAATTCTTCATGGCATAGATTCAACTAGGTACTGGAAATATTCCTCAGAGATTTAGGTCCATATTGACTTGATATAATCACGTAGTTGCTGCAGATTTGTCAGCTGCACATCCATGATGTGAATCTCCTATTCCACCACATCCCAAAGGTGCTCTATTTTATTGAGATCTGGTGACTGGATGCCATTTGAGAACAGAGAACTCATTGTCATGTTCAAGAAACCAGTCTGAGATGATTCTCGCTTTATGACATGAAGCTTTATCCTGCTGGACTTAGCCATCAGAGTACACTGTGATCATAACGGGATAGAAATGGTCAGCAACAATACTCCGGTAGGCTGTGGTGTTGACACGATGCTCAATTTGTACTAATGAGCCCAAGGTGTGCCAAGAAAATATCCCCCACACTATTACACCACCACCACCAGCCTAAATCGTTGACACAAGGCAGGATGGATCCATGCTTTCATATTGTTGATGCCAAATTCTGACCCTACCATCTGAATGTTGGAGCAGAAATCGAGACTCATCAGACCAGGCAACATTTTTCCAATCTCCTATTGTCTAATTTTGGTGAGGCTGTGTGAATAGTAGCCTCAGTTTCCTGTTCTTAGCTGACAGGAGTGGCACCCAGTGTGGTCTTCTGCTGCTGTAGCCCATCTGACTCAAGGTTGGACGTGTTGTACTTTGAGAAATGCTTATCTGCATACCTCGGTTGTGACGAGTGGTTATTTGAGTTACTGTACGCCTTTCTATTAGCTCCAACCAGTCTGGCCATTCTCCTCTGACCTCTGGCACCAACAAGGTATTTGTGCCCACAGAACTGCCGCTCACTGGATATTTTCTCTTTTTCTGACCATTCTCTGTAAACCCTAGAGATGGTTGTGCGTGAAAATCCCAGTATATCAGCAGTTTCTAAAATACTTAGATCAGCCCTTCTGGCACAAACAACCATGCTCTGTTTAAAGTCACTTAAATCACGTTTTTTTCCCAATTTTAATGCTCGGTTTGAACTGAAGCAGATCGTCTTGACCATGTCTACATGCCTAAATGCATTGAGTTGCCACCATGCCATTGGCTGATTAGAAATTTACGTTAATGAGCAGTTGGACAGGTGTACCTAATAAAGTGGACGGTGAGTGTACAGACAATACCAGATGGATTTCATTTTTATTTTATTGGTCACACTTTGAGGACCACTTAACACTATTAATTAAGATTTTCTATGAACAATTTAGCCAATTTGCTGTTTATTTATACTCCACATACTTTGTAAAGTGCTATTTAATTTTGGTATAGGCTAGTTAAGGATCTTAAATATGGTCATGCAGAATAAAGTATTAATCAGTACTACTAATCAGCCAACATTCTAGTAATATTCTGTTAATATTCAATTCAAAAAGCGCTTTTAGAATGTAAATTGTGTTAAAGCAGTTTAACATAGAAGATTATAGTAAATTAAAACAGTGTCAGTACAGTTTTCAGAGTTGAATTTCAGTTTAGTTCAGTTCAGTGTGATTTAAATTTCACTGCTGAAAGTCCAAACACTGAAGAGCAAATCCATCGATGTGCAGCTCATAAATAAATAAGCAAGAACAATAAGCAAATAAGTAGCGAGAATTAGTCTCAAAACTTAAGTGTTTCTACTTTATTAATTTTCTTTTTGGGTAATATGCCAAAACTAGAGTGTTTAAGACAATTGTTCTATGTTGAAATGCTTGTTTAGCATGTTTTTCATTCATTTTACTCTGATGTCTTTCTAGAGCAGATGCTGCTGTAGGTTGTGCTCAAGCATTCGCCCTGGAAAGGTAAAAGTGAGGTTACAGAGCCAGATGAGAGGCTGTTTCCATCATTAAAGCCTAGAGAAGTGGTAAACGTGTACCGCCAGATGTCTTTGTGTATTCAAGGCATTAGTTCAGGTGGACCGAAATGTCCTTAATTAGAGTCAGCCGATTCTTCAGCTGATGATCGAGTTATCGGGTGCACAGACATGATTTCCGATTGCTATTAACAAGCAACAGTTCTATGATAGTTTGGTTTTTGTAGCAACTCTGAATGCCTCACACAGGTGAGTGGGCTTGACAAACCACCTATAAAAAACACTTTTCATTTGACACTTTAAACTTACACCTGCACCAGTTTTGCACATTTGCACCAGACACTTTCTTACAATCACTCCATATCAAATTGTGCATTTATGAAGTGTGCCTTACACAGGTTAGTGGGCTTGACAAACCACCTGTAGAAGAGTGCACTCTTTTCTCTCTCTCTCTCTCTTTCTACAAAAAATAACACTCCCGCTCCTTACTCTAGCACTTAATTCTCAGAGAACTAACAGTTCCTGTGTAATTAGCATTATATGAATTGCCTTCTCTTGTTGAACCACTGACTGCCTCCTTAATTGTAAGTCCTTTCGGCCAAAAGCATTTGCTAAATGTAAATGACTCTTGACTAGGAGTTGATCGATATGTAAGTTTCCTGCATGTAATACCTTGTCTTTGACCATCTCCACCCCGATCTGAAGGCCTTTTCCTCTCACGTCTCCGATGATCTCGTATTTGTCTCTGAGTTTGGCCAGTTCTGTCAGCAGGTACGTCCCCAATTCAGCACTGTTCTCCTGCATCTTGTCCTCTTTTATTGTCTGACAGCAAAAAAAGCATTCCGATGCAGAAGTAATTATATGTAAAATACATTGTGATTACTTTTCTGAATGCACTCAGAAGTATGTATGAGTAAAAGCAAGTAATATTATTCTAAGACTGGGGGATTTGGCCTAAAATCTAAATCTTGATTAATTGAGATTTTTACTCTATTACATTTTAACTGGATAACGATATATGAATGATTATTTTATTTATTAATGTTTTTGCCCTCAGTTCACTGACAAGTTTTGTACAGTAAAAACGCTCACATATTACAAGTGTGAGATTTGTGAATGAAGGGTGCATTATTTAATTTAAAAATAATTGAAGTAAACACACACTATCTACTATCTAAGATTATTTATTGAACATCAACATTGAACAACTAAAATCAAAACACGCATTGCCTAAAATGCGGCTCTCCCACCGTCTTCACCGCTACCCTACCGATCAATCACTAAGTTGGCATTACAGGTCGTTGGGACGTGCGTGGGCATGCAAAGGCTGCGCTTGACTGTACACGAACCCTTGGCAGAAGTATACTATCATAATAATATAATAGGTGTACATCATAATATAAAAAGTATAATTCAGCCTTAACAAAGCAGGGTCACGTTACTTCACACACGATAGGGTAATTTAAAAAAATTTACTTGTAAAATGTAGATCGATTATAGATTCTGAATGTCAATTTCGAATACTTTTCGATTAATCGTCCAGCCCTTTATTATACTTTAAATAATCAGTTATTAAGGGAATAAGACAGTATTCTGCATTGTTTATTATAATGTATCCAGTTATTGTTTTATTTTTAATTTTGACATTAAAACAATAGTGTATTGTTATACAGTATATAATATAAAGTATTTATTTCTTGTGGTATTTTACCAGTTATTGTAGAACTTGTAACAAGATTTTATTTACTATTGTTGACATCAGATACCAGAAATATCCATTTGTACAACAGTTCTGTCTGGTTCTTGAATCTGATTGGCTGATAGCCACGCAGTATTTTGCAAATCGTACCTCCCACATCCAGCGACAAGCAGAGGGCACTCTGCTCAAAGTTTGACAAATATTACTGCTGTTGGCCAACAACATGTACTTTTGAGGCTTTTTAGGCGAAAATGTAGTTGTTTAGATTGCAAACTATGCAGTTAATTTATAAGGATAGTGCCTATTTTAAAATATTAATAATTTCGGAGCATCGGATTCAGGGCATTGGCCGCCATCAGCCTGTCTGAGCAGATTAAAGAAAAGTGACGGTTGACAATCCACCACAAGATGGCGACAAAGACCGCAGGGGAGGAAAACTGCCTTTTTTTCAGCTTCAAACTACAGCTGAACAAATCATTACAAATCAGGTGAGTGACATTCTAAGTCGATCTCTGTATTTTGTATTGCTGTGTTTATACCACAGAAACTGGTAGTGTTTGCTTTGTTCTGGCTTTTTCAGGGTTAATTATTGTGAAATTTCAATTGCAACAGAAATATGGGAAATCTCTGTAGAGTCTTCATGCCGTTCAGCCTTATGATCTTAAAATGTGAGCAGAAATACCCCTTATTTGTCATAACTTTAGACGAGGGGTGTCAAACTCAATTCCTGGAGGGCCGAAGCCCTGCACAGTTTAGTTCCAACCCTGCTCCAACACACTTACCTGTAGGTTTCAAACAAGCCTGAAGGACTCAATTAGTTTGATCAGGTGTGTTTAATTAGGGTTGGAACTAAACTGTGCAGGGCTGCGGCCCTTTTGGATCTGAGTTTGACACCTGTGCTTTAGACATTACGCTAGAGAATCATTTAAATACTAGCTCTAAAGTGACGTTTGTGAAATAGCAACGATTTATGCTGTTTTGACTGTCAGCTGAAGATGTGAATGAATGGCAGAAGAAAGTAGTTCCTCATACAAAAGGATTTTGAGACTGTGTTATTTTTTTTATATAAATACAGTATACACACACACACACACAATTATACTGTTGAACTATTGTATAAATGCATAATCACACTCGTAGCAGCATGATATTGCTGTATATCGTCACTGGTGAGGGACACTAAAGCACTCGGCCTGAGGCCTTGAGCCAACGCACGCCTCCCACCAGTGCGGTAACGTACTGCTACTCATGTGATATTGCTCATATATGAACCACTGATCTTATTTGTATTTAATAATAATAAAGTGTGGTTTTCATTATTGTATATAATTTTCAGATTTATCTTATACAGCATTGCTGACACCAGAATTCATATTTTAGTAATATCTTTTTACTGTTTATAATGTCGAATTTATTTGTTTATCATTATCCTAAACACATCTTTTATCCCACAATTCCAGATTTTATTTTTATTTAATTATGTACATATATTTTTGTAATGATTTATGCATTTACTATAGTAAAACAATCTCTACTTACGTCCAGCACTGATGATGCGATAGCACAGGCTAATGGGTTTCCTCCAAACGTGTTGAAATGAACCCCCTTCGCAAATGACCTGGCAATTTCTGCAAAATATGCAAATTATATAATATCAGTGCCAAAAACAGCAATCAAATGTTAGAAGTTGGGGGTTTATTTCTATCCTTGAACAGATTTAGCCATCAGATGCTCTCATAATTGTAGACCTCATATTAAATAAAAGCACTCGGGGTTAACATGACCAAACATACTTTCTCCATCATCGCTCTCCCGCTGTTCCCTCTTCATTCAGATGGATAATGTTTTGTCATGTTAACCCTGAGGAACATAATTAGAGTGAATACATAAACAAAACAAACTCCAGTGCTTTGCTAATCCCAGCACAACAAGCACTGCACACAGACACGTGGCTAAACATCTAATGCATATGGCACACTTTTCTGGAAACACTTCAGTCGTCTTTTGATTGGTTTAAATATCAGTCAAGTGTACAGCAATCTTAAGCACCCCACCTGGAAACCAGTCTGAGCAGATAAAAAAGCTGTGATGTTTATATTGATGATAGTGCTCATTAACAGATATACAGATGAAGCCAGAATTATAAGCCCCCTTTGATTCTTATTTTCTTTTTCAAATATTTGCCAAATGATGTTAAACAGAGGAAGGAAATTTTCACTGTCTGATTGTCTGAATATTTTTCTTCTAGAGAAGGTCTTATTTGTTTTATTTTGGCTAGAATAAAAGCAGTTTTTAATAATAAAAAAAAAAAAACATTTTAAGGACAAAATTATTAGGCCCTTTAAGCTAAATTTTTTTTTCGATAGTCTACACAACAAACCATCATTATACAATAACTTGCCTATTTACCTTAACCTGCCTAATTAACCTAGTTAAGCCTTAAAATGTTACTTTAAACTGTATAGAAATGTCCTGAAAAATATCTAGTCAAATATTATTTACTGTCATCATGGCAAAGAAAAAATAAAAGTTATTAGAAATGTGTTATTAAAACTATTATGATTAGAAATGTGCTGAAAAAAATAAACAAGGGTGCTAATAATTCAGGGGCCTAATAATTCTGACTTCAACTGTATGTACTGATTGCCTATGTTTTTAATCTGAGGACATTTCCACACCTCTAAACATGACACGACACAAAACGTGATTGGTTGGTTACCCTGTCAGTCAAAAAGCACCATGGATGGTCCTTGACCATTCAAAGCAGGCAAAGTTTTCAAAGAGGCCCGAATATGTGAGACTAGCGCTTTAAAAGTTCAAGTCTATAGACTAATGGTTGACTAATTTACCAGTAAATATAAGTCTGTGGGACCACATTAGTAAAGCTAACCAGAATTACAAATGCTTACGAATTAGTGCATATTTAGTCATTTGCCCATTTAAACAGCATTTTGATAAAAACTGTTGTAATAGTTATTTACTGTCTCAGTAATTTATTATTTTTTAGTTTAGTAAAACTTTTTATACATTGTAAAAAAAAAAAAAAACTTAAAATCATAAGGCAACCTGTTGCTTTGGTTGGGTATCGTTTGGGGCTAATGTGCTAAATTGATACTTTTAAAACGGTACCAGTGCCTGAACCAATACTTTTGAGCCAGAAAATTATGGTGGATGACATTAGAAAAATCTTTTCTTTGACAAAAAAAAAAACATTTTAATCAATTCATATTTTATTTATTTGAATTGAATTGCATTAATATATTTATTTTTATCTTTTTTTTTTTGTTAGCATTTAAGATTAAGTTAACATTACATTAGCTTACTACTAACCTTTAGTAGCAGGAAAAGCCAGGGCCGGAGTGGGACTCCTTTTATAGCCCTGGAGTTTCAAGCCCTTAGACCGGCCCACCAAAATTTACGACTGACTATATTAAAATAACATCATTTGCAATTCAGTTTCTAATGACACTATCACGTCTTTTGTACAAAGGACACAGCTGCTTTAGAACTTCTAATGTTTTTCATAAATATGAGACCATTAAAGGGTACCTAAATCCCCAACACTATTCTTTAAAACATCTCAATGTCCTTTTCTGCAATATCCGAATATATATTCTGTGCAAAAGTCTTTATACATATCCAGTCCTTTGTAACGGTGGTCACACAAAATATAAAAAATAAAATATGTACATCTACATAAGTCACCCAAACAGTATTATATGTCTTAACTCTAAAAATTAAAAATTACTCAGGTGAGGTTCAAACTCGGGTCGGCGGCATCGTAAATCAACATGCTGACCACTGGACCACAATTGAAGACTTTTTAAGCTCTGTATAACTTTCTATTGATGGCTTAATCTCTTTCTCCCCTTTTTAGATTTCTGATCAAATTGTCAGATTTATTAATGTAGTGAATCATCAGATTTTTATTGAGCAGGTGTAATATTCATTAATATTCATTATTCAAATTTTTATTTTCACTAAGGTGCCGCTGTTTGGGGTTGAATGATAGTTACATCATCATTAACCTGCAGGCTGCATTTTGCTCAAGGGGCTGCGAGAAAATAAATAAAAAGAGCGGAGCTGCGGCAAAATAATGAATAAAAAGAGCGAGGCTATGGTCAAATAAATAAATAAATAAATGAAAACAGTACGACTGCTTAGAGAGTGCAAGCAACTTGAAACACCGGCCCTAGCAGCCAAAAAAAAAAAAAGACCGGCCCACCGGGAATTGTCCCGGTCCTCCAGATTAACCAATCCGGGCCAGGGAAAGGCTGTCATCAAAATCAGTGAACTCCTTTTTTCTAGCGTTGGGGTTTGTGACTACATTTAAATGGACATCAGTAATCTAATTATCTGCTTTAATCTGAATAAGACAATAATAAGATTAAGGAGTTTACATGAGTTGCTTTTTAAATGTTACATTTATGATCCCGTCTTTGTGTTATAGCACATAGATTGATAAACGTCATTCATCACCACACTATCCACATTTCCTCTGGAGTTTCATGTTATTTTGGGTGTTTCACTCTTAATTTTTTAACTTTAACTGCAGTTCGGCAGGTTAACTTTCATTCAGGAACATATTGTTCATGCCCCGTGACAAACTGGGGTGTTGGATGAGAATATGAATTAAGGAGTGTTGTTTTGATGGAATTTGATACCACATGCCCGACCTCAGGATTTCATGACGCGGGTGTCTGTGGTCATTTAAGTTAATCAAAAATGGCTGTTTGATCAGATTATTGTCTTAATCATATTAAAATTGTAGAATTAGTGTCCATGTAAACACACTTAGTGTAAGTGCCAGATGATGTTACAAGCTGTCAAAGACAGTGCATTCCTCTCTTTAAATTGATTCCATGAGCCCTCAAATGTTTCATTAAGTCTGACTTGTTTTCCCCCTACATGCAACTTTTGCAAAGCATCTGCTTCATGTGTCTGACTCATAGCTTGTAAAATATAGCCAAGCTTAGTTTGAGCAAATTTAATGAAATGCGACATTCGTATGCTGATTCAGTCCGGTGCATACCAGTTACGTAGGTTTATGTAACCCGTTTTAAGTATTCAACCCTACTTACTGCACAGCTTTTTTTTTCATTTGACTCAACTTTTATCCCAAGTACTATAATTGACCTGATTTAAGTAGAGTCAGCTTAAAAAGTTGTGCAGCGAGTCGCCTTACAATTTTAAGTCGCAACTTTTTTTGACAGTGTATAGACTATTTCAATAAGGTGATATTATTGGCCCGTAAACTTTTCCTGCTGGTTGTCAAAACTTTTTCATAACTGTAACGAGGCAGTTCAACCATATCTTAATGTTAAAACTGCTGTCATAACATTATTTGTCATTATGCAGAACTTTTTGCATTGTTGGAAGCTATGGAAATTAAACATTTAAAACAGGAAATAAGTTAGGACCATTCTTATTGTCAATAAATGGGATGTAAATAAAAGCAAATCAGTACACAAATACCACTAAATAAAAAGTGTTCATATAAAGCCCATTTAACTCAACATTTCCATACTGCAAATGTCAAGCTCAAGAGGTTAGAATAACACAATGGTAAGCATATTAAAAGCAACACTATGGAGAATTGCATTTATAATTAGTGTTTCATTTGATTCTAAGTATATCTGAATTGCAAGCCCATGATGGTTCTTGTGCTCCGACTCACCGCTGGGCTTCACAGAGCTGAATAATTCAGCTTCTCCACCAGCACAATCCCTCATTAGATCCTAAAGAATGAGACTCAGTGTGTGGTTCAATTTAAACACCTCTGACTTTAAATGTGCTTCATTAGTCTATAGATTCACACTTCCTAAAACCAATAAATACTACAAAGCCACTGATGGCTGGAATAAGCAAATCGCACAATGACTGGGTGTGAATTTGGTTGGATTTAAGTGCCAGTCACCTGCAGTCGTGACCACAGCTCCCATCGGGATGCCATTGGCAATGCCCTTCGCCATCGTCACCATGTCTGGAATAACATTGTGTCCTTCAAAACCCCAAAAGTGGCTCCCTGTGCGGCCAAAGCCAGTCTGGACCTGAGAAACATGAAAAAGGACAAATCTGCGATTAATAATTACTTTATACAAGAAGGAATTTTACAGAGGAATTTATTCTATGCTGTAAGCACAAGATTGATTATTGGAGTGTGTTTCTTTTAATATATATGTGTGTGTGTGTGTGTGTATTACATGTATATTTTATGTATTTTTATATATATATATATATATATATATATGTATGTATGTGTGTGTGTGTGTATATATTTTGTAAAAATGTACTATTTGGAAATATATTATGCTAATAATAAGCCAAAACAATCTGAATTTAAATTGTGTTTATTTAAATTATAGACAATTGTAATTTAATAAACCTGAGTTTATATATGCTGTTAAAAATAGTTTTCAATTTCTTAATTTGAACTAGAATTTCATAACTTGAATATTAAACATCTGAAATTTAAGACAACTGAACTTTTTAAGGCAGAATTTTTTATAACCGTATCTTCAACTTTCAGATTTTTTGTCACAGACTGCAGATCTCCGGTTTGTAAAAATACAGTTTCAAGTTTTCAAGATAAGGAAATTCAGATCGTGAAATTCAGATAGCGTAGATCAACAGGCAGGAGTACATAAAATAAACCAGAAAGGTGTGTATTTCTTGTTATAAATTAGTTTACTCGTACTAAAATAATTTTGAGTGAAACAATTAAGTGAAAATCACTTTACTAGAGTAAAAATGTTGCAAAGTAAATCTTAGACCAAACCAAACTAAATATATACAGCATTACATATACATTTACAATAAAACAAAAATTATTCATTTATTAATTTTCCTTCAGATTTATGCATCAGGGGTTGCCACAGTGGAATGAACCGCGAACTTATCCAGCATATGTTTTACATAGCAGATGCCCTTCCAGCTGCAACCCAGTACTGGGAAACATCCATACACAGTCATTTACACTCCACACAGAAATGCCAACTAACCGAGCCAGGACCTTCTTGTTGTGTGGGGACAGTGCTAACCACTGAGCCACCATGTCGCCCCATTTAAAATTAAATAATAATACAAATTCAAATATACATTTGAAGTCAGAATTATTAGCCACCCAATAAAATTTAATGTTAAATAAAATTACATGTTAAATAAAATAAATCATGTTTAACAGTGCAAGAACATTTTCATAGTATGTCTGATAATATTTTTTTCTTCTGGAAAAAGTCTTATTTGATTTATTTCAGCAAGAATAAAAGCAGTTTTAAATTTTTAAGAACCAATTTAAGGTCAAAATTTTTAGCCCCTTTAAGCTAAATTTTTACAATAGTCTGCCTGGTTAACCTAATTAACCTAGTTAAACCTTTAAATGTCACTTTAAGCTGTAAAGAAGTGTCTTTAGAAATATCTAGTCAAATATTATTTACTGGTGCAGTAGGTAGTGCTGTCGCCTCACAGCAAGCAGGTCGAACCTCGGCTCAGTTAGTGTTTCTGTGTGGAGTTTGCATGTTCTCCCTTCGTTCGCGTGGGTTTCCTCCGGGTGCTCCGGTTTCCCCCACGGTCCAAAGACATGCGTTACAAGTGAATTGGGTAAGCTAAATTGTCTGTAGTGTATGTGTGTGTGTGGGCAGAGAGAGCAACATTTGTGTATGTATGAAACACCTGGGGTGCGTTTCCCAAAACCATCATTCGCCAACTAAGGTTGCAAGTTCCGTCGTTACAAACAAAGTTTGTTGATTTAGTGTTTCCCTAATCCGTCGCTCTAACAAACATTTGCAAACTGCATTGCAAACTTGTGCACTTGCAACTACACCTCTGGAGCTGTAGTTAGAAACATAGTTCCTGGCTGTCTTCTATTTCCACGTATCCCCCCTATGCCCTATCAGTTTAGAACATTCTAACATTTAAACTTGGAATGATTAAAAATAAAATAGCATTAAAGTCATCACTCTTAGGTGTAATTTGGTCTTCATGTTTACAATTGTGCTCCCTTCGTAGTGCACGTTGAAAACATTGATGTCATTTTGAACACAGCCGTGGCTTATGACGAAAGCTATAGGTGACACATTATTTTTGTGTATGGAATATATGTTACTTCTCCAAAGCTTGTGAAAACAAAAAACAGCATACATTAATGCTTTTAATTTATAGTAGGTTATTTATTAAGTATCTGTACTGTATATGACATGGGCCTGTTGGTCAGAACATTGCAGTGGTTTGCATGTCAAATTGTAAAAGTAGACAAAAAAATGAATAAACAATATCCTACTTAATAATAATAATAATAATAAAAATAATAATAATCATCATTAATATTATTATTTAAGTAGGATTTGTTTCATTTCCTGATAAATAATAAATATTAAATTTCATTTCTTAATAAATAGCCTCATTATTTATTTATATGATTTATATATGATATTAGAATAGTTTTAGCTTTTTATAAGTGATTTTTGTTTATATTTAGAAAAGACCATGTCATATTCTCAATAATATTTATAAAATAAACACAGGCTCTATATGTGCCATTTACATATATTTTAATTAATATGGAAATCGAGTGCATGTTTTTACCAAAACTAATATTGGATTTTATTTTAAGTGTAAAACAATATAATCTGCACAAAAGAAATTGGGGGGTTCTTTCCTAAAAAGGTAGTTACTCCACCCCGTTTAGAGCATCATTATGGGCGGTTTATGTTATAATTAACGTGGTTCAAGCGTTGGATCTGCGACAGAGAAACTACAGGTTTTAGTAAACACTCGTCACTAAATCTTTCTTTTTCCAACTAATGCATCATACTATGAAAATTCAGAAGCGAGTAATGTCATTGTTTGCGAAACGCACCCCTAGATGACTCTTTTAAACTCATCAGTTTACAAAAAAAGCAAGCTTACAATAGTAATAATTAGAATTCAGAAAACAACATCCAGTTATCATGTTTAAAATAAACATTCATTTCTCATTTTAATTTTATGCTGGTGTATTTGGCTGTGATTGGAGGCGGGGTTTTGCACAGGTGTTTCTGTTTACTTCTCACACTCTCTGATTGCTTCTGAACAATTAGGAACCATTTTAGGTCTGAAGAGAGCCTGGCTTCACTAAACTACAAAATAGAATTAATAGCAAACAACAAACAAGTTCTCCAGACCTCATCGGCTATACAGATTCCTCCTTTCTCCCGAACAAGCTGGTAAGTTTCTTTCAGGTAGTTTTTAGGGTATTGAACAGCCCCACCGACACCCTGCAGAAAGATAAACATGATCATATTTGAGAGCCTAAAGTTTGTTAGATGCAAGTTCAACAAAAGTGCACTGAATAACATGAAGTAAATATGAAAATACAGAGTAAATGTAAGACTAATGCAACTGATGGCCTTTTAAATTATACACTTAACTGAAAATGAAAGCAGTCCTGCACAGAATCATTTAACATAATTGTAAGCACAAAACATAATCTCCCATTCGCTGGCCTGTGCCATAATATGCATTATAAAAGGAAGTGCTGGCATCTTGCTGTGAAGTTATTTTCACTGTCCTTTTGAACCAAGAAGAGCTTGTGTTGTTTAAAATGTCTAAAAGCAAATTGCTGGGTACACCTGTGGACTTGTTAATCAGCATCTGTTTCTATGACAACCTAAATTTCTGTTACATGGTCAGTGACGCAGAGTTGAAAAACAACTTTTTTTGTATTTTAAAATGCAGTAAATTCATGGTATATCTACACAATGATGTACTTAAAACAATTATCTTTTTCTTTGGATTTTCGGATAATTCCTGTTTACATGAATCAGCTAAAAATACCAAAAACTGCTGTATTATGCATGCCAGGACAGTAGGTGGCTGTGACTTTAAGATGCACTTTGCCCTTGTCTAAATATTGTCCTCTAGTTCCAGTGTTGCCAGATTTGGCTGTTTCAAATTCAAAAAATAGCATAGGTGGGTTGACAAAATTTGGGCGGTTTTAAAACTAATTTTATAGACAAATTACCATGTTTGTAAACATTCAGAAAAAACTGGGAGCGCCAGCATTTAGAGCGAGGTAATGACATCTGATCACCATCAAGCTGAGCACACTGTCAACCATCTTAACTGTTGTTTTGGTCATTCTGAAACGCTTTACAGCTAGAGTATTAGTGTTATTTTATTATTAATGACCTCCAGAATCAATTCACTCATTTATTAGATGAGGAAAAGATTGACGCAGCTTCTCCTGATGCAGCAAATTCAGTTTTTATCGTTGATATTTGGCGCCAGTTAATCAGGAAGTCACAATTTTGTTTGCTTTGACTCGTTAGATGGAAACGCTGCTTTATTCACAAATCTTTTATGCAATAGTCCAATTTTGTCCATAAATTGAATTCACATTTTTGGATGGAAACATAGCTATTGATCATTCACACAGATCTACAAAGAAACAACAATTGAAAACTGCCAAAACTTTTATTTTTTTTATGTTATCATTGAAAATGGTGTTTTCTAAACAGAGCCCGGGTATTGACTTTTCAAAACACTGTTTACATAACAGTGAAGTGCTAAAACAGAAGAAAAATCTTTTGTGACTTTGTAAAGAAACACTATACGTACACCTGTGCACATCCCCCTACAATGCTTTTCATCTGCCACTGTTAGTTTGTTTGTATACACTGTTAGTTTGAATGTATAATACCAAATAAATACCATAATATTATAGTTTTCAAAAGATTGTGTTTTCAGGCTTCATAAAACACCATTGTTGTAGATATTGTATATTTTTTTATTACTTTATACCCCATTTTAACATTTTTGTTCTTTTCTTATACTTTTATTTAGTTTCTTTTTTTTCTTGTTTATGTAAAGTACTTTGAATTACCATTGTGTGTGAAATGTGCTATTTAAGGGTGCTTTCACACCTGTGAATCGATTCAGTTGTTCCGAAACAGAGATTACAATTGTTACATTGTTGCTCTTTGCTCTTGGAGCGGTTCGCTTTCACATTGAAAAGTTTCTAATCGGACCAAAAGAGCTAAAACAAGTCACGTGCGAGTAAACTCTCCTTACATTGGTCAGAGTGTCAGGGTTTATTTTGCAGCGTCCCGCTCAGCTGTCAAGAGAGGTGGTTGTTTGGTGGTGATTGACAGGGTGAGCGCGCGCGACGTGTCTGAGGAGAGATGCGGTGGGGAGGTGTGGGGAGGGGTGAGAAGTGTGCGCGACGATGCCTATTTGAGGAACGGGAGGGAGACACGAGATTACCGGGAGATCATCACTCGTTTGCGGGCATCCGGAGACTCGCGAAACTTTCCGCCATACACATAATTCTCTCTTCATATAGCCGTAAGCTTATTACATATCCATAAAACACTGTGATATAACCGCGCTCGGATCGGTTCGCTTTCTCGCTGCAATCAAACCGCTTCAGGGTTCGTTTCAATCGAGCCGAGACCACCTCATTCAAGCGATCTCGGAGCGATTACTTTGGCGCGGAACAGAGCGCGATTGCCCTGTTCGCATATGCCAAACGAACCGCGCTAACTGGGCAAACGAGGTGCGTTCCGAAACAAAAGTGTAGGTGTGAAAGCACCCTAAATAAACCTGCCTTGCCTTGCTATTCATGATTGGCAGAAAGGGTTCAAAATGTTTGCATTATTGTTTAAACATCCGTCAGTATTTTTTCATTAGGTATTGTGTCATCATACCTGAATGGGTTCTGTGAAGAACGCAGCGATTCGACTGGGAACGGTTGTGTCGAACACCTCTTTGAGTTCTTTGATATACATATCATTGGCATGACAGTGACCTGAGAACAGAGAATCACGTATAAAACATGACATTTTCATAGGTTTATCAGTGCAAATCAGCTAGATAACATCATTTTCAATACAAATTACTTCCTATGCCTTCATCGAAATTTATGCTGTCACTCGCATGAGATCGACCAATGGCAAACCACAACAAACAAACCAAACAGCCAATCAAATTCCTGTGGACAAAGTCCTGCCGTACAGGATTTTTTTTTTCATTCCAGAATTTTCCTTCAGATAAATGCCAAGTCACACTACTTTAAGCACATTACAAAGGAATTCCTAATGATTCTCGCTTTAACAAATAACACTAATTACAATCAAAAGTTAACAAGCTGTTCATGTGTTATTTTTAGTGTTGGGTAAGTTACTTTTAAAAAGTATTACTGATTACTACTCCAATTTTAATCTGATCATATTACTAATTACTTTATGTAAAAAATAATCAGATTACTAATTTTACTTTACTGTTACTTTTAAAACATATAAAATATACCTATAAAAATACAAAATAAACTCCAGGGGCCTCATGTACCAAGTCTTGTTTTGATTTAATACTAAAACATTGCGTACGGAAAAAGCTGTAAATGTGCGTACGCAGTAAAAAAAATCTGATGCATGAAACAAGTGGGTACAAGTGGGATTCTGCGTACACGGAATCCCACGCATATTCTCTTTGTACATCCGAATTAACGTGAAACTGAGCGTACATGCCCAATTTACACCAATTTACAGGTGAGTTGGGTAGGCTAAATTGTCCGTAGTGTTTGAGTGTGTGTATGAATGAGTGTGTGGATGTTTCCCAGAGATGGGTTGCAGCTGGAAGGGCATCCGCTGCGTAAACCTGCTGGATAAGTTTATTCCTCTTTGGCAACCCTGGATTAATAAAGGCACTAAGCCGACAAAAAAGTGAATAAATGAAAAAAAAAACGTATGATTCCTAAGCTACTATAAATAACCACAGTCTTCAGTCCACATTTATCTTCGTCTGGAAGAAACCCCCCTTCCTCCCCATTCTCCTCCTTTACCATAGATCGGGTGGCATGGCAGCCCAGTGGTTGGCACTGTTAGTCCCACAGCAAGAACACTGCCGGCCCTGGTCCCCGCCAGGCCAGTGGGTGTTTCTGTCAGGAGTTTGTATATTCTCCCCGTCCGCGTGGGTTTCCCCCGGGTTCTCCGGTTTCTTCCCACCATCCAAAGATATACATAACAGATTTAGCAAATCAGGCACTTGTCTAGCTCCCTTCTTCTCAAGTGTTACCTTAGCCACTGCAGCCGGGGAGTTTTTGAGATCCACATTTCCAGAGATTCCAGAGTTACACGGGGCGTCAGCGTCAACGCTTCCCATTCACTTTGAATGGGTGACGTCAAAAGTTGCCGAACTGCCTTGTGGATCAGTCGACGCCGCTTTGCTGGAGAAGTTGGGACTTGCTCAACTTTTTAAGCGCCGATGAAAGCGTCAGCCAATCAGCTATATGCAAATACACCAGCTCAGACAGTGGCCTATTGCTGACTAAATTCATTGGCTGACGCTGCTATGACGATCGCATCAGCCCCAACTTCAGACACGCCCTCTGTCAAGCGTTGACGCTGAAGCCTCGTGTGAATGGGGCGTTAAGTACAAAAATTGTTGAATACTTTAGTACTTTCACTTAAGTATGGTGCTTAAAGAGCACTTCAACTTCTACTCAAGTCATTTTTTTCATAGAGCCTTGTACTTTTACTTAAGTCTGGGTCTCTAGTACTTTATACATCTCTGATAATGACAAACCAACAGCTGTTACTATTTAAATGTCATAACATCTGCTCGGCTGTATGTATATTTTGAGCAAAATATTAATTTGTGCTTTATTTCATGAATCAATATCTAATCTGAATGATCAGTTATCCAAATGATATTTTTCTTATTTTAAAATTTGTTGAAATATTAAATGCACTCAAACTCCAGACATGTCATTCTAGTAAGTTGTCTCTATTTTTCCAGAGTTGCATATAATTTTCCTGTAATATGTTGTACTTTGTTCTTAATCATGTGCTTAAGGCATAACTGGCTGTTTACATTAATCTAAAAAGCATTGAAAAGACGTCTGCAACTTTTGTGAAGCATCAACTCCCCTGCATATTAGCTGTCAAAACATGTTTGTGACTTCTATAACTCATTATTATTATTATTATTATTATTAATATTATTATTATTATTAAAAAAAGAAGGAATATTGACCGTCTATAAACATACTCTCAGAAATTGTAATAAAGCTGGATTGTAAATTTACCTTTAAAAAAAGACCTTTAAAAATGCACTTATTTAAAAGGCCATATTGGTTTCTTAAAATTAGTAGACATCATTTGGCCTCATTACTTTGTGTGTGTGTGTGTACATGTGTACCTGGGGAGCAGCTGCACTCTCGGATGGTTTGAACAGGAGAGTCTCTACAGTGGCTTCCTCCCCAGAGACCCCTGAAAACATCCGGACACATGGTCTACAATGCACACAACACAGGAGCAAAAGTCAGATACAAAGACATTTAAACTTCATAAAAAATAGACGCAGTTCATGGAAAATATCAAATCTGTTGATCATGAATATCCTATACTACTTAACAGTATTTTTCTATTTCAAATCATATGCTACATATAAAATTAGGCTTAAACCAAGAAAGACAAAGGAAAAACAATACACCATTCAAGAGACACTCTATGAATCTGCCTTGTTGTAAAATAATTTAGTTTTTATGTCCTTATTTTTATATTTGTTTACTTACTATTTAATACATTTTTGTCATGTTTTTTTCACTAAAACGTTCAATAGAAATATTAACAAAATATACTCTATAAAAACAAGACCTTTTAAAATTAAATTTGAGATTTTAAAATAAATATATATAAAACAACAATAGCTTTTATGCTGAAATACAACAGAATACGGTCATATAAAGATGAACTAATACCTGTCACTTATGATCACACTATTCTTAATATTAAACACAAATTGCTAATGCTGATAACGCGATAATCAGTATTTTTGCTTGGTAATTGTATTCTTTTTTTTTAAGTTTGAACCATGAACCACACAAAACTATACAATAAACCAATTTAAAATTATATATAATTCAACATGCACAATACTTCTCAAATTTAAAATTGTAAAACCTTTCACTATATAATAAAATTATTCTAGCAATTTATCACTTCAATTCTGAACTACTGTAAACCTAGAGAAGATTAGTTCCTTCAAAGACATAACAGAGCGTTTGTTAAAATTTGGAAGCCCTTTTTTCCCTAATGTTAACTCTCCAGCTGGATTTAGAATAATAGCCCCTTGTAAGCTCTTGAAAATAATAATAATAATATCAGTAACATAATATCAATAGCAATTATAATCCGTTTGTAATCTTTTATTACTTGAATTGTAACATTGAGATTGTTGCATAAATGTAGACATCTGCCCCTTATTTAGCTGTGTAATAGGGTTTTCTTTTTATTTTCCTTTTGTTATTATAGAAAAATGTAATTATTATATAAAAATATTTTTATTTTTTTATATTTTTATTCTATTATATAACAATTATATTCAATTGTTATATTAATGTTTATAATTTATTATTATTATTATTATTATCATTTTTTATTTCATTCATTTATCAAATAATTTTATTCAGATTTTTATTGTATTTTTATTTTTATTATTTTTGTATTTATTTTATTATATAAACTATATTAAATTATTATATAAATTTCTATTCTTATTTTATTTATTTATTTTTACTATACAAAAATGTTATTTATAAAATTGTATTATTATCATTTTATATTCTTTATTTTATTATTATTTATTTTGTTATAAAATTATGTTATTATAATTGTGTAAATATTTTTATTATATTTTTATTTTCTTTTTTATTTACTTTTATTATATGAAATAAATTATTATATAAAATGTTGTTGTTGTTGTTGTTGTTAATTTTTAAATCATTATTCATTATTTTATTATTGAATTAATTATATAAAATATTCAATTGTTATATAAATATTATTATTGTATATCTTAATATCTTATTATTGTTTTAGTATTTATACTTTATCATTATTTTATTTAATTTTATTATATAAAAATATTCTATAAATTATTATTTTAATTTTTACTGTTATTATTATTATTATTATTATTATTATATTTTATATTTCATTTATATTATTTATTTCTATTTTATTATTGATTTTATAATTTAAAATTTATATTAAATTATTATATAATAATATTATTATTATTATTATTATTATTATATTATTATTTTATAATAATTATTTAATTTTATTATATAAAAATTACTATTATATAAATTATTTTAATAAATTATATAATATTTTAATTATTATCATATTATTATTATTATTATTATTATTAATAATTATAATTATTATTATTATTATTATATAAATATTTGTATTTTATTAGTTAGTATTATATTTTTTGGGGGGGGTTATGGGTAGTTTATGTTTGTAAAATGTTAAATCATAAATAAATAAAAAAATCTTAACTAAAATTAAATCTAATGGGAACAGGTCTTGTTCTCAATATTGTTTTAGTTCCTATTCCAAACCTTATGACCTTCGACAGTAATTCTGTTACGTTTGCATTAAACAACAGCCCTAACATATCATATCCTGATGTTTCCTCTACATAATGTAGTTTGTGTTCTTAAACCAGAGGAATATGACATGATAAAGCATGCATCTGACAGATGGAGAGATGTGTGGGTGGGTGATGTACGTTATGGCAGCCTAGAGAAGACGGGACTGGGTATTTGTAATGCGTGTTGGACGTCAGACCCGTGGCTTGTGGACTGCCACCATGATAGGAGCCCCTGCGTATACAAACACAAATCAGTAATCACTTATTTATGGCTGTACAGGGGCCTGTTTCAGAAAGGAGGTTAACTGAAAACTCAGAGTATTTTAACCCTGAAATGAGAGAAACTCTGGGTTTTCCGTTTCAAAATGGCAGGTTTGTTAAACTCGAGAAAGCAGGGTAAGTCAAGCCTGTTTCTGAAAGAGAGGTAACTTTAACTCAGAGTCAGTTACTGTGGTAACTTACTCTGTGAATCTAACCTGGTCAGAAGCAGGTTTTATTCTCTAAACTCAGAGTTTCTGTCTGTCTCCTCCCCTTTTTTAAAGATGAAGTGGTATTTCTCGCCTTAGAAATACGTTTCCACCCACCTATTTTAATGCTCATTTTGGATACGTGCATAAAAACGATTGATAGAAACGTCATGATGCACATAACTTTTTAAAATATGTATAAAAAACGCGCATAACTGAGTAGGATAAACTTTTATTCGATAGAAAATGTGCGCATAAACTACGTTCTTTGTTCTTTTACTGAACAAATTACAGTATGTACATTAAAAAAAAGATCATGATCATATGATAATGAAAATGTGTGTAAATGGACAAACCAGCAGGTTGGGCACACTGTAACACGTCTTAAATATTGTTTTAGTCATTCTAAAATGCCTTAACTGTTTCAGTATTATTGTATATTATTAATTACCTCCGAGCGTCTGGTGCGTGTCAAGAGTCTCCGCGTCTCATGACTTCAGACGCCCCCACGTGTTCATTGTGTTTCAGCATTGTCTTCTGACATCGAGGCGCAAGTACATTAATTAGGCTAAATAAAGAATTAATTGACGCAGCTTCTTCTACCACAGTAAATTCTGTTTTTACTGTTGATATTTGGTGCCAGTTTAATCAGGAAGTGACCATTTTTTTCTCTTTGACTCGTTGGATGGAATTTTATTTGCATCTTTTATGCAATATTCCAGTTTTGCACATAAATTTATGTAATATATTTGGATGGAAACATAGCTATTGCCTACATTTTAGTCACACACAGAAGAACTGTACTAGAATGGCTTATCCTTTTTAAATAAATAATTAAATTAAATTCACCTTCGACATGCACTGTAACTAGATTAATGGATTATTCTTTCTAAAAAGTATTTTTAGTACTGCTTACCTTCTAAATGTTATATTAACCTCTATCACTTGATCAATAAAAAAGGCAGACACACAAGTGCACTGTTAAATCATTTAAAACTAATAAATGTATAAAAAAGTTCAGAAAAAAATATAAACGTCACAAATTACATTACTTATTTTATTATACTTAAATATTTAAATACTTAAAAAGTGAAATTATGCATTAACTTGAGCAGCTGTTTTCCCACGCTAACTGTCTCTTCTTCACTGATGGTTGCTTCTTTTCAAATATATACGCTCATATTTGCTATAACTTTGCATGAGAACATCAAGTTCAGCTGGAGAAAGAAATGGTGATCTCTTTTATAAGATGTTGCCACAGTCACTCGTAATGTCTGCGCTCCATTGATAATGCCTTTTTAAAGTCACGGTGTGCGCGCTTAACTCTGAGTTGGTCTACTCGAATTTGATTGACCCAACTCAGATCAGCTGTTCTGAAACCGAAAACTCAGAGTTTTTAATCTCTCGGTAAATCAACTCAGAGTTCAAGTTTAAACTCTGAGTTGTTTGAACCTCCTTACTGAAACAGGCCCCAGGTCCGCTTGAGAATTATTTGGGGGAAAAGGTCAATCACCTAAGCGTGATGACATCAAAGTTTCCAGTATGAAGCCGGGCCATCAGCACTGCAAGGTCGTTGGCCTCTGAGCCACTGTTGGTAAAATACACAACCTAGAGAAAGAAAAGAAGCACAATATTACAGCTGCACATGCACTGTGATCATACTTTCTCTTGCATGCATACAGAAAAGGTACAGATCAGAGCTGATCCAGAAAAGTACAGATGTGAAATGCAGTAACTAAAATAAGTAAAATATAATAAAACAGCCATTTACAAATCTAATAATATTTCATATCTGTAAAAGTAATTTTAATTTTGTAATACAAGGCTGAGTTTACTCCAGTCACATGCTCCTTCAGGAATCATTCTAATATGCCGATTCGATAATCAAGACATTATTATTCATATTATGCTTCTTCTTTTTTTTTTACGATGAAATAATAATGTAAACGCTATTAATAAAGTGCGATTATGGTGGCTCAGTGGTTAGCACTGTCACTTCACAGCAAGAAAGTCGCTGGTTCGAGTCCTAGCTGGGTCAGTTGGCATTTGTGTGGAGTTTGCATGTTCTCACTGTGGGTTTCCTCTGGGTGCTCCGGTTTCCCCCTCAGTCCAAAGACATGTGCTATAGAATAAACTAAATTGGCTGTAGGGTATGAATGTGAGTGTGTATGGATGTTTTCCAGTACTGGGTTGCAGCTGGAAGGGCATTTGCTTTGTAAAACATATGCTGGATGAATTAGAAGTTCATTCCGCTGTGGTGATCCCTGATAAATAAAGGGACTATGCTGAAGGAAAACGAATGAATGAATATTAATAACAAAATTTGCACAATTCAAGGAAGGTCAAATTTACACCTAATAGAAACTCTGTATTAAATAATATTAAATATTTGTTCTTAGTCTGAAGAGGAGACTATGAGAGAAAGCTTACTGGTTATTAAATAAAAAAATGCATACCTTGCAGATTAAAACCAAGTAGCAATTGTTTTGTTATGGATTGAGTAGCCTTATCAGGGGTTGCCACAGTGGAATGAACCGCTAACATATCCAGCATATGTTTTACACAGTGGATGCCCTTCTAGCCTCAACCCAGTACTGGGAAACATCCATACACACTTATTGTGTGTCACACAACGGCCAATTTAGTTTATTCAATTCAACTATACAGCATGTCTTTGGACTGCGGGGAAAACCGAAGCACCCATAGGAAACCCACACCAACACGAGGAGAATATGCAAAATCCACACAGAAATGCCAACTGATGCAGCCAAGCCAAGACTCAAACCAGCGACCTTTTTGCTGTGAGGCCATAGCCACTGAGCCACCATGCCGCCCCACTTGCTTCATTTCTAAATGAATCACTTTGTCAATGTATTACATGCAGCAGTCATTTGGTTCAAAACTGTTCATCAAAGTTGTTGAAAAACTAGTGAACAACACGCATTCTTGTGTTAGGACAATGTTGTGTTTTTGGTTTAGGTCTACTATAAATAATTACATTTAGAAAATAATTTATTCAGAAAGTCATTCATTTAAAGTCACTTTGTTTGTAAATGAATCACTTTCTAAATGTATTATTTATTCATAGTACACCTAAACCAAAAACACACATGTTTTTTGGGTTATTTATTTGGAAACGAAGCAAGTGATTGCTTCATTATTGGTGTGTTGAATCATTGACTCAAATGAGTTCAGATTCATTCAAGAATCGTGTTGCTCTATTAGATGCGCAGTTGTTCTGCTCCAGATTTGTTGGGAACTATTTTCATTGACAATTTAAATGTTACTTTTAGATTGTAGCATTGTAGCTCACAGTATAACATACATCATGAAAAACAAAAGTAGGACATGTTCCTGAATCAACATTTATGTTGATCCAGGAACAGCCTTCCAGTCAGCCAATCAGAATTAAGGGATACGTTTACCGTTTATGCTACCGTAAGTTTAGGCTTACGGTTAAGCACTTTAGGTTTATGCACTTCTACATGAGTGTTATCCAACAATTATTCCTCTATAATTTTGGGAATAATTAACAGTTGTGGTTGGGTTTAGGGGTAGGGAATGGGTATGGATTACATTTTCGAACACAAATTATCTTCCAAAATCAACATAGATGTCAATCCAGGATCGCATCGTACTTGACAAAATCATGACATGCAAAAACAACAACCTGGACTCCAGTTTGAAAGCTGGCAGTGGCTTCAGAAAGCATGCAGTACCTTCAGTGGGTCTGGCAGAAGTGAGACTAGTTTCTCTGCATACTCCTGTATTTGTGGATACACATAGATGGGTGTTGTGTGCCACAGACGCCTTAGTTGTTTCTCGGCCGCCTCGGTCACTTTCCTGCAAAATTGTTCAAAATTTTAGTTAAATTTAAGATATCATACCAAAATTAAAAATAGCAGCCTTTAATATAAGATACAACGAGCTGATCTGTGTATTTCAGAAACTGCTGATCTACTAGCATTTTCACGCACTATCATCTCTAGGGTTTACACCGAATGGTCCAGTGAAAATATCCAGTGAGCAGCAGTTCTGTGGGCGCAAATGCCTTGTTGATGCCAGAGGTCAGAGGAGAATGGCCAGACTGGTTTGAGCTGATAGAAAGACAACAGTAACTCAAATAACCACTCATTATGCAGACTGAGAATGCACAAGACGTGGAACCTTTAGGCAGATGAGCTACAGCAGCAGAAGACCACACTGGGGGACACTCCTGTCAGCTAAGAACAGGAAACTAAGGCTACAATTCACATAGGCTCACCTAATTTGAACAACAGAAGATTGGAAAAACGTTGCCTGCTCTGAGTCCTGATTTTTGCTGTGACATTCGGATGGTAGAGTCAGAATTTGGCGTCAACAACATGAAAGCATGGATCCATCCTGCCTTGCAATGGTTCAGGCTGGTGGTGGTGTAACGGTGTAGGGAATATTTACTTGGCACATCTTGGGTCCATTAGTATAAACTGAGCATCGTGTCAACACCACAGCCTACCTGACCATGTGCATCCCCTTATAACCACAGTGCACCCATCTTCTCATGGCTACTTCCAGCAGGATAACACGCCATGTCATAAAGTGCAAATGGTAACACTTTACAATAAGGTTCATTAGTTAATGCATTTACTAACATGAACTAATCATGAACAACACATGTACAGCATTTATTAATCATAATTGAACATTTACTAATGCATAATTAACATCCAAGTCCATGCTTGTTAACATTAGTTAATGCACCATGAGTTAACATGAACTAACAATGAACTACTGTATTTTCATTAAGTAACGTTAACTAACATGAACATATACAGTAGTAAATGTACTGTTCATTGTTTGTTCATGTTAGTAAATGCATAAATTAACATTAACTGATGAACCTTATTGTAAAGTGTGACCGCGCAAATCATCTCAGACTAGTTTCTTAAACATGACAATGAGTTCACTGAATCTAAAATGGCCTCCACAGTCACCAAAACTGAATCCAATTGAGCATCTTTGAGATGTGGTGGAACGGGAGATTCGCATCATGGATGTGCAGCCGACAAATCTGCAGTAACTGCGTGATGCCATCATGTCAATATGAACCAAAATCTCCATTACCTTGTTGAATATGCCACGAAGGATTAAGACAGTTCTGAAGATAAAAGGGGGTCAACCTGGTACTAGTAAGATGTACCTAATAAAGTGGCCGGTAAGTGTATATTGTGATATGAAATCTACTTCACCAGATGGATTGAATAACTCTTTGAGAAGAATTCCCCATTTCAGAATGGTTGGTGTGATTTTTATAAACTGCATAAATTGATACAATTTACTTTTAAACTCGACTTTTAGGAGGGAGAAACAAACAAATGAGAGCAAAATAAGTGGTTTACTGTATGTTTGTGTGTTAAGTCTAAATGGCAGTTGGACATAAATATGTAAAATGACACTTTACTATAACAATGTGATTTAATTAATCTTTGTTAAGCTAGAAATGCTATTGTTTCTTGTGCCTGATGTTTTAAACGAACTTGATATGTTTAACAGAAAAAACAAACAAATGAAATTAAAAAAATTTAAATCGTTATAGTTTGACATTAATCTACAAGCTCCTGGTCAACAATAACCCATACTTGACATTTAAGACCCTGCAATGTAACGGATGCACACATTGCGATATCGATGCTGAAACGATATATTGTGCAGCCCTAATTAATATCTCAGAATAACACGGTATATCGCAATGTTAGATTTTTTTCCAATATCGGTCAGCCCTATCATCAAATAAAAAAATGAAACTATAAATGTGGCATGGAAATAAACTGAATCATACGGGTTGCAGTGTCCAACACTGACGGTGGCCACCCCTGCGAACAAGTCCAGATATCGCCTTCCGTCCACGTCCCACAACCACTGCATGTGGCCCTGGTTTATGAAGACCGGCTTCTTGTAGTAGGTTACCTTCATGGTCATAGGGTTACAGTTGTGTTTCCGAATATCTAGTAAACGCTCTTTAGACATGCCCTGTAAGAAGAGTCATTCAAGCTTAAAGTGAGATGATATGATATCAGTGTGATTATTATCACTGTCCTCAGATATAAGCCTCTTACCTGATAGGGCTCAGGTTTAAAGTCACATGGGGGAATCTGGGGCAGGACCGCTGATGGATGTTTGACTGCTGTTTTCTGGCACAGCACACCTGAGCGGAGGTACAGTACATTTAGTGCCAGTGATGTGTCACAATGTTTCCAGCCCTTTTTATCCTATTTTTATCCTTTTTTTATCCTATTATAAGTCACAGGGCATCAGCTTTCATGTGTAACAGTATGTGCTCATCTGTCTGTCTCTCTCTATGTCTATCTTTTTATTACTCCATCTATTCATCTGTCTATGCATCTGTCTGTGTCTGTTCATACATTCATACATCTATCTTTTATCTATCTATTCATTCAACAATTCATCGATCTACTTTTTCTCTCTGTTACTCCTTTCATCTGTTTGCATCATCTATATTCTATCATCTTTCTAATCTATCTACATGTCTGTTTGTATTTTCATACATTCATCTCTCTATTGATTTGTCTGTTCGTCTGTCTATCCACTCATTTAACAATTCATTTATCTCTTTTTCTCTGTCTGTCCTTAATTTCATCTGTTTATATTATCTATCTATCTATCTATCTATCTATCTATCTATCTATCTATCTATCTATCTATCTATCTATCTATCTATCTATCTATCTATCTATCTATCTATCTATCTATCTATCTATCTATCTATCTATCTATCTGTCAGTTCAACAAGCACATTAACATTTAATTTAGATAGATAGATAGATAGATAGATAGATAGATAGATAGGTCCGTGTACATTTTGTTCATTTGTTTTCCATTTTCAAACAGAATAAAGGAAATGGAGAAAACGCCCGTTTTTCCGTTTTTCTTTTGCTCACGAGAAAACGAAAAAACGAGATTTTGGCTGGATTTTCGTTTTTTGGTTTAGGGTAGGAAAACGGATAAACGACTTTAAAATTCATTTTACACATGTAGGCGGTGCTGAAACGCCCACTTTCCTCTAATTGGTCAACCAAATCTGCGCTCGTGACGTCACCCTCAAAATAAAAGCCTTACACGCAGGCTTTTAATTAATATTATTTAATTATATATATAAACAAAGTTTACATATTCTATCATTTGAACCACACACAGTTAGCAGGCTTACATTCATTGCGTAAGTATAAATTAAATAAAAACGTAAATCAGCAGTATTCTTAGACATTTGTCATTAAAATAAGGTCATAGTTCACTGCCAATCTTCTTGCTGCTGTGCACCTGATGCAGAGCAAAGATAGCCATTTCCGAGGAGCACCTGGTTTGCATGATTGTTTCAGAGCAAGGGCTTTATAATAATAATAATAATAATAATAATAATAATAATAATAATAATAATAATAATAATTATTATTATTATTATTATTATTATTATTATTATTATTATTATTATTATTATTATCAGTTACTAGTGTTTTTATTGTTTGGTGTGTTTTTTTTTCTTTTTAATAGTTGTTACCAGAATAAGAACACTTTGGGCCCTGCTATAAAAACAAAGGGTACCATTTGTTTTCATTTATTTCTTCCTATTTTAATTATATATTGTAATTATTTATTTGATAATTAATACTATTTTATTGCAACGCCAAAGTAGGCCTGTCTTATTATTTTTTTTTTATTATTAAATTTGCTGTTATTGTAGGCTAGATGGCAGGCTTTAAATATTTTAAATAACATTTACTCATAACCTTACTAATTCGAGAGCCGAACCTAAAAATGTTTAAGTGCAAAAAGCCTGTACAATAAAGGGAGCCGCAATGCATATTTCTAGCGCATTCTTTCACTCAACAAGTATTGCTGGAATAATGAAATAAATTTCAAATTAACTAATTAAACACATTATAGTTGATAAAAAAATTGTGTCTAGTAGTTCCGACAAACAGATGAGCTCGCTACATGTGCGTTGCGCTAATAATTTGACATTTGCTCTTCTTGAGAAAGTGCTACAGCGGCCCTGCTATTTCACATATAAGGTTAGTGACACGTATTTTAAATTAGTATTGCACATTATTCATTCATTTTCTTGTCGGCTTAGTCCCTTTATTAATCTGGGGTCGCCACAGCGGAATGAACCGCCAACTTATTTAGCAAGTTTTTATGCAGCGGATGCCCTTCCAGCCACAACCCATCTCTGGGAAACATCCACACATACACACACACTTATACAGTACGGACAATTTAGCCTACCCAATTCACCTGTACCGCATGTCTTTTTACTGTGGGGAAAACCGGAGCACCCGGAGAAAACCCACGCGAACGCACTACACTACTGAATTAGACACACAATCTCAAAAAAAAAACTTGATGCTTATTTACATTATCTAAAGTCATTTCTTATGAGGTAGGATCTGTTGTTGTATTATATATTTTCGTTTTAATATGCAAATAATTTTCTTTAATTTGTAATAGGCCTATTGTCCCTCATTGCATAAAATAACCAGCCTTTGTATTCAATATGTTTGTAAATTGTCCATCCAGTTTGACGCAAGCTAAACAACATTTTGGCCTGTTTTGCTTATTAAATGAGTGATTTTCACGGAGAAACAAATCATCCATCCACACAGTTTTGTATAGGACCTGTGTGAACAAAAATATACACTTCATCATAGCCTATAGGAAAATGTATCTGTTTAGAACCAATTTTGTGTTGTATAATTAAAAATATTAAAAATACAACAAAAAAAAAGGAATAACATTTGAAGTGCAATGCTTCAAAGATCCAATACGCTGCATGCAGAGCCAAAACAAAAACTGGTTTGTTTGTTTAATAAAATAATAATATGAAATTAAAGTGAAATAGTTCCATAACCTGTATTATAACTGTAGTCACTCTAGATGACAAATCATCCGTTGCACCGGTCAGTTTCACTTTTAATCAAGAATGTGCCAGAACCAAATGAGAATATTTACAGATTACCTCGGAATGAGACCTCGGTCTGTGAAGGATGCAGAACACAGAAACTCGTTGAGAATGGAGATGCATGTTAGATGTTTTATATCCCTTTAGATATTGTAAATAAAACAACAAGTTTTTATAGAGATTGTGTCAAGTCTTTTCTTTGACGCACGCGCTGAACAGCCTGTACTGTAGCCTAAATAATAGTTTAGATTTTATAACATATAATGTTCCATTACTTTAAATGTATAATGTTTTTTAATATTTATGGATTATATAAAATATATAGTTTATATAAATGCGCTCTGATCATTCAAGGATCATAATGCGTTGCATATTCTTCTTATTCTTCATTAGGCTTGATCCGTAAATTTTGTATTTTATAAACTGATCATTTATAAGGACTAAGCTATTAATAACTGTAATTCCTCGAATGGAAAAGTCTTGATTAAAGAAAAAGAGAACTTAATTCGACATATGCTTATAGTGCGCTTATTTCTGCGCGCATCGCGCGCTTTACCGAATTACCTTTTTTATTTTTTATGCACTATAAATGCATCTGGCAGCACTGAAAAGAGCAAATGCCAAGTTATTAGCGCAGCGCACAGACAGCTAGCTCGTCTAGTCTGAACCAGGGGTTTTCAAACTATTCATTGCACACCGATCCCATTGCATTTTATTTAGGATAAACCACTTATTTAAAATTAATTAATTAAAAGGTGCGTACTCTCCAATACACCACTGTAGTTTCATAATATTTAATAATTATAATTAAGATAGACACCTGACCTCCATTTAATAAACAATTTATTTGCCATACTCTGTTAATTTGAAGTTTAAAGTTTAAATGTTAAACTTAAATTATTTAAAAACTTAAAAAGACTTAAATTTAGTCATTTAAGACATTTTAGGTCATAAGTTTACATACATTGACCGTTGCATTTAGTAGGCCTATTCTGGTCTAAATAAGCTTTTTGCATCTTAGGTGTTTACACACACACAAATTAAGCAGTTTATACGTACATTTAATGTTACTTTGAAATTACTTTTGATGCAATAAATAATCCTAAATAGTTGAAAGTGTTAACATATTCTTGAAATGTAGTTATTTTATAACTATGAAATTTATTACTAAACAAAGTGAATCATTATGAATTTGCCAAGAAATAATCCACTTTACCACCGTAAAGCAATGCCCCACACTCACTAGAACGGTAGAACCTGGACTGTATGATATGTTCTGTATGTAAAATAGAGAAAATAAGCAAGATGCGCAGTCTCATGCAGCCTTAGTGAAATATAGCGCGTCACAGCAATGAACTAAAAATAAAACCACCCTTGAAATGCTGGCGATCTTAATTTTTTCAGCCTACACTGACTGAGAATAATGTTGCACTATTTTATTAACAAATAATTAGAATGTTTTTTTTTCCTTCAACACATTCATCATTACTTTTGCCTGTGCAAGTTTTTTTTGCGCCCGCTTGAGCGCGAAGGCATCTATTTTCAGGTGCAAGATGCCACTTTGGGTGGCACCAGCACACTCTGCCACACCTGTGGCTATGTCCCTGCTACAATAATAATAACAACAACAACGACAAAATAATAACAAAAAATAATAATAATAAGACAGGACTACTTTGACCTTGCAATAAAAAAGTAATAATTATCAAATAAATATTTACAATAGGCTAAAGGCATATTAAATTAAAATAGGAGAAAATCCAATAGAAACAAATGGTACCATTTATTATCGCCCCATGCAGGGTCCAATGTGTTCTTACAACCATTGAATAACTAAGTAAATAATAATAATAACAATACTAATAATAATAGGCCTAATAATAATAATAATAATAATAATAATAATAATATAATTATTATTTTATACAGAGTAGGCTATTATTTAGGCCTACAATAGCTCTGAAACAATCATGTAAACTAGGTGCTGCTCGGATATGGCTATCTTTGCTCTGCATCAGGTGCACAGCAGCAAGAAGCTTGGCAGTGAACTATGACCTTATTTTAATGACAAATGTCTAAGAATACTGCTGATTTACGTTTTTATTTAATTTATACTTACGCAATGAATGTAAGCCTGCTAACTGTGTGTGGTTCAAATGATAGAATATGTAAACTTTGTTTATATATATAATTAAATAATATTAATTAAAAGCCTGCGTGTAAGGCTTTTATTTTGAGGGTGACGTCACGAGCGCAGATTTGGTTAACCAATTAAAGGAAAGTGGGCGTTTCAGCACCGCCTACATGTGTAAAATGAATTTTAAAGTCGTTTATCCGTTTTCCTACCCTAAACCAAAAAACGAAAATCCAGCCAAAATCTCGTTTTTTCGTTTTCTCGTGAGCAAAAGAAAAACGGAAAAACGGGCGTTTTCTCCATTTCCTTTATTCTGTTTGAAAATGGAAAACAAATGAACAAAATGTACACGGACCTAGATAGATAGATAGATAGATAGATAGAATGACATTAGTCATTAAAAATATTATTTTCTGTCAAGATGAGAGGACCCTTAAAACTTCTTCATATTCTCAAAACCGGACGTTATTCATAAGTTTACCCAAATTTACCGGCGACTTCAAGCGCGTAAACAATCGCTGTTTCTTACCGCCAGCTTTGTGGAATTTCACACAAGCGTCCACTGAACTCCTTAAGCCCGTTTTCCCCAAAAGAGACCGACCGTGCAACCGACAACACACTTTGTGCATGATTGAGGTTTTGACGAGCAATTCTTCTGCTGTGAATCCAAAATGATGAAGCCTCGAGAAGCGGTGAATTGCTCCCCAAAAAGTGCTCAGGGAGGACCGAGTTCAGCCAATGGAATGTGGGGGTAAAGTCTGTCTCCGGGCCTCACAAATACAAATACCGTTCCGTCACAGAAAGACATTTGTTTAACATGTATAAGCCTGTCAAATATTGTTTATATGGTCTTGGCAGATTGTAACCACTACATACTAAATACATTGTAACATGTTCATAATGTTGCTGTTTTTTTGTTTATATTAAGGTTGCACTTTATTTATTATTATTTATTTTTTTGACATTAGCTAAAGTTATGTCTGAGGACAAGCCCCGCCCTCTCTCTCTCTCTCTCTCTCTCTCTCTCTCTCTCTCTCTCTCTCTCTCTCTCTCTCTCTCTCTCTGTGTGTGCGCGTGCGTGTGCGCGTTTGTAAATATAGTTGAGTCCAGGGGGTAGACTAATTTAGTTTCTCTAAAAGCTAGGGGTGTGTACGGCGTAACAAACTTGAAGGGTTTGTTCATTTTCAGAATAAACTTTTGCTGATAATGTATTCACTCCATTGTCATCCGAGATGTTCAGTTCTTTCTCTTTTAAAGATATAGTTCACCTAAAACAGAAAACGCTCACCCCCCCCCTCGCTTGTTTCAAACCTGTTTGGTTGTTTCTTTCTTGTGCTGAAGATATTCTGAAGAAAGCTAAAAACCTGTAACCAAGTCCTTGGTAGCCTTTGTTTGTCCTTCCACGGAAGTCAATGGTTACCAGTTTTTAGCTTTTGAAACGGCCCACTTTTAGTCAAAAAGGAAAGTTTTATTAAAGAAAACATACAACATTTTTCTATAGTGAAATTTTTTTAATAGTGAACTTCTGTGGTGCTCACTGGTTTGAACTTGTTTTGCTAGGTAAGACTCGTTATTTATTATCTGGGATCATTTTAAGCCTCTAGAGCAGGGGTGTCAAACTCAATTCCTGGAGGGCCGAAGCCCTGCACAGTTTAGTTCCAACCCTGCTCCAACACACTTACCTGTAGATTTCAAACAAGCCTGAAGGACTCAATTAGTTTGATCAGGTGAGTTTAATTAGGGTTGGAACTAAACTGTGCAGAGCTGCGGCCCTTTTGGAACTGAGTTTGACACCTGTGCTCTAGAGCATAGGTCTCAAACTGAATTCCTGGAGGGCCGCAGCTCTGCACAGCTTTTCTCCAACCCTAATTAAACACAGCTGATCCAACTAATCAATGTGTTCAAAACTACTATAGGGAATATTAAGCAGATGTGATTTGGAGGTGGTTGGAGCTATGCAGATGTGCGGCCCTACAGGATATGAGTTTGAAACTTGCTTTAGAAGCTGCACTGAAACTTCAGTTTGGAAGTTTGAACCACTGAGGACCACTGAGGTCCTCTATATGGAGCAAAATCCTGCATGTTTTCCTCAGAAACCTTAATTTCATTGTAACTAAAGAGATAACGAAACAAGCATCTATGACGAGATGGATAATTCCAAAATTATCATGAAATTATTATTTCTGAAAGTATATTGCTTTAATAAACACTCCATTGCATTACATATTGTTCCATTATATTGTGGAATATAGAGTACGAGGAAAGAAAGGAAAAATATACAGTGCATCCGGAAACTATTTATAGCGCTTCACTTTTCCCACATTTTTTGTTACAGCCTTATTTTAAAATGGATTAAAGTCATTTATTTCCTCAACTCTACCCACAATACCCCATAATGACAATGTGAAAAGATTTTTAAAAATTGTTACAAATTTATTAAAAATAAAAAACCTGAAAAATCACATGTACACAGGTACATTCTGTTTCCACTTATCATTCTTAAGATGTTTCAGCAGCTTATTTGGAGTTCACCTGTGGTTGATTCAGTTGATTGGACACTATTTGAAAAGGCATACACCTGTCTATATAAGGTCCCAGGGTTGATAGTGCATGTCAAAGCACAAACCAAGCATGAAGACAAAGGAATTGTCTGTATACCTGAGACAGGATAGTCTCGAGGCACTCTCTACCTGGAATTTGCCAAAAGGCATCTGAAGGACTCTCAGACTATAAGAAACAAAATTCTCTGGTCCGATGAAACTAAATTTGAATTCTTTGGAGTGAATGCCAGGTGATATGTTTGGAGAAAACCAGGCAACACTCATCACCAGTCTAATCATCCAGCATTATGCTGTTGGGATGTTTTTCAGCAGCAGGAACTGGAAGACTATGAGGATAGAGGGAAAGAAGAATGCAGCAATGTACAGAGACATCCTGAATGAAAACCTGCTTCAGAGTGCTCTTGACCTCAGAATGAGGCGACAGCTCATCTTCCAGCAGGACAATGACCCAAAGCACACCGAAAGAATATAAATGGAGTGGCTTCACAACAACTCGGTGAATGTCCTTGAGTGGCACAGCCAGAGCCCAGACCTAAATGCTATTGAACATCTCTGGAGAGATTTGAAAATGAATGTACACCGTTGTTTCCCATACAACCTAATACAGCAAATAGAAATGAGCAAAAAATCCCAAACACAGGTGTGCCAAGCTTGTGGCATCATATTCAAAAAGACTCGAGGCTGTAATTACTGCCAAAGGTGCATCAACAAAGTATTGAGCAAAGGCTGTGAATAATTATGCACATGTGATTTTTCGGGTTTTTTATTTTTATTACATTTGCAACAAATTTAAAAAAAATCTTTTTTTATATTGTCATCATGGAGTATTGTGTGTAAAGTTTAGAGGAAATAAATGAATCTATTTTGGAATAAGGCTGTAACATTAAAAAATGAAATGCTATGAAAACTTTCCATATTTCCAGATTAATTTTTATATATACATTTATAATGTGTATATAGTAATTGTGTAGATTGAACAGATTTATATAATTTGGGACTTTATTTCTCATATTTTACTTAAAAAAACAGTTACTTTAATATAATTTCTAACTTTTTTATTATATATATTTTAAATCTTGCAGACCTAGATGTTTTAATCCTGAAAAATAAAATAAAAACATAAACAATGCTAACTAAAAGCTTGGTGTTGCATTAATAAAATGTTTTAAAAGTTAAATTACAATTAAAAATATATGTAATTTAGTTTTCGCTCATTACATTATTTTCTACTAAATTTTCCATGAACTACTCACTTGTGTACATGTGTTGGCTGAACGTTTTGGCATATATTTGAGGGCAATAAGATGCCATCTTTCTCAAAATAACCACTCTATGACACTGGAAACAATCTGAGCAAGTGTTTTAATGGTTTTGCTATGTGATTTGACAAGTAATGTTGGTTATGGAAAAGCAGAACACAATAAGGATACATTACACAAGATGTTTTCAGTCAACTTACATAGGTCAACAGCACAAGTTTGATTTCAGCACCTCAACTGACTTGAATTCACCCAACAAAAGTAAAGACATTAAATAAAAATAGCATCATGTCAACAAAAATATAGCATTCTTTAGTGTATCTTTATAATATAGCAAAGGCTGATTATAGTGGTTTTAAGTTTGGTAAACTGAAATCAAGTGATAATATAATCATCCTTGGGATTTATGTTCCGTCATACGCTCAAATGAAAGTATTATTTCACACAATTGTCTTTAAATCCGGTTACAAAAACCTATTTTCCATTGCCTGATTTTAAAAATTGCTTAACATAAATGATGCATGCAGATTTATTATGCATGAAACAAGACTGTTGAAGAAACAAAGACATAAGAAAATATTACTCTACTCACAATTAAACTAAATTAGATCAGGATTTTTTTTAGGCTCAGTCGACCCTTACAAAATTAAACTGTTGTATAAATGATCTAGGTTTCTATGTGTCATTTATAACAACCGAATGTACTGTTTTTATATACATGCGTGTATGTATTTGCAAATTTACTGTCCAAAAAATCAACACAGTCTTCTCTCATAGATTCAAGCATAAAATAAGGCAACATGTGGAGGCTGACTCTTGCAAAATTCATTCTTTTCTGCAAGCAACTGCTTTTATGGTTAACATTTTGTGCATGCAAGATAATAACTGCCTGGTTGTTTCATATAATGTCTGATCTTTTTAGGCTTAAAATATATTTTTTATAATTTCTCTTTTATATGAAAGAATAAGGAAAAAAATAGTGCTAAATAAATGGCTATGCGTGTCATTTGAAAGGTTTTTCCACAGGGTTAACATTCAACTTCTACAGCGAATAACTCACTGAAACATATTTGGAAATGTACTTAAATGCTGGCACTTTCTCATTTTGTGCCAAAATCAGTGCCAAATACATTTATAATACATTTATACATTCAGCAGGATCATTTAAGTGAGTTTACCTCCACCTGAGAGCTAAAAATATATATTTAAAAACAATTTACAATCAATTCAAATCCCTTTTAACGTATGTGCATTAGTGTTCAATTAATATATACGAAGTCATTTTCAATTGTATGACTGAGATTTCACAAGCGGAAATGTTTCCTGAAATGAAAGATTACGTAGGATTAAACTGGCGACAAAAATGATATTGTATTTATATAGTAGGCATGTTGGAGCATTAAAATTCATTGTAGAGTGCAGTGCATCAAACCAAAGCTTTGAATTGGCTGAATGCTGTTACAATTCTCAAGATTAGTTCATTAAAAATAGTTTTTAGACCTTTATGCGTTTCGGGAGTGAACAGTGGGATAAAAAGCATTGTAGCTTTGAACACGTAACAGTGCCATGATGCAAAAATACATACAATAACATAATGCATAGTGAACTGCCGATGGCAACTATGCTAAGTGCTAAGTTTTCAAATCTCAGGAATATATAAACATGACAAATCGTTTGAAGTTAACATGAAATAGTATTCGCGTCTTATTTTCCTTAAATAAGGGAGTGTTTACACAATACCGTTTGCAACTAAAAATAAAAAGGAAAAGATTATGCAATTTTGCTTGACAAGGCCTTAGGAGCCTAAAACAAACACTGTAAAAATAAATAGTCAATATAACTTTAAAAACACGATTATAAAAAACAGGACACATTATACAAACATTTGACAGTATTGTCATCTGAATGTGAAACTTATATTAATTTTTGTGTAAATCTGTGTTTCCCAACACTGTTCCTAAAAGCGCACCAACAGTAAACATTTTTAACCAACAGTAAACATTTTTAACCTCTCCTAATCAAACACACCTGAATCAACTCATTAGAACACTAGAAGAGACTCCAAAACCTGAAATCAATGGGTTATTTAAGGGAGACATCCAAAATATGTACTGTTGGTGTGCCTCCAGGAACAGGGTTGGGAAACAATTGTGTAAATGCAACCTAAAACACAAACAACTTAGGTGCAATTTCAATTTGCAAACTCTGAAAAGAAGTCTTAGATCGTGCCTGAATAACTTTTGGCTATTGGTTAACAAAAAAGCATATGTATTTAAAGTGTTAGTTGATGACACTTCCGTTATTAATTACTCACCCTCACTTTGTTCCAAACCTCTAAGCCCTTTGTTTTCCTTCGAAACACAATTTAAGGTATTTAGATGAAATCTGAGCTCTTGCTCATCCTTCATAAACAGCAACGGTCCCGACTCGTTATAAAGAACACTTCTCCACAGTGTCAGTATATTGTGCGCGTTCAGGAGAAAGCTGAATATTGAGCTGATGGATTACATGTGATGCTCCGCTTTGTTTCAAACCATGTAAGCCGAATCTAGGGTATATATCAGTACACAGTGCCTGTGAGCATGCACAATATACTGACACTGAGGAGAAGAAATTGTACAATTAAGTCATTTTTTCTGTACATACAAAAGTATTCTCCTAGCTTGATAATAGTCCGATTGCACCACTGAAGGCAATATGATCTGTTTTGAGGATTTTTTTAAAATCATTTTTGTCTCTTTTTTTCTTCATTAAACAATTGTATTTGTATTGCTTAAGGTGAAATAAATTACCCAAACTTTTTCCCTAGTGTGATACGTTTTGCATACGAATAAAGCATTTTTGCAGAAGTAGATGAAGCTGCTAAAAATGCAAAGGCCTGAGTGTTTAAAATTACTTGAGCTCTGCAGCGAAAATTCCTGTAAGCATGAAGTCTTGTGCTTTTTGACTTTGTGCAGAGAATTAGTGGAAAAAGAGGATGTATGTATGGGTGCGGCCAATGGAGGACTGGAAACTGAATGGAAACTGATTGACAGGTGATGAATTCCACTAAACTCCACCTGTTAATATCAGCTACGTATAAAAGCTGAATATCGAGCTGCTATATTACCTGTGATGCTACGCTACATTTCAAACAAGCTGAATTCAGAGTATATATCAGTACACAGTGCCTGTAAACATGCACAATATACTGAGAATGAGGAGAAGAAACTTAAATAAAAACATTATTTTTGTGCTATGTGCACACAAAAATATTCCCCTAGCTTGATAATTTTCCAATTGCACAATTAAAGGCAATATAAACTGTTTTGAGGATGTTCATTTTGTACTGTTGTAAAAAAAGGAATTAATTATTAAATTAGTTTTGTCTGTTTCTCTTTTCACTAAACAATTGTATTTGTATTGCTTAAGGTGATAAATATAAACCAACTTCTTTGATATGTTTTGCATAATAATGAAGCATTTTTGCAGAAGTAGCTGCTAGAATGCAAAGGCCTGAGTGTCTAAAATTAACTTGAGCTCTGCAGTGAAACTTCCTGTGAGAACAGAATTTGCAGTTGATAAGTCTTGTGCTTTTTGGTGCTGTGCAGAGAATTAGTACAAAAAGAGGACGTATGTATGGGTGCGGCCAAAGAAGGACTGGAGATTGATTGACAAGTGATGTCAATCCTGTTAATATCAGCTATGCATAAAAGCACGCTTGCATTGCATTGAGGATAACCAAATTTTGTGAATCGAATTTTTTATTTGTATCTAATAAATTAGTAATATGTGTAACATTGAAGAAAAACCTCTCCTGAGCTTTTTTACTGAACACGCATGGAATTGACTAAATATTCCACAGTATGTTTTATTACTTTGAACAAGTCTGGAACTTTGTTGTCTATGGAGGATGAGGGAGCTCTCAGATTTCACCTAAAATATCTTAAATTTGTGTTCTGAAGACATGTCTCAAAGGTCCAGAACAACATGCGGGTGAGTAATTAATAATAAAAGTAAAATCTTTTGGGTGATCCGAGCATTTAAGATAATAAGACCTGCTTCGATTTCATGTTAACTTTAAAGACTTCAATTATTTATAAGTGTAAAGCGAACCCCTTTTGGTGGTTTACAAGCATCACCTCATAAAAGTACATAATCCGTGACTTCTTCATGTAAAAGTTCACAGCAACCCTCCAGCTTGTGTCCGATACAATCTACTTCAAAGTAAATATCACTTGTATAAATACAAATCCTGCTTATTTATCAAACATAACAAGATCTGAGAGGGATAAAAGCGCTTGGCATGAGCTGTCAACAGTTGTTTTTAATATGTTTTGTCTGCTTTTTTTGTTTGTTTTGACTGTCTGTCAGCCTTCCTGCGTTAGAATTGCTTGTATAATGGCATCAGGACTGTTGTGTCCACGTAACCGTTTCCCATCACCCTCATGTCTTGACTGTGCAACTGTGTCATGACAGGTTTGCATGGGTGAGGAGTTTGCTGGGCTGTGCATTGATCAGCATAGCTTTCAAAGTCCTGGCTGTAATCATTGACAACCTGATGAGACGTTTCTCTTTGGAGAAGGAGAGTATTGTTTGACGTCACTTCTTTGACCTTGCTGTAGTCCTCATCGATGCGATCTGACCCTTCAGGTTCACGGTTTGGGTCTGAAAGTGGCCTAAGCAGTAGTATGTTTTCCGGGTTGACCCTCTGCACCTCTACATACTCCAAGGAGCGAGATGGAGGAACACCGGCTTCGGAAATGTCAACGTTGTCCATGTTGAACTGGTTGTAGCTTTGGGAATGCCGGCAGGGAGGTTTAGTAAAGCGCCCTTCCTGCGGCGGGATGTCCTGAAGGTAAAGCTGGTGGTAGTTGCTTGGGATTGCGTGTGATGGTGAATGTTTTAGGATCTCCGGGACGCTGTGGTAGGCCGGTTTTGTCGCTCCGACTTGGTAGTGGTGATGCGGTTGGGGTGAGGAAAACACAACAGGCCAGGTTTTCATGCGTCCATCGGTGGACTCTGGAGAACCAGGTGAACCTTGGCTTTCGCTACATTCGCTGGAAGAAGCCCAGCTTGTTTCTCCGTGCTGGCTGTAGTTGTGTTGGTCATTTCCACTTCCTTCCATGCACTTGTCTAAAAGCAGGGTACGACTGTCGCAGCTGCCCCTGCCCGAGTCGCTGTCAGATGGGCTTTTGGATTTCATGCTGTCCTCTGATAGATCTTTACCATCCAGGACCAGCTCTTGCTCCTCGTTGTCGTACACCTCGAGGTACTCCACTAGTAGATCGTCGTAATCAGTGGTTGGAGGGAAACCTGGGATTACCAGAGAATTGAAAACTTCCTCTGATTTCCCGCTCTGTAAAACAAAGACAAACAAGTGAGATGAATGTGTAAAACTTTCGAAAATCTGATATATAGCCATACATGAATATATAATGTACAGTTGAAGGCAAAAATAACCGTGACATTATTTCCAAAGTTATTTTAAACGCAGGCTTTTCATCAAACACTTTTATACATGATGGTGTTGATAACCCTTTTTTTCGTCTGTGGCACGATGACAGTACATAATATTGCACTAGTCATTTTGCAAGATGCTAGTATTCAGCAGTTTCCCAGTTCTGGATTGTGGCTGGAAGGACATTTGCTGCGTAAAAACATATGCCAGAGTAGTTGGTGGTTCATTCCGCTGTGGCAAGCCCTAATAAACCAGGTACTACACCGAAGGAAAATGAATGAATAGTATTCAACATAAAGTGCATTATAAAGTCTTAATTAGGTTAAATAGGCAAGTTTGGTTAATTCGGCAAGTCATTGGACAACAGAGTTTTTACTGTAGCCAATCATGAAAAAATTTAAAGAGGCTAATAATATTTATCTTACTAGTTTTAAATAAAAAATTTAATAAAAATAATTCCAGCTCCGTCCCTAAAAGAAAAATATAACAGGAAATACTATGAAAAAATATATAATACATAATTATATTAATACACTTTAACAAAAACTGAAAAATATGTATATGTGGCTATTTTTACAATATTTTTAAACAGTTTTTGTGGGTATGAACAAATGAAATATTGGTAAATACCACTGATGTTAAATATGTGAATTGCATATATACCCATACAGTATATCAGATTTTTTTATAGGAAAGTTTTGTCAACTGCTGCAAATTCACCTGTTAAAGCCACTGTACATAAAAAATAAGCTTGAATGGCTTAATCTTGCATAGACTTGAGTGCATATTAACTAATTATTAGCTAATTAATGAGCATCTTTGAACAAATGCTGTCTGTAATCTAAATTGTGGAACTGCCCAGTCAAACCACAGACATTACCAGAGAATTAAAGCAAGCAGACCAGAAACCTGAAGTCATTTAAAGTATAAACAAAAGTATAAAGTATATATTTCAAGTATAAACTCTATCTTCAATCAAACTTGTAATATTTCAGAGATTATATTTGAAGAGAACTATATATAACGGAGAGAGGATTTTTTAAAACACATTTTTACACATAATAGTTTTAATAACTCATTTGTAATAGTTGATTTATTTTATTTTTGTCATGATGACAGTAAATAATATTTGACTAAATATTTTTCAAGACACTTCTATACAACCTAAAGTGACATTTAAAGGCTTAACTAGGTTAAGGGTGGGGTAATTAGGCAGGTTATTTTATAACGAATGTTTGTTCTGTAAACTATCGAAGAAGAAAATAGCTTAAAGAGACTAATAATATTGACCCTAAATGTTGTTTAAAAAAATAAGAACTGCTTTTATTCCAGCCCAAATAAAACAAATAAGACTTTCTCCAGAAGAAAAAATATTATCAGACATACTGTGAAAATTTTCTTGCTCTGTTAAACATCATTTAGGAAATATTTAAAAAAGAAAATAAATTAAAGGGGGGCTAATAATTCTGACATTAACTGTATATATAGAAGAATGGGGGATTTTTCTCTTACCTTGAGAAGCTGTTTGTCAAATCCTTTGATTTTCGGCCCAGGAACAGGAGGCAGCAAACAAAGCTTCACACTAAATACAAACATGAAAAATGAAAAACTAAATAAAAACAACATTTTAAAACTGATACTCAACAGTTTGCACAAATCTTTTCTTTACAGGATAAAAAAGCTTAATATACAAAACAAACTCATTTGGATGAAATATTTAGATACGTTTTACGTTGTCTTTAGCAAGAAATAATTAATTTGCTTGAATATAAATATCAATATTAATGCACTGTTATCTATCAACAAGTACATGATCATATCATAAGCACTACGGATACTGATGAAGGATTTATCTGGAATATGGAACAAAATCCTTCACGTGTCCCGACAGGATTAAGAGATTAATTGTGGATCCCGTTCGTCCTTGTACTGTTGAGAATGCCTCACGTTATTTGACAATGTAATTAGTCTATCTTTGTCTATTTAAATCTACGCTGAGAAAAACTGGCCTAAAAACTACATTTGAGGGTGAAGTGAGGTACTGCAAAATCTAGATCAGTCCTCTAATGGCAGATTAATCCTGCAAGTGTTTGTCAGTGGAAACAATTGATTTATTTATTTATTTATGTAATTATGATATACCAGAAAGAAGGAAAATAATATTTAATAATAATAATAATAATAATAATAATAATAATAGTGTTTATTAATAATGATTTTTTATAAATATATAATAATAAATAAATATAAAAGTAGAATATATATATATAAAATTTTTCTGCTTAGAAAGTTAAAAAAATAAATGTTTAAATTTAAAATAAGTCAATTAAATATTCAATTTTAAAAACATTTTCAGCTTTTATTGCGAGTACTTGCCAGTAATAATGAATCACTTTTAATATAATATATACAACTTTTTAAATAGAAAAAATAGAAATTAAATAGAAAACAGTAAAATAATTCATTAAAATTTATTAAATAATAAATACATTTATATCAAATAATAAATAAAATAGGTAAAGTGTATTAAAATGAAACTGATAACATGCAGAAATTCAATGTAGAGTTGATACACACACATGCTTCAAAACGCACCTGTTGTGTTTCACTTTGAGCATCCAGGTGAGGATAAAGACGATGAAGACAGAGAAAATCGTGATCATGATCCACAACGAACGCTCTCTGGGAATATCTATATAGTGTAAACACAAAACAGGATGTGGATATGAATAAAGTGCTTTTCAACTGCATTTCCTTTCCCTTAAAGTAATAATGCACAAAATTTTAAAAATATAAAACTTTACAAAATAAGTTATTCTGAAGAAGGTTGGAAACCATTGAAATAGTCATTTATTAATAGAATTTGTATTAGTTGTTTTTGGTTTCCAACATTCTTTAAAATATCTTCAGTAATTGCTCACTTTTAGGATCAAACAATTCAGTTTGTGACGCTTACAGTACTATTAACAAAAACAAGAAATAATGAAATTATAAATAGAGGATAAATTAGGTTACAGCTCTTAAAACAATGTGTCACGGTTGTGGATCTATCTGCTCTTCATTTGAAGTGTCTGCGTTGTGTGACAGTTCATTATTTATGGTATGTGTTTCTAAGTGTGTGTGCTTCTCTCTCTGTGCTTGTGTGGGACTCGCGTGCCTGTCAGTGGGTGTTTGTTTTCGTGGCATCAGCTGAGCGGTCACATGATCCTTGTTACCGGAACTATTGCGTGTCACCGCTCGGCTGTTAATCAGCGCGCTACAGGTGTAGCGCATTTTTGTGCCTATAAATGTTCAGCGTTCCTGTCTCACTTTGTCAGTTCGTTGTATGCTCACGGTGTTTTGTCTTTTGTCAGGATCCTCTCGCTGATTCTCGCTGGTGGTGAGTGGCTCGGTTGCTTCCTCGTTTCACTTTCGGATGCTTCCGGTTCCTTTGATGATGACTGTTTGATTCACTCTGTTGACGAGTGTCATGAACTTTCTATCGGCGCTGCCGACCAAGATCGCTACTGTTATTCCTGCTAAAAGACTGTGTACTTCCAGCCACTCACCATTTTCTCTGTCTTTTTTCTGTGATCTTCATTAAATAACTTTTACTTGCAATTGGGTTCCACGTCCTGATTATTGAGCGTCACAGAACGAACTGACCAACATGGACCCAGCAAGTGCCGCAGAAATTCAGGAGGTGCTTTCACGCAGTGTCGCCAGGATGGATCATCAAGACCAACAGATGAAAATGACCAGTCAAGCCATCCAAGCACTGGTCAATCAAGTTTCGGAGCTGACTACACAAGTCCAACGACTCAGCTCGGGTCTCAGCGCCGGATCCTCCTTACCAGCTCCCTCCGTCGACCCACCAGCCAGCCCGTTGGTCAACGAAACTCCCCGAACCACCGAACCACGACTACCTCCACCACAACCTTATGCAGGTGAACCCCATTTATGTAGAGCCTTTATTGCCAAATGTTCACTTTACATATCTCTTCAACCATCATCTTTTCCCACCGAAGAGAGCAAGGTGGCGTTTTTAATTAATCTATTGACTGGCAAAGCGGCATTATGGGGAACCACGGCGTGGGAGAAGAAACTTCCCTGCTGTCTGTCTTTTAAGTCGTTTTCAGAGGAGCTCAAGACGGTGTTTGATCAGGCTGCTTCGGGGAGGGAGGCATCCAGACGTCTCGCGGAGCTTCGCCAGGAGGATCACAGTGTGGCGGATTACTCCATTGATTTCCGCACCCTGGCGGCTGAGTGTGGCTGGAACAGTGAAGCCCAGTGGGACATGTTCTTTCACGGACTCGCGGACCACATAAAAGACGAAATTTATGCTTTGGAGCTGCCCAAGACGTTGGACGGTCTCATCAGTCTGGCTATAAGGGTGGACAACCGTCTGCAGCGCAGAGGCGTTCACAAGGAGTTCCGTCCTCAGGCCTGCTTTCCAGAGGCTACAACCCCCGATCCGGAACCTGAGCCCATGCAGGTGGGAAGATTTCGCCTCTCGTCGGAGGAGAGACGTCGTCGTCGCACAGGGGGACTGTGCATGTACTGTGGGGTTGGTGGTCATTATGCAGCCGTATGTCCAGTCAAGAACAAACCATCCACTGGTAAGAGTTTTTTGGTGGGCGAAATATTGACTGGGAAGGACACTTCAGGTTCCACTTTTCTACCCATTAAATTGGGAGTTAACTCGAACTTTCATTCCTGTGATGCGCTCATCGATTCAGGTGCTGAAGGGAGTTTTATCGATTCTGATCTAGTTAATAAGTTAAAAATTCCTTGTTTTCCTCTTTCTTCACCCATAGCTGTTCATGCACTTAGTGGACTACCTCTTCCTACTATCACGCACATCACGGCCCCTATTAGACTTATTACTTCAGGAAATCATACTGAAACTATTTCCTTTTTTCTCACTAAGACTGTTAAGAATCCTGTCATTCTGGGACATCCGTGGTTGGTGTTACACAAGCCACATATTAACTGGGGCCACAACACAGTCTTTTCTTGGAGCGAGAGCTGTCATAAGTCTTGTCTATTGTCTGCTTGTTCCACTGTGTCTTGTTCTGTGTTTCAGGAAGAGCAGGTGGATCTGTCAAACAAGCCCCGTGAGTACCATGACCTGAAGAGAGTGTTCAGTAAGTCCCGGGCTGCTTCTCTACCTCCTCACCGTCCCTATGACTGTGCTATAGACTTATTGCCAGGTACGTCTCCGCCTAAAGGCAAGTTATATTCGCTGTCTGTTCCAGAGAGGGAGGCCATGGAGAAATATATTTCTGATTCTCTAGCAGCCAAGATCATCCGCCCGTCTTCTTCACCGGCGGGGGCGGGATTTTTTTTTGTGAAAAAGAAGGATGGTTCCCTTCGTCCGTGCATAGACTATCGAGGGCTGAACAGCATCACGGTTAAGAATACTTATCCTTTGCCGCTGATGTCTTCAGCCTTCGAGCGTCTGCAGGGGGCGAACTTTTTCACAAAATTAGATCTTCGCAATGCTTATCATTTGGTTCGCACAAGACCCGGGGATGAGTGGAAAACAGCGTTTAACACCCCTAGAGGGCATTTTGAGTATTGCGTTCTGCCCTTCGGCCTTTCCAACGCTCCGGCTGTTTTTCAGGCACTCGTCAATGACGTGTTGAGAGATATGATAGATCAGTTTATTTATGTCTACCTGGATGACATTCTGATTTTTTCCCACTCTCTCCAGGAGCACATTCAACATGTCAGACGAGTGTTGCAGAGGCTGTTAGAGAATGGGCTTTATGTCAAGGCGGAGAAATGCGTTTTTCATGCACAGTCGGTTCAGTTCTTGGGACATATCGTGTCAGTCGAGGGGATGCGCATGGATCCAGAGAAGATTCAGGCTGTGGTAGATTGGCCAACCCCAGATTCCCGTAAGGCCCTGCAGAGGTTTCTGGGTTTTGCCAATTTCTACCGGCGTTTTATCCGCAATTTCAGCCAGCTCGCCACACCTCTGACTTCCTTGACCTCCTCCAAAACGCCGTTCAGGTGGTCCAGTGCAGCCGAGGCTGCCTTCTCCAAACTAAAAGGCTGTTTCGTTTCAGCCCCGATCCTCATTGCCCCTGACCCTTCCAGGCAGTTCGTGGTGGAGGTCGATGCGTCGGAGGTTGGGGTCGGAGCCATCCTGTCCCAGCGTTCCGCCTCGGATGGCAAGGTCCATCCTTGCGCGTATTTTTCTCATCGATTATCTCCTGCAGAAAGAAATTACGACATTGGTAATCGAGAGTTGTTGGCCGTCAAGCTTGCTTTGGAGGAGTGGCGTCACTGGTTAGAAGGCTCGGGGGTGCCTTTTATCGTCTGGACCGATCACAAAAATCTTGAATATATTAGATCCGCTAAAAGATTGAACTCCAGGCAGGCTCGGTGGGCATTATTTTTCGGACGGTTTAATTTTACCATCTCGTACAGACCAGGTTCCAAGAACATCAAACCTGATGCGTTATCACGTCTTTTCGATCCTTCAGATCGCAAGTCATCTTCTGATTCTGTACTTCCTCAGAACATCGTCGTAGCTAACATATCTTGGGAGATCGAGTCGAGGGTCCGTGCAGCCCTGGATGGGGTAACGCCCCCGATCGGATGTCCACCGAGTTGTTTGTTTGTGCCAGAGGGATTACGGTCCGACGTCGTCCGGTGGGGTCATTCCTCCAAGGTAGCTTGTCACCCAGGGGTGAGTCGCACATTATTTGTTATCAAACAACGATTTTGGTGGCCAGCTATGGCTCGCGATGTGCGTGATTTTGTTTTGGCTTGCTCTGTCTGTGCGGTTTCCAAGTCTTCCAATCGCCCACCTGCTGGACTCCTCCAACCGCTGTCAGTGCCTTCGAGACCCTGGTCACACATTTCGCTAGATTTTGTTACGGGTCTTCCATCCTCTAACGGTAACACGGTAGTTTTGACCGTGGTGGACCGGTTCTCGAAGGCTGCTCATTTCATCTCTCTGCCCAAATTACCATCAGCCAGAGAGACAGCGGTTGCTGTCATTGATCATGTCTTTCGCATTCATGGCCTCCCGACGGATGTGGTCTCTGACAGGGGGCCTCAGTTTGTCTCTAAATTTTGGAGAGAATTCTGCCGTTTATTGGGGGCCACTGTTAGTCTTTCTTCTGGTTTTCATCCCCAGAGTAACGGCCAGACCGAGAGAGCCAATCAGGATCTTGAGCGCACATTGCGATGTTTGGTCTCGCAGAATCCATCCTCTTGGAGCCAACAACTTTCGTGGGTGGAGTACGCACATAATTCGTTACCAGTGTCTGCCACGGGCCTTTCTCCGTTTCAGTGTAGTCTAGGTTACCAGCCACCAGTTTTTCCTAGTCTGGAATCTGAAGTTGCGGTTCCCTCTGTTCACGCCTTTGTCCAGAGGTGCCGCCGCACTTGGAATAGGGCCAGACAGACCCTCCTCCAAGTGGGGAAGCGCACCAAGGCTAAAGCCGATCGCCACCGGTCTAAGCCTCCCGTTTACGTTGTCGGTCAAAAAGTGTGGCTTTCTACGAAAAACATTCCGCTCCGCACCGTCTGCAATAAGTTAGCCCCTAAATTTATTGGCCCTTTTATTGTCACTAAGATCATTAATCCTGTGGCAATCCGCCTCAAATTACCTCCAGCGTACAGGAGAATTCATCCCGTGTTCCATGTATCCAAAGTAAAGCCCGTTTTTCATACGGCAATTAATCCGCACACACCAGTTCCCCCCCCGCCGCGTCTCGTAGATGGGGAGACTGCTTATTCGGTTAAGCGCATTCTGGACTCTAGACGGAGGGGACGAGGATTTCAGTACTTGGTGGACTGGGAAGGTTACGGTCCGGAGGAGAGAAGTTGGGTTCCGGCCGGGGACATATTGGACCACTCTCTTATCGATGATTACAATCGCCAGGTAGGCTCGTCTGGGGACGCCAGGAGGCGTCCGTAGGGGAGAGGGTAATGTCACGGTTGTGGATCTATCTGCTCTTCATTTGAAGTGTCTGCGTTGTGTGACAGTTCATTATTTATGGTATGTGTTTCTAAGTGTGTGTGCTTCTCTCTCTGTGCTTGTGTGGGACTCGCGTGCCTGTCAGTGGGTGTTTGTTTTCGTGGCATCAGCTGAGCGGTCACATGATCCTTGTTACCGGAACTATTGCGTGTCACCGCTCGGCTGTTAATCAGCGCGCTACAGGTGTAGCGCATTTTTGTGCCTATAAATGTTCAGCGTTCCTGTCTCACTTTGTCAGTTCGTTGTATGCTCACGGTGTTTTGTCTTTTGTCAGGATCCTCTCGCTGATTCTCGCTGGTGGTGAGTGGCTCGGTTGCTTCCTCGTTTCACTTTCGGATGCTTCCGGTTCCTTTGATGATGACTGTTTGATTCACTCTGTTGACGAGTGTCATGAACTTTCTATCGGCGCTGCCGACCAAGATCGCTACTGTTATTCCTGCTAAAAGACTGTGTACTTCCAGCCACTCACCATTTTCTCTGTCTTTTTTCTGTGATCTTCATTAAATAACTTTTACTTGCAATTGGGTTCCACGTCCTGATTATTGAGCGTCACACAATGACAAAAAAAAAAAAAAAAAAAATATATATATATATATATATATATATATATACACACACACACACACATACACAACTGTCTGTTTCTATTTGATTGGCTGATAGCACTCGTCCAGCCTCTTAACCCTTCACCCTTGTGTATTACTCCGCCCACACACAACAACAACAAGAACACTCTACAGTTTGACAAATATTGCTGCTGTTGGACAGCATAATGTACTTTCAAGACTTTTTTAGTCAAGCATGTAGTTGTTTAGATTGTAACCATGCAGTTTATTTTATTTATAAGGATAGTTCCTATTTTAATTGTTTATAATTTCGGAGATACAGCGCCATTCACAAGTTGGCGACAGAGACGCAAGCCCTTAGGGGAGGAAAAACCCCAAATCATAATAAAACTGGTAGGTGGCTTTCTAAATCAATCTCTGTATTTTGTTTGTTGTAGTGCTGTATTTATACTATAGTAATTGTAGTGTGTTGAGTGTAAGATGGGACTCACATACTTAGAATGTGTGTATTTTGTGTTGGCCACTGGTTGGCCATCTGTTTCAAATGTCTCTCTTGTTTTCATAACTGCACTACTAGTTCAGTACACAGAACGAAAGAAGAAATGCCCACATGTGTTTAGCGGTTTTCCTTATCGCAAACACAAAAGTGATTTGGTAGCAATTGTGCTGCTTTAGCTTTTTCAGGATTAATTATTGTGAAATCCCGATGGCAACAGAGAAATACTGGGAAATCTCTGTAGACTGATGACAATTCATGCCGTTCAGCCTTATAATCTTAAAATATGAGCCAAATCACTGTTTTATCATCACTTTAGACATTATGCCAGAGAATAATTCAAACACTAGCTCTAAAGTGACATTTGTAATGTAGCAATGATTTCTGCTGTTCTGATGTCAGCTGCAGATGTGAATGAGAGGCGGAACAAAGTTCCAAATAAAAAAGGGATTTGACACTCTCTGTGTTTGATTTTCTTTTTGATACACACATTTATGCCGTCGAACTGTTGCATAAACAATATTTTTTTTCATCAGGTTTTTGGTTATAAAATCTTAGTTTATATATAGTTATTTTATTTTTGTGTGTCCGTGGCTATGTTGTTCTTTTGTTGTATCTCGTTTTATAGTTTCAGTTATCCTTGCGCTGCAATTTAATCTATTTCTAACGCTTTTGAAAGTGCTTTCTACATAAATGAGTTGAGATGAGTTGAGTTGATTTCGTGCATGATTGCGGGGGGGAATTGAGGTCTGAAGCCCCTGGAGAAACTGGAGGTCTGTCTGTGTCCCTCTTGACTTGTCTGAGCTGTTAGATTGATGTGCACAGGAGAGCATGGAAATACAGACTGTGGCTCTGAAACGGCTCTCTAGAGGTGCTGGATGATCATTTAATAAGCGTACCACTACTTACTGGACTGGAAATATGTAGCTTTTTTATGTGTCTAACAGGGTTCTTCAATTTAGGCAAAACAAGTTAAATAAAAATACATATTTTACTGAAATAAAATGCAAAAATAAAACAGTAAATTATTTTTAGCTTTTTGTCAGAACAATATTTTTTGAAACCAAAAAACATAAACTACTAAAATTTATAAGGTTATTAAAAATAGAAAAAAGAAAAACAATATAAAATAAGAATCAAAACAGCATGTCCATACAAATTTTTGAAAATGCAATACCATTGCTGTAACTTTAGAGGAGTTAAGAAAACAGTATTTGTTTGAATAATCCTGATTGTCAAACACAAATAATCAAAACATTTTCTTTTCTGGACAGTTGCTATAAATACTTTTATTCGAAAATGTAATCAGACCTTTACGGAATAAAACAAATATTAACATTTTACCCAAACACATACCTAGTAAATTCAGAGAAACCTAAATGCATTTTATCTGATGTCTTTCTCTATGTGTGTGTGTGTGTGTGTGTGTGTGTGTGTGTGTGTGTGTGTGTGTAGTATGCGAATTAGTATGTAGGTACGTATGAATATGTAAATATGTAAATAAATACATGCATAAGCAAGTGAGTGAGTAGGTAAGTACGCACAGTAAGTACATACATGAGTGAATATGTAAGTGAGTGAGTATGTGAGTGAGTACATGAGCAAGTACATACACTACGTGACTGAGTACAGGAGTAAGTACATCCGTGAGTGAATACCAACGTGAGTACATAAGTACGTACATGAGTGAATGAGCATGTGAGTAAGTATATACATGAGTGAGTACGTAATTGAGTGAGTACATTATATGTGAGTGAGTACATAAGTACATACTTAGTTTTTAAGCAAGTCACTAAGTACGTGGGTGACTAAGTACAGAAGTGAATCTGCAAGTACATAAGTAAATGAGCATTTAAGTACATATGTGAGTGGGTATGTAAGCAAGTATTTGAGTGAGTACATAAGTACATACATATGTTAGTCACTTACATACAGTATGTATGTACTAAGTACAGAAGTGATTATAGAAGTACACGAGTGAATGAGCATGTAAGTGCATATGGGAGTAAGTGCGTAAGCAAATACATGAGTATGTATCTGAGTACATAAGTTAGTACATGAGTGACTACGTAAGTACATTTGTAAGTGAGTTCTTAAATATGTAAGTGAATGAGTATGTGAGTAAGTACTTACATGAGTAAGCTAGTGAGTACGTAAGTACATCAGTGATGAGCGAATGAGTACTTTTAAAGTATATACATTTTATAAGAAAATTTACTTGAAATTAACAAAAAAATTCTTACAGTTGGGCATTTTGACGTAGGTGGTTTGTGTCCATTCACTCCAGAAGCCATGATCTGGTTTACACCGCACCTGCACCATGTATTCTCTATCAGAGTGAAGGCTGAACACGTTATAGTTCTTTTGCCTTTCAGCATCATATTCCTACACAAACACAAAGCAAGCACAAGTTCGTCATTAATATGAAAGTACAGGTATTTAAGTGAGATTTTAACTCATTTTCTATTAGATAGTACATTTTACAAGTAGTATAGTAAGAGTATTTTTTTTTAGATATTTGTAAACAATAAAGCAAAATATGAATGAACAAATACCTCTGTAAAATTCAAAATAAAAAATAGGAATAAGACTGTGAAGTTTTGTAAGTGCCGATTAAAGGTGCAGTTGGTGATCTTCCACAATGCTAACAGCTTAGCATAAATCTCTGAATCACAGTCCCTCCCCTGCCGTCTAAAGCCACGCCTCCTTGAACACGAGCACAGCAAAAGAACCCTCTCTCATGTGTTAAAAGCGACTAATATATATATATATATATATATATATAGGGAGAGACTAGACGGAATAGCGGTATTTAATTGTGTTTTGTTGTTAAACTAATTAAAATCTACATTATTGATGCTGTAAAACACCGGTGTCAAACTCAGTTCCAAAAGGGCCGCAGCTCTGCACAGATTAGTTCCAACCCTAATTAAACACACCTTATCAAACTAATTGAGTCCTTCAGGCTTGTTTGAAACCTACAGGTAAGTGTGTTGGAGCAGGGTTGGAACTAAACTGTGCATTTACATTTACATTTACATTTAGCAGACGCTTTTATCCAAATGAGAATTTATACAAATGAGGACAAGGAAGCAATTTACACAACTAAGAGCAACAATGAATAAGTGCTATAGGCAAGTTTCAGGTCTGTAAAGTCTAAGAAGGGAAGTATTAGTAGTATTAGTATTTATTTATTTTTTTGGTACAGTTAGTGTGATATTCAGAGAGGCAATTGCAGATTAGGAAGTGAAGTGGAGACTAAATAGTTGAGTTTTTAGTCGTTTCTTGAAAGTAGCGAGTGACTTTGCTGTTCTGATGCAGCTAGGGAGTTCATTCCACCAACTGGGCAGATTGAGCGTGAGCGTTCGCGAAAGTGATTTCTTCCCTCTTTGGGATGGAACCACGAGGCGACGTTCATTCACAGAACGCAAGTTTCTGGAGGGCACATAGATCTGCAGAAGTGAGTGCAGATAAGAAGGTGCTAGGCCAGAAGTCACTTTGTAGGCAAACATCAGAGCTTTGGATTTGATGCGAGCAGCAACTGGCAGCCAGTGCAAACGGACTAGCAGCGGAGTGACATGTGCTCGTTTAGGTTCATTGAAGACCACTCGTGCTGCTGCATTCTGGAGCAGTTGAAGAGGCTTGATAGAGTTAGCTGGAAGCCCAGCTAGTAGAGAGTTGCAGTAATCCAGTTTGGAGAGAACAAGAGCTTGAACAAGGAGTTGAGCTGCATGTTCAGATAAGAAGGGTCGGATCTTTCTGATGTTATAGAGTGCGAATCTGCACGATCGAGCAGTTCTAGAAATGTGGTCAGAGAAGAGGCTTCGGCCCTCCAGGAATTGAGTTTGACAACTCTGCTGTAAAAGGTCCCTTATGAAACTGAAAATAGTCTTATCAATCTTTCATCGGAAGATTTTAGTAGCTGAACAACACTTCTGTGAAGATATAACCCATTTGTAACAACATCTAACGTTACATCAGCTTTGCGTGAAGCTAAAACAGAACATTACCTGCCTAAGAGAAATCCTTCAGACATTGTGTCATCCTTTCTCCAGCATGCAAAGGTAACTATAATATTGGTTCAGGTTTTTAAAAAGGTTTGATTCAGCAGGTTTTTACCGATCGCACGAGCGTGTGCTCTCTTTCGTGAACGCGCGGCGGTCGGCGAAGCTGCGTACAAACGTCTGCACAGTTGTTCTTATCTGCATGATTGGGCTACTTATCGGAATTCTGAGAAATGTCGGCCCGACTCAAATTAATTGGATGAACATTTTACGTTTTATGCCTTTATATATATAATAAATATAATAATAATAATATTTATAATAATATTATAAATATAATAATACATATAAATACATTTGGATCCTTTACTTTAATCATTACTATTAGACTGTGAAGAGACTTTCAACCAGCACAACAAAAAATGCTTCTGAAGACAATCACCTACTCCACCTTTAAGCATTAAAAATTAGCATCATAATTAAAATCTACAGACACAAATTGATAAAGTGTGATCTCTCTTTTAAGTTTCTTTATGCATATCCTTAACCTCAAAATTGACAGGTACATAAAAAAATGTTTTTGCTAGCCGAGTTTTAGCTTAAAGTTGTGTTATGAGTTGAGTTGAGTCATAAGTTTCAGCAATGCCTTCATCATTAGTCATGTCGTCAAGCGTGCACTCAGCCAATAGTATTGCTGTCAGGTTATATTCTGTCACTAGGCAATCATTAGCGTTCATGCCTTAGTTTCACTGAAGCACAGCCTTTGGGTAAAGAAATCTGGTTCGATCTAGTCTGTGTTGTTCTGAATAGCTGGCCTCCCTCAGGTTTCTGAACACTAATGAAGACATAAACTCAGACTGGACGGTCAATGATTAAACCGATTTGTGCAACGGCTGATTTAATGCCGGCTGTTGCTCTAAGTGCTTCTTTCCTCTAAGATCTCGGATAACGTCACAAACAAACTGATGGTTAACTGTTTTCTAGTCTGTTCTGAGTTCATGTTGAACTAAATGTTAAAATGTGTCATATTAAGAAAACAAGCAACAACAAAAAGATCTGGTAATTTTCCCGGTGACTGCTGTTTAATGTTTCTTTAAACTTTCGAGTTGCATTATGGGCTGTGAGCTCTGTTATCGCCAAAAATGTAATTCTGCAGTTCGATGTGTGTGTATATACAGTATGTGTGTGTTTATCTATTTTTGAATTAACTATTTTATGGTGACGCAGTGGTGCAGTGTAGTGCTGTCGCCACACAGCAAGAAGGTCGCTGGTTCGAGCCTCGGCTGGGTCAGTTGGTGTTTCTGTGTGGAGTTTGCATGTTCTCCCTGCGTTAGCGTGGGTTTCCTCCGGGTGCTCCGGTTTCCCCCACAGTCCAAAGACATGCGGTACAGGTGAATTGGGTAGGCTAAAATTGTCCGGAGTGTATGATAGTGAATGAGTGTGTGTGTGAATGTTTCCCAGAAATGGGTTGCGGCTGGAAGGGCATCCACTGCATAAAAACGTGCTGGATGAGTTGGCGGTTCATTCTGCTGTGACGACCCCGGATTAAAAAAGACAGACTAAGCCGAAAATAAAATAAATGAATGAATATATTTTATTCATTTTTAATAGATTATTTTTTAATTAATACTTTATAAATTAATCTTTTGAATTTGTTTCTATTAAATGTTCTTTTTTTATTTATTTATTTTAATTGATAAATTATTTGTTTATTTTTTAATTATTTATTTATTTATAAATATACTTTTTAAAAGTTTATGTATTTACTTTTATTTGTTTATTTATGAATTTATTTATTTGTTTTTAAATTAATATTTTTTTATTTGTAAATGTTTCTATATTTTTTTATTTATTATTATTTTTTAATTAATTAATTAATTGTATTTTTTAATTTGTTTATTTTTGAATTTATTTATTTATGAATTTGACTTATGACATTTATATATATATATATATATATATATATATATATAATCAATATTTATTTAAAATTAAAATACTGGCATTTAAATAATTTTTGTGTATAATAACAAAAAGGTGAGACATTTTCTGACTTGTTTATATTCATTTTATACAACGCAAAACTGTTTTATCCCCAAAAGTTTAGAAATCAATATTTAGTTTGATTAAACACATTAACTGTGGTCATTTAGGAACAAGTATGGATTTTTTTAATTGGGTAGATTAATATATTAATTCAGTATACATTCATTCATTTTCTTGTGGGCTTAGTCCCTTTTTTATTTACAAGGTCCCTTGTAAAGTGTCCTTGAGCTCTGGAAAGGCGCTATATAAATAAAAATTATTATTATTATTATTATTATTTTAATCCGGGGGCGCCACAGCAGAATGAACCGCCAACTTATCCAGCAAGTTTTTACGCAGCGGATGCCCTTCCAGCCGCAAACCATCTCTGGGAAACATCCACACACACATTCACACACACACACACTCATACACTATGGACAATTTAGCCTACCCAATTCACCTGTACCGCATGTCTTTGGTCTGTGGGGGAAACCGGAGCACCCGGAGGAAACCCACTCGAACGCAGGGAGAACATGCAAAGCTCGAACCAGCGACCTTCTTGCTGTAAGGCGACAGCACTACCTACTGCGCCAATGCTTCGCCCAGAGTATATATTACAATCGTAAAAAAAAAAGCAAAAATGACAAATCTTTACATTTTTCTTAAATATGCTTTTAAATATGCATTTTTCTTAAACATGTTCAGTTACTTCATCAAAAGTGACTTAATATTGTAATATATTGCTTTTAAAAAAGTAACAAGTATAAAAAAATGTATTCAACACAGTGTTGATCTAGCATAGAAGTGTTACTATTACAGCTAACTTTCAAGTTGTGCCCTCTAGGGGGGGCTAATATAAATGATGTAGTGCGAACAGGGTAAAACCCTAAAAAGTTCAAGGGATAGTTCACTAAAATTGTAAAATTCCTTCATCTACTCATTCTCCTTTTGTTCCAAATATGACTGTCTCTTTTTTTCTGTTGAGCACAAAAGAAGATATTTTGAAGAATGTTGGAAATATGTAGCCATTAACTTCTAAACCATTAACTTTTCCTACTATGGATGACATTCTTCACAATATCTTCTTTCGCGTTCAACAGAACAAAGAAGCTCTGCTTGGAAGCACTTGAGCATGAATAAATTGTAAGTAAATTTTAATCGTATTTATTTTGAACCCACCACCCATTCTTTATCCTCTTCTTGTTTAACCCGTAGCTGGTAATGCAGTGTGATCCATCCAGATCGGGTGTCTGCGGTCCGTGGTTTGTCCCAGGAAACTTTGACGAATGGATCCCGGTCCTCGTGAATCACAACCGCTTTGACGTTTTCCGGAGTATTCGGTTGAACTGTGGGTATAAAAAAAAGAAGATCAAGGTTAAGGTTAAGTAGAAATTCACACCATACTGGCTTATTACTTGCCTATTATTAAGACATTAACTGTTTATAATCACTTATAAATTACAATCTTATTTTAAATCCCTAATCCTACAGGTCGCTCTTTACAATGAGCTTTCATTAGATAATGTAGTTACTAACATGAACTAATTATAAACAATACTTGTAGAGCATTTATTAATCAGTTTAACATTAATGCGTTATTAACACCCAAATTCATACTTGTTAACCTTAGTAAATGCACCAGGAGTTAACATGAACTAACAATTAACAACTTTATTTTATTAAATAAAGTTAACGAACATGGACAAATGTGGTAATAAATGTATTACTTATTGCTTGTTAATGTAAGTAAATGCATTGATTAACAATAACTAATACAACCTGATTGTAAAGTGTTACCATCCTACCCTAAACCCAACTACTACCTTAATAACTAATAAAAAGCAACTAATTAGTTGTTTATAGAGGTAAAAATATGAATTAATGGTTTGTTAATAGTGGAAATTGCACATTTAAAATAAAATGTGACCAAAAAAAGATATCATAGTAAGTCTAGTCATAGTAAGAAAAAAATATAGTACAACAGCAAAACCTATTTACTCCTTTTATACAAGTACTCTGATTTGAATATGGTGTATAGTATAAATCTGAGAAAGCTGAGTTCATAAAGGAGGCTTCATATTGACAACATAACAATTATAAACAATAATATCTATGGTGGTAGTACAAACAAACAAAAATCTAGATTTTAAGTATATATATATATATATATATATATATATATATATATATATTAATATATAGATATTTTAAAGGCTGTTTTCTCATAAATAGTCAGAAATCTGTACATTATCTTCACGTAAATACAATAAACTTCACAGTTCTTTTAATATCTGACTTTTTTTCATTTAAAAAGTTTAGAAAACATTTTACTCCATGTCGAAAAAAAGAGTTTGTAAACCTGACTTCATCCAATGTTGAGATTTTTGTGCTAGAAATGTATGCAGAATTAGCACATGTTTAAAGGACTGCAGTAATGCCTCCTTTGGGAATTTTTTTTCATTAATTTGATTTAAATTTTTTTTAATTAAAGTGTTTTTGCACCTTTCCTAGTTTAGACTTATTATGCATCTATACATATTACCATCTTAAGTTAACAGTTGATGTCTGATAAAAAACACCATTCTTGCTTGTCTAAATTTTAATTAATTATCCTATTAATATAAAAACAATATACACAAACACACACACACACACACACACACACACAATAGTTTTAATAACTCATTTTTTAATAACTGGTTTATTTTATCTTTGCCATGATGACAGTAAATAATATTTTACCAAAACTATGGTTTGTTGTGTAGACTATTGAAAAATATATAGCTTGAAGGGGCTAATAATTATGACCTTAAAATTGTGTTTAAAAAAAAATATCTGAAAATATCCGAAAAAATATCCGAAATAAGTGTGTCTAGTCAATATGTCTAGCCGAAATTATAAGACATGCTGTGTAAATTTCCTTGCTCTGTTAAACATAATTTGAGAAATATTTTAAAAAGAAAAGTAACTTTTAAAGGGTGGCTTATAATTCTGACTTCAACTGTATACATAGCAACATATATATATATATATATATATATATATATATATATATATATATATATATATATATATATATATATATATATATATTTACACTTAGAATGAATAATATGAAAAATATTTTTGTATATATATATATATATATATATATATATATATATATATATATATATATGCTACAGTATTTTTCATATTATTCATTCTAAGTGCTTTCTGATATGCTTCACCAAACAGTGAATTCTGTAATAAACTGAATGAAACTGGCATAATTCCAGTCTATTAACTCTCAGGTCTCATTTGCTTACACTCTGTACATCGCAAACCAGTTTTTCAGTTTGACAGCCCGTAGTAACCCAGCGCTTCGATTATATTTAAGTCATTAAAACATCCCATTTTGTGGTCCATAAAGCGCCATGCAGGTTTGTAATGACATAAGGGCGGATAAACAATGGCTTGTTGCTCTTTTTTTGGGATGAACCATTGATGTAGCGTTCTGTACATTCAGCAATGACGCAGAAAACTAGTTTCTTCCAGTCTGGGCTAAAACGCTAGTTAACACCTAATAAGGTCAAACGAAGTAACCTTTGCACACAGACTTAAAAACTTGCTGAAGAATGAAGAACAAACAGAAAAGCGTGCTTCACGTGGAGCTTTGCCCCTTCAGCATAAATAATAAAAATAAAAAGAAACATTAGTTAAAGTTTAGTCCGTTATAGTCAGACATATGAGTTAATGATAAGACATATCTGGACAGATCTCTCAGATCAAACCAGCGTCACATGACAAATAGAGCAAGATAAAACTAAAATGGCTACTAAAAATAAACAACGACTTATTTTTTTAATCATTTGCCATAATAATTCTCAGAAATGCTAATAATTTACTAACAGAATAACATGCTTTTGCAATGTACAGACAGCGATAACATTTCTCCTATTCACGCAACCAGTCTAATATTTACTAATTAACCTAATTACAAACAAATGACTTATTATGTAAAAAGAACACGAGGTGAAAAGTTAATGACGGAAACAAAAGAGCATCTATAAAAACAGAAAGCTTTACCAATATAGACGACATCCACCTCCACGGGTTCTGAAATGTTCCTGCCCAAAGCATTGGTGGCCACTACTGTGATGTTGTAGTTCACCCACAGCGATGTGGCATTTTTGTCGAAGAAACAGGAGTTCTCGCCTGCGGTTTTGTAATCGGGACACTCTTTGACCGTCTCGGTGCTGAAAAGAAGAGATGTCGACAGTCAAATACATACTTGGAAACTGAATTAGACACCAAAATAAAAGAATATGCACTGTAAAAAAGCAATAAGTCATGTCAACAACTGTGTTTAAGTTTATGTGCATAACTTATTACATATAAGTGGTTTGAACAAGTAGAGTGTTGTCTGAACTTAATTTTATTGAGCTGAATTAACAATTGTTTTTAGATATTTGGGATTAAGTAATTAGTTTGTTTAATCAACTTAAATTTGTATAAACAATTGAGTTAATTTAATCGATTTGTGTTGAGTCAACATGAAGGAATTGTGTGGAATCCTGCATTATTTACAGAGAAGTTTAATGAAACGTCAGTTAAAATAACTTTAATTTCTTTCCCTTCGGCTTAGTCCTTTATTTATCAAGAGTCGCAACAGTGGAATAAACCGCCAATTATTCTAACATATGTTTACGCAGGGGATGCCCTTCCTGCTGCAACCTAGTACTGGGAAACACGTATACACTAATTCACACTCATACACTATGAACAATTTAGCCTACCCAATTCACTTATAGAGCATGTCTTTGGACTGTGGGGGAAACCGAAGCACCTGGAGGAAACCCAAAATGCAAACACCATGCAGAAATGCCAACTGGTCCAGCACGGACTCAAATCAGCGACTTTCTTAACACACCTCCTTTTTTAGCCTATGGGCGCACATACTGTATAAGTGCAAATGCATTTGCTATTTAAACAGCTTGGTGCAAAACGTCAAAACAACACTTGCGTTGAGCTGAAACTAGCAAACAACATTTGTGTTGCGCCTTGCACCAGGTGTATGATAGGGCCCTGTAAGTGAAAAAAACTGTAAGCGAGAAAACAGTTAAACAGACCATCTGCAGCGTGAGAATAAAGAACAAGCCTCCTCCAATCAGCCTCTTTACTTTCTCTTTCTCTTTACTTTTAGTCTTCACTCCTTTTCTTTCGTGAATAAGGAAACGGTGTTGTATGCACTCCACTGAAGACATCCATTAGCCTCCATATTTAATTTTGTTTTTGAAGAGCAAAGATTTGTTTCAAAACTATTTCTAAATTCAGTTCTAATTTCCAGCAAACGAATAAGTGTAATGACGAAGTGTGGTCAAAAACGTTATCCAAACACACGTCCTATTCTTATTCTTATATGGTGATGCAGACGTCTCCAAAACCCGACAGGTGGATAAATCTAAACTTGTTTTTATTAAAAATGCACATAATAAATAATACTGCAGATAATAATAACATTATACAAATGCAAACTGGCATGAATAAACTGAAAAAGCCCCATGAGATGAGGCACGGAGATAGTAGTTTTTATATTTATGGAGAAAATAATAATTTTTGTAACATTTTAATACTTAATTTATTTTCATTTGTAAAGATATTTGTGTGTTACTGTAAATCCTGTGTATATTAAGCAATGGAAAAGCATTTGAACCCACATAGCCGCATAACTGTCGCGCTCTGCGCTGGATTTTCAGTTGGTCAATAGTACAGTCTATTTCAGTTATAGCAATGCGCCAGCAATGCTCCTTAACACGCCTTTAATTTAGACCAGCACGCCCATGACTCCACAAAGTGGCACAAATGGATTTGCTACTTAACCAACATTGCGCAAAACGTGAAAATTAGAGTTGTGCTGGTCTTAAAATATTATAAAAACGCATCAAACACATCTTGCGCCTTATTGCGCCAGATGTATGATAGAGCCCTTTATGTATCAAAACTTATTTTATGAACGCCATATAGTCCAAAACTAATTTCTTTCTTGATTTTTTATTTCTTAAGGATGTCCAATTGTCTGACAAAATTGAATGTTAAAAAACAGCCTTATACAGCAAAATAAATTTGCATAATAAAACAATACAATTGCTCTGCTTCTCTTAAGTCATTTACACAGAAGTGAATTTAATTACAGTATTTATGGTAAGTCATTTTTAAGTAACTGTAAATAAATCACCTAAAAATGAACAGTAATCCTTTACCTTTTCAGTGGATAAACATTTTATTACAGCGACTAGTTACTTTGTAATTCATTGTCCTCAACACTAATCACCACAACAAGCTTATCTTGTACTGTAATACATTGCTTGACTTGAACATCAGAGTTCAGCAAGTTACTTTCATGTAAACATTAAAAAAACTCACTTCAACGGACTTCATGTCATCGATATTCAGCAAGAACTGTACACAAACTGATCGAATGTACAGTAATACCACATAATCCTGCATAATGTTGTCATAACACTTCATGGCACTAACAAGGGTAAGGTCTGGTGAAAAACCTGTGTGTATCTGACAGGGTGTGTGGGCTAAATGCAAGTCATGTGTGTCTTTCTGCTCATTTTTGCTTGGAAACCAAGAAAAAAAGGGCAGGAGGGAAACTAATTTGCTGCTCATTACTCCTGCAGGTTGAAATGCACTGCTCATTATTAAAGGAAAGGGCAAGACACAGCAAGACCTGTGATAGCTCATTGGAAACTAAAGAAAAGAGTTCAAAGAAAGGCATAAGAAAAATATGTCTACTCCGGACTTTCTTTTGAAACTCTTTTTTTTCCATGTATTTTAGCATAGGCTCACAGATTAATAAACACCCTTTCAAAGTATACTCCATTTGCTAGCATGTGCAGCCATGGGTGCTGAACAGTAAAAATGTCTACAAAACAGATGCCATGATCTTGTCAACTCAGAATGGACTGGAGTTTGATCATTTCAAATTGTAAATAAACAAGCACAAAAGTCAATAAAACTGCAGCATTTGAGACATTATTATTATTATTATTATTATTATTATTATTATTATTATTATTATATGTTGTTATTATTACTTTATAGTATTATTATTATTATTTGTTATTATATTATTATTATTATTATTACATGTTAATATATTATTATTATTATTATATATTGTTATTATTATTTTAATATTATATTATATTATATTATATTATATTATATTATATTATATTATATTATATTATATTATATTATATTATTCTGTGTTTTTTTAAATAATTTTTATTATGTATTTTTTTCTTTGCATTCATACTTGTATATATCTTTTAATGCTGCATATTTCATGTCCGTAAAGTGTCTTGAGATGCTTTCTTTAATGCGCTATATATAAATAAAGTTTATTATTATTATTATTATTTTATTATTATTATTATTTTTTTTATTAATATTATTTTCTGCAACCGGTCCTTAGGGCTTTATAATTTGTTTGTCACGTTCGTGAAAGTGCCAGACTGAATCTACAGATTTTTTAGTTTTATTATTTGTAATTATGCAGATTGATTTTGCTGCTTCAGCCACAATATTCTAAGGGTGAACTTGCAGTACACTAGGAACAGTTGCCTTGAACTGTGCTGAAGCGTGATTGTCCCCCTCTCCCCTGACAGCCTGCATTCACACTGCAATTTTGCCTTTCGCACCTGAGCATGCTTACGTCATCGATGATGCGACTGTTCAGTTTAACAGAAGAGAATCACTCTCGCTCAGCACAGTGGACATTGCTTTAGTTATATCGTTTTAGTGGTTTGGGATGCAGTGACACGCAGTCAAATATTTTGACGAATAGATCCACAACTTTTGATGCTCATAAATGATCGTAAAAGTCATTGTGCTTTAAGTATTAGGAGGTTTGCTGAAGGCGCAGCTGACGTGCAGTGAGGAATTTGTATCTTTAATAAACTAAAACATTTTGCATTCTTCGAAAATTAAAATTGATTAATAAATCCAAATGAAATCGTCCCTTAAACGTTACGTTGTGCCTTCAGTTTTGGGCTCAGGTGCACTTTGCATTCACACTACAAGCGTACCGGGTACCAAGCCAAAGCCCAACCAAACCACGCTTTGGCACACCTCTTCCAACCAGGCCAGGGCTGATTCGGAGCACTCACACTTGTCAAACGAACCAGGAAATTTGACTGGGCACGGTTTGAATAGCATAATGTGAGTGCAACCTTAACCATGCCCATCTTACCGTTAGTTTTCTATATGGAATGATGCACAAAAGGAAAGCCCCGTCCTCTGCTAAATATTCCATTTAATCAACATATTGAAATAAGTCTCAGCAACTTCCAGTTCATGCAAACTTTAAGTAACAACTTCAGTATACAGGTATGCATCTTTTGCGATTTCTATAAGCAAAAAAACAAAACAAAAACAAAAAGAGGTCTCAGGTCTACAAAGGGTAAAAGTAGAATAGAAACTTACTTCTCCAGGCGGTAGTAGAGGGCATATGTAGTGGGCAGACCTCCATCATCTCCAGGCTCCCACCAGCAGGTGAAGGTCTCCTTCTCTGGGGAGCGACAGCTGGTCAGTCTGGGTTTGCCTGGAGGACTGACACCTGCACATACATTAAGCAGGTTTACAGCACATTAGTGGAATTCACTATCACGTTCACATTCACATTTGGCAAAATGGGGTTGAAATGCATGCCAGACTGTAAATAGTCACATTCAGTTTGAAGAAAAAAATACTTTGATTTTTATTGCATAATTAAGGTGCAAATCCGTGCAAATATGTAAGTTATATTACATTAATTGAACATATATTGGGGAAAATATGCATACATGTATATTATTTTACATACGCTACCTGACAAAAAACTTGTAAGTTTTAAGAACAACAAATAATAACTTCGAGTTGATTATTGGGTATCAGAAGTGGCTTATATGTAAGGAAAAAGCCTCTAGATTACGCTTATTTATCCTATCCTGGTGAAGAATTCGCCCTCTCCTATGATTTGTAATGTAATGGGCAGCACAAATGTTACCTCAGGCTTTTGATGTTGCCATCCACCATGCAGATCTCTCACATGCCCCCATACTGAATGTAACTCCAAACCATGACTTTCCCTTCACCGAATTTGACTAATTTCTCTGAGAATATTGTGTCTATGCAGTTTCCAGTAGGTCTTCTGCAGTGTTTGTGATTATTAGGATGCAGTTCAGCAGATGATTCATTAGCAAATTCTGCCTTCTGCCACTTTTCCAAGTGATCAACTAGTCAAGTTATTATTTGTTGCTCTTACAACTGGGATTGACAACAAGACTTTTGTCAGGTAGTATACATGCATATTATCGATAATTATATATAAATATATAGATTTTTTATCAATATTTTATATTGACCTGTAGACATTTCATACAATTAAAATATATTTTGAAGAAATATTTGTAGTTTATAAAATAGAACATACATGTAAATGAACATTTGACTTAAAATGCATATCTATTAAAGGAAATCCAGAAAACCACATCACATTTTAAAGTGGTAACTCTTTTTTTTTTTTCCAGAACTATACATTTGCTTGAAATGAAATTATAGTATATAATTAAGAAGTTTTGTTATCTGTGACAACTGAAATGAAATGACAATTATATAAAAAGTGATTTTGATTAAAACAAAAACAGACATCTGCCCCTGGCCTCAGATAATCGTTTCATTTACATGTACCCCAATGACAGAAACAGTATTTGTTTTTTTTAGTTTTAAGCTAAAACTCAATATTGTTACATTTAGATTAGCACTTTAGCATCTAAAGTAAATGTACGGCGCTTCAAAAATGAAAAGTTAAATAAGCATTAGTAAAACTGCCATCCTAATTTTCAATATTTTCAATTTGAATATCTTTAAAATGCAAATATGGTAATTTCTGAACTCTAACAACTTCTCTTTCAGCAAAAATGATTATCAGCCTTGAGAACTTTTGTGTTCTTTAATCCTTTCATGAATAGAAAGCTCAAATTACATATTTTTTTATCTATCATCTAATATCAACATCAATTAAATGCATCCTTGCTGAACATCATCGTATTTATTTTTATTTTACTGACCCCAAACAATATGTCCACAATATGTCCACAAGAAGATTATATCGGCTGTCCTCATCATTACTCTAGGTTCATCAGCAATATTCATAACACTCATATTAATAGCGCTCACCTGCTGCTTGCGATATTAAATCTGCAATTAAGGTCAAAATCAGCACAGCGGCGGAAATCCTCATCATCACCTAATGACTTCCAAACTCCTCAGATCTGTCAGAGATGAGAGAAAAACCACTCATTAATTCTGAATGACTCCTTTGGCATAACGAGCTCCGTAATCCTTTATTAAATTTCAGACATACTTTAATATCCATAACAAACATCAAATGGAGTCCTGTGCTGAGTGATTGGCTGTTAAAGAGAGCAGAAGCATGCAGCTGTAAGCGATTCATGAAGCTTGTTTGTTTAGTATAAACAGAGGACATACAGAAATTGTGCTGTATATAATGTAGATGCTGACGTGGGAGTATTTGAACAAAAACAAAGTCATTTACTTGGAAAATGTTCATTGTTGTCTCGTTTGTAAACCCGCAGCAGTCAGATTAAAAAATAAATTTGCAAAAAATAGACCAACAAAATAATGTTTAATACATCCTGATGCAAACTTAATTTTGCTATAGCAGCACCTTTGTTCTGTTTTTAATGAATTTGATTAAAATACATAGCTTAAAATTTAAATGAAATTAGAGCAAAAAAGGTCACTTTTTTAACTATGCATGTATTATTGTAAAATATCTATATAAATTGTATATATACAGTGTTGAGGAAGGTCACTTTAGAAAGTAATGCATTACAATATTGAGTTACTCCCCAAACAAGCAACTAGTTGTGTTACTTAGTTATTTTTTTTTTTTGGTAAGTAATGCGTTACACTACATTTGAGTTACTTTTGAGTTACTTTTTCTGATGTAGCTGAGGCTTGATCTATTTCAGAGCTTGTAGGACTTTTTTTTTTTAAATAGAAGAGTTCTGCAATTAACAACACACTCTATAACCTGTATTTATCTTTATGATATCTTTATGAAAAAAATATTAATGTAACATTGTTATTTTCAGAGAACTTCCTGACCCCAGAGCTATACATGCTGTATTTACAGATTAATGAAAGTTTAAAGCAATGCCTTCACTACTTTTGTACTTTTTGCCTTATTAAAAGGCAAAATCACAGTCAATTCTTATAATCCTCTTTTCCTTTTCTTCTATTTGTTCAAAATGAGAAAATCGTAACTGCAGAAATGTAAGTCTCTGCCATCTTCATTTCTGTCTGTTGCTGCATTCTCTTATTGCGTGCAGGATTTAATGTGACTACGAATGTTTTTTAAAAGCAATTAGACTAAAAAGTAACTTGCATAACATTTTTATCAAGTATCTCAAATATTGTTACTTAAATATTAAAAGTAATGCGTTACTTCACTCATTACTTTGAAAAGTACTATTATTACGCTACTCAAGTTACCCCCAACTCTGTGTGTATACATTTAAATATTTAGATATATACTTTTTTCAAATAGTTAATTTAAATATCTTTCTCTGAATTCAATAATTTTTTTATCTTGCAAATGTGATCTTTGACTTTTTTCTCTCTCAGTTTCAAGTGTATAACAAACAATTATGACTTTCATTCTCTGAATTGAGATAAGGTTTTAAAGAGTTTTGTTCATTTTTTTCTTATGAAGACAATGTAAGTCTTATGGAAGACAATCAGATTTTTAAAGATATTAACAAATGTTTTGCAGGTTTTATTAATTTTAAGTTAAGTTAAGGTAACTTAACCTTAAGTTAAGGTAACTCAAACCATTTGAGGAAACAGATTGGAACAAACCATTTAAGTTCAAAAACGAATGTAAACGAAGCAATTTGAGCACAGTAACCCCCCCCCAAAAAAAAAAAAAAAGAAGAGAACTCAAACTAACTTGAGTACTGTAAAATCCAATGAGTTAAGGCAACTCAAACCATTTGAGGAAACCGATTGCAACAAACCATTTGAATTAAAAACGAATCTATATATAAGTACTGTGAACTTACTCCATTTAAGTTGAATAAGGTATTTAATTAACTGATTACCTTCAACACTGAGTTCAAAACTCTTTTTAAATGAGTAAAATTAACTTTCAGTTTATTTTGAGTGAACTACACTCATTTCATTTGATCAAGCTGACTGTTGGGTTTTACATTGTTGTAACTCACAATTTTGACTTGTCTCAGAATTCGTAGAAAACTTAATTTTTTCGCAATTGCGAGTTTATATCACACAACTGCGACTTTATTTCTTAGAATTGCAAGATATAAAGTTCAAATTCTGATTTTAAAACATCTTAAAAATCTTTTCAAATTTACATCTCTCAATTAAACATCAAAAAAATCTGAACTGAAGTTTTGTATCAAAAAAATTGTGAGAGAAAATTTGTCACGATTCTCAGATAAAAATGTGCATTAACCTTTTTTTTAGTATTTAGGGCAGGGAAATGGCTTCCATAGCCTTTAAATTGTTTGTTTTTGAGATCAGATTTCATTGTTTTTTCTAGAAATACTCCTCCAGGAAGACAAACACCTTTATCTGTGCATCAAACTGCTTTGTTTTATACTTGTACCCATCACAGTTTCACAATAATCACTTACTGGACATCATGTCGTTATTTTACGAGTTTTTCAATAATTTGTTCTTTCATTACTTCTTATCAGCAGACGATATGAATCATGATCCGTTTCATTTCAGCTCGTATAGTTGCTGTAAATCTATTTTCATGAGGTTTTGCAACCCACTGCCAACAAATTAAAAATATAGTGGTCATCAAGCTGCCATTTTCTACAGTTTTACATGGAGAAGCTGCATTTAAAAGAGTGGGAATTTTCCTGCTAGTTTTATTGGTCGCTTCTGGTTGTTTACTACATGACAGACTTTGAGGCAAAGGTTTTTCAGTATCAAGCTTGCTGCCAATGGAAGAAAGACTTTTCATGTCAAACGTCCAAAAGGAATTGCTGAACTCATAAAACTGGCAGACAGATTCATTACTCAATTCAAAGGTTTAAAGGTCTAAGGAAACATTTTTCAACTTGAACTATCGACACTACAAACTCAGCAAAACACATGTCTGAATTATGATATGTTACAGGCAAGACATCAAATCTTTAAATATGGGGTGAATTATATTATATTATATTATATTATATTATATTATATTATATTATATTATATTATATTATATTATATTATATTATATTATATTATTTTATTATTATATTATATTATATTATATTATATTATATTATATTATATTATATTATATTATATTGTAGTATATTATATTATAGTATATTATATTGTACTGTTTTACAATATATTATATTATATTATACTGTTTTATATTATATTATATTATATTATACTGTTTTATATTACATTATATTATATTATATTATATTATATTATATTATATTATTATATTATATTATATTATATTATATTATATTATATTATATTATATTATATTATATTATATTATATTATATTGTTTTACATTATTGTTTTACATTATTGTTTTACATTATTGTTTTATATTATATTATATTATAAAAATATTATATTATATTATATTATACTGTATTATACTGTATTTAATAATTCTGATTTCAACTGTAAATATGTACTGGGGTTTATACTTTTTTTACTGCTCTGTTGCATTTCAGTCACAAGATTTTCAAAGAAAATGAAAAAAGCTTAATCAATGGATCGATTACACTAGTCGATTAATTAACTATTAAAATATTCGATAGCTGTAGTTACAGTAGCACCAATAACTTACAGAGGCAAAGAAACACCAGAGAGTAATATAGGGAGTGAATTGAAGTGTCTAAACACACAGCAAATACTAACCAGAACATAAAAAATGGATGAGTATTTATAACTACACTATAAAAAGTCTTTTGTTGGCTCAACTCATAACACCTAGTTCCTTTTTTACATGGAAATGTTTTGAGTTTTACTTGCTTACTTAGAAAAGTTCAGCTAACTAAAGTGGAAGTTTTCAAAACGCCATCCAGTAAGTAAATCTAAATAAAGAAATATTTTCAAAACTGCATCCGATGTGTTCAGCAAAATGAAAGATCGGTTCTGAGAAGTTAAATTTCACAATAAATTTCATAATACGAAATTTATGACATGATTTTGTAAACCCATGATTATGATATTCAAACAACCACATGGGAAGGTTTTACAACTGTCTCTGTTGGATTTATCTGTTGTGAAATATTAAACAAGACCAAATAACAACTTAGAAACATCGCTCAGTGTTATTTTACATTCAGTTATTTCATTTCAGTGCCAGAATACAATTAGTGTCACAATCACCAGTGATCTAATCCTTGTAGATCACTGGTAAACACACAGTTCACTAAAGAACTACAAATCCATCTGTATATAGCCTAGATTCAGTCATGCACTGCACACACACACCAGTTCCTAATCCTGCCTGATTGCAAACACTCACAGCTGAAGCTGCTCATGGACTGATTACAAGACCATTTTTGGTTTATTTTAACAGCACGCACACATACACATTGTTGCTGAGTCTTGTTGAACAGTTTTGTGAACATTACTACGCATTTTCCTTGCCTTGTCTTGCCGCGTTTTTGACCCTCCCCTTGTTTATTTTGTTTACGTTGCCTGCTGCCTACCTGTACTGACTATCACCTGTATTTGACTACGACTTTAAATTTGCCGACATACATCTATTTGCTCCTGATTGCAACCGTTGCTTGCCTGACCTTTATAATAAACCCTGTGTTTGGATCCTCACTTCCTTGTCAGCGTCACTTCACATTACAATTAGTCTCGCCCGGAAACCATAAAGAATGGTTTATTTTACTTGTGTCCACTGTTCTCCGTTGTACTTATTTCTGCTTATAATATTTTATCCAGATACACCCCAACAAAATGATCCCAAACAATCTAAAAGGATGAATTCTATCCGTATAGAGCTATTCATGTCATCTTGTGAAATGGTAATCTCAGATACAGTCCCTATAGAAAGTCATCATGCCCCTATGAAATAAACACTTCATTTTTCATACATCTTAAAATAAAATCACACTCCAAATAACTTGCTCAGCCTTTGAAATGTTTAGTAGCCTTCTCCTACCGATTGCCTTTCTAAATCTTTATCCCGGTCTTTTGAAAAATGTGATTAAAGGTATAGATTTTTACAGGGTATGATGATTTTCTATAGACACTGTATATAGGCCTATTGCGTAAAAAATAAATATCACAATGTCAGTTTTTCCAATAACATGGAGCCCTAAATGATGATATTATTTTAGAATATCGCACACTCCTAGCTTGAATGAACTAAGTC